CCCCCCCCCGCGCGCGCGCTACTTCCCAGTCTCTCAAGTTTCTCACGTGAGCACGGCGTGGTTGCCAAGCGGGTCCCCGTCCCCAAGGTCCTCGAACCGCTGTGGCGTCTGCACGAACCCGACGTCCGCCCACTCGTACTTCTTGCCAGTGCGGCGGTCGAGCTTGAAGAAGTACGGCACCGTGCGCTGCAAGAACTCCGTCTTAAGGCGGTGTCGGGCGTCGTTAACCACCACCACGCGGGCGGGGTCGCCGATGACGGGCTCTTCCCCGGGGGAGTTCGGGAAGATGGCGGCGTTCATGTTGCCGGCCTTGGGACTGACCTGCACGCGCCCACGTTTTATGTGTACAGCAGCGCAGCAACCATCAGTAAGCGTGGCAAACGACAATCCGGTCTCACGACGAAGCAACGGCGGAATGCATATGCTTGCCCACCTGGGGATGTGAGACACGCACACACCCTGGATCCGCAGCGCGGGAATGGGTGCATGCTAATGTGGCAAACAGTCCAAACAAAGTCCATCTGGTCATACGGCACAACAACCGTAGCATTTGTGCCCCAAAGGGACAACAAACGTCTGCACTCAAACAAACGGCACTTTGCTGCAAAGAGAGATACTTTGCACACCAAGATCCACCGGGTGGAATAAGAAGCGCCTCGCGCGGGGCGCGCTTGCTTGCTACTTCATGAACTAAACAAAACAAAACTTGCGGTCGGAACCAATCCTGCCGGCGTTGTGCAGAGTGAGTTAAACCTGCCCCCATACTCCATCATCCTTTCGAGGACTTGTGGTCTAGCCGCTAAGACACGCAAAACATGAGCACGCCCCCCCCCCCCCCCCCCCCCATCAGCGCGTTGGTGTCGAGAAAGTAGCATCTACGTACCTTCGGGGTACCAGGGTTGGCGCGGGCGGAGTAGATCATCGAGGGGATGTTGGGGGAGGACCTGAAGAGCTTCTTGAAGCCTGCGAGAGGGATCCCCAGCCCGCCGGGTGTGAATGATTGGAAACGACAAAAAAAAAGTGAGTTCGCGCGAAAGGTCCAAGATCCGCCTACCTCCACTGTTGCCTACTTCATGTTTACCACAAGAGAGTAGCACATGCCGCCCAACAGCCAAACCGTGTGCCATGCCCCCAACACAACACCGAAGCGCGACTCCTACGCACACCGGACTGGGACGCGTGGGGCGTGGGTCACGATCATTTCAACTTTACGACCATGCGAGAGCGGGCCTACAAAATGACACCCCAGTGACCAACCGCCGCTACAGCCGCTCGCTGCAATTCGGCTGAACTCACCCTCTTCCAGGCGAGGGAGGGCCTTGGCAGCCTTCTTCTTGCCGGGCTGTTTTGATTTTCGGTTAGTGTTGTCAGAATCCAAGAGGTCGTTCGTAACAGAGCACGAGGCACAAATGCAGAGAGAGAGAGGGAGGCAATGAGAGAGCGAGGGAGACGGGGTGGGAGGGGGGCCGTGAGAGGTGATCGAAGGAGAGTTCAAGCGGTGTCCTAAATAGGGTCGAGCATGTCTGTCCCAACAACCCATGGAAATGAAGGTGGTCAGAACCTGCGAGCTACCCACGGAGGTATCGAGCAATGGGCTCCGATCCGCCACCGCCATGTATGTATAGCCTACGGAACAACCTGCGGACAAGAGCAAAACAAACCCCAGCGACAGACGACAAAAAAAAAACAGTATCGGGGCTTGGCAAGGCCCGTACATATCCACCAACAAAAAGGACGCGACGAGCCGCACGTTCCAACCACGCACTCACCACGCCGGAGGAGCTGGAGGCCCTGGCAAGCTTCGCCTGGCCAGTGTAGTTCTCCATCCGGACGGCCATGTCGAAGGCGGGGTGGCACTCCGGTCCGAACACGTACTGGTCGAGGGCGTCCATCTGCACACCAACAAGAACGTGTTTTTTTGTGGAGCAAGAAACAGCCAAAATTGAGTGTATTTTTGCAAGAAAAAGCTACCAGGTTCGGACTACGTGGGGCAGGCACGCTTGGAGCAAGGGCGCGGCTGCAGCTGGACAACCAACACCCGACTGAAAATTGGGTTCTTGCGAGTGCACGCGTTGTTGCAACGAAGACCAGATTTTGGGGTTGGTTCTCACAACACGACGGATGAAAAATTGGTCACATTTCTCGCAACGAAAAAAAAGAAACCAAACCCGACCTGGTTGAAGTAGTCCATGAAGATCTTGGGCGTGATGAACGGCTCGTCGAAACTTGGTGCACAGCTCCTGCTGTACGGCGGGGATGATGAGGGTCTCGGCCAGACGGTACACCTTCTCCACGAGGTCGCAGACCTGGCGTAAGGGAATGATCGTGTCGTCACACGAAAAAAGTACAAAATAAAAGGTGACATTGGGCGGCGTGGGGGGGGGGGGGCTGCTGCTTCCGCATATAAATAATTTGTGCCGTCTCCGGTGTCAAGAAACGTAGGAAAACGAAAAAAAAAAGGGCAAAGAGTTTGCCATGCATGGGGTGCAGCAGACCAATTCAATACATCCACTCTCCACTCTCTCTCTCGCTTTCTCTCTCCCATGGCACCGCGTGCTACAAGGGTCGTCACGCTGACCTGAAAACCAGCAAGCAAGGCATCGTCACAGCAACAACAACAACAAAAGGGGAGTGCTTATTTACCTCGCGCCTGCCCTTCTCGTCGAGCACGGCGATCCGGAGCTGGCTGCTGGTGGGAAGCCTCGATACCCAGAGCCGCTGGCTGTAGGCGCCGAGGAGCACGTGCTTGAGGTTCTTCATCTTCTCGCCGGCCGTGGGGACCATGATGCACACGGTGGCCTCGTTCGACACGTTAGAGTCGATCTCTACAAGGTCGTCCATGGAACAAACGTCCCTGTAGGGGGCGTGCGGGGGGGGGGTGACGGACGAAAACAAAAGCAAGAGAGAGAGACATCGAGTTGGGAACACCGCAGAGTGAGCGATTGCCGTTGTTGGTATCGTGCTGGTTTCACAGCAAAGACTGTAAAGGTCTCCGCATGGTACTGGTATCTCCTGACGTCCGTACCGGTGAAGACACCACGGGGATGCCTCGCGCGGTAACATCCCAACCCCCCCCCCCCAAAAAGAGTACCACACACACTTATGAAAAAACAAAAACAAGCGGAAGACGGCCCGCTTGGACCTGACAAGAATGGTTTCGCGTGGGATTGGAGAAAAAATACGGATGGATTCCTCTCTCTTGGCTCTACTGCTGTGTCGTGTCTTCCTCTACCACCATCGGAATCCCAGCTTGCCGGGTTCTCACACGACGCACGCACACCACCAAAAAACGAGGATAGCACCCACGGTTACCGGTCATGCCGCGCGGCACAGGACTGGTTTGCAACAACCAGCACAGCAGGGCGGCTTCTGAGGCCTCCAACCGACAGAGAATGCAAGCGCGCACGCACCTGACGGAAGGGAAGGAGCGCTGAAGGTGAGAGGTCCACACACCGAACGTAAGGATAACTTCGCCAGCGAAAAACAGCCAGTTCCAGACCACGCTGTGTTTCCCCGAAAGCACGGTGGCGCGATGGCGGGGGTGAAGCGGTGGCCAGGGCAGAGGGCGGAGGAGGAGGAATCAAAAGGAAACAAAAAAAAAACGAAACGATGGCATTAGAGATGGTGCCCATGGTAGAGAGGGTGGAAGAACAAACAGAGAAAAAAAGCAGACGATAGTGTGGTATCAGACCGGGGTGGACGACATAATGCAGACACAGACAATTGTGAACAATCATGAAAATGGCGCTTCCGGTGGTTGTGCCGCTGGCTGCCGACGGAAATTACCCAGTCCAGACAACTACAGTACCTCTTTTCATTGGACAGCCGCGGTTAACGCGGTCGATGATGCCAAAAAAAACAATTACATATGAATAAACAAAAACACACACAAACACACAGTTAATCGCATTTAGAACTGTTTCGCACTAAGACTGACGTCTTTTCATTGGACAGCCGGTTAACGCGGTCGATGCTGCCAAAACACACACACCTACAACGGGCAACAGCAAGAACCCATGCATGCACCTCCTACAGCACACTATATTACCTCTTGGGGTTGTCGGGCATCGAACGGGTAGCGCGCCACCAGATGTACGCGGCGCCGGCGACGACGTTGAGGACGGCGCTGAGCTTGATCCAGAACGAGGTCGGGTGGTGCTTGATGCGGGCGGGGTCGGGGTAGTTGCCGGCGAGGAACCGTTTCGTGCTCTTCATCGTGAACCCGGTGGCCTGGGCAGCCCCAGTGCGGCGCTGCGGCATCTCCGCCATCTGGGGCAGGGCCTTGACGGGGATCGAGCTGTTTTTTTGTTTTTTGTAGGGAGGGGGGAGGTTACGCGGGGCGTTATCGTTAGATGGGGGGTTGGCGGGGGTACATACCCGACATGACCACAGCCATGATCGTGCTTGTACAATGAAGAACAGTGGCTAACTTTCATCGCTGCAGTTGTCATCCGCCGTTACCGACTGGGGCACGCAGCTATCCTTAAACGCTGAGGTAGGCACCGATCGCACGAGGTGACCACGCGCTGCTGCATAGGCCCATGACCTCGACGTCGACGCTTGTTTGTTTTTTTTCCTGGTGCGACCGCAAAACCTTTACGCTAGAAATAAAAACGGAATGCGGTTCAACACACGCAGCGTCTGAACCACGGAACTGAGGCATGCCAAAACTCAAAAAGCCCAAGCCGCAGCTTCGCTCATTTCAACGTGGTACGCAGTCGACTGCGAGCGAGACTCGCGGATGAGATGTCGGGTGACAGGGATTGACTGACAGGCTTGTCAAGGGCGTCTTTTCGGGAAATATACTATTAATAGTTATAGCGTGGGCGTTCGTCCTTGACACGTCTGTTAAGGGGGGCAAACCCTGACAACTGACGTCTTTGTTTCCTCATGCGTGCGCCGCGGGATGATGCACACGCACAATGCAAACGTGATTCTTGCTGAAAACCCTCCTGCCCACCTGAAGCAGTACATCCTCATGTGGAACATCATGACCAGCACGGGGTAGATCCAGTACGCTGCCCAGGCGACGATGCCGGTCAGCGTCTCCGTGCAGGTGTAACCGAACTGGGACTGAGGAACATGGACGTCCGTCCGCACAGACAAAAAAAAAAACAAAAGCACGCTTGTGTCAGCGTCAGCACTTGCTTGTACAACAACACATGCCCGTCGACTGCTGTGGTACCATCTCGCACGGGTATTTGTCTTCCCGCGACTTTGTGTGTGCTCTATATTTTCTAACGTGCGAGCAAAATCTAAAGTGCACGCCATGCGTACGCCGGATCGATCGAGCCAGCCAAACCCCGAGGGAAACTGACAAGGGACGCAAACGCCCACCAGGCACACACACAACAAACAAACCCGTCGCCCCTTCCTGTACGACGCAGACACCACACAGGTCGCCTCACGTTGAAGATGGCGAAGAAAATCTCCGCCACGGACCCATCCTCGTTCTCCTGGCAGCAGCCGCAGATGTTGAAGACCTCCACGGCGCTCGAGTCGGTAGTGTCTGTCGAGTCGTCGTCTTGGGTCCAGAGCTCCTGCCGGCCGCAGAAGGTACATACCGTGGAACGCGCGGATCACACACCCGTACCACGGCACAGCGCGGCAGGAGGGAGAGACAGAGAGAGAGAGAGAGAGAGAGAGAGAGAGAGAGAGAGAGAGAGAGAGAGAGAGAGAGAGAGAGAGAGAGAGAGGATAGGAAGCACGTTAGTTTGCCGCTATCTTAAAGCACAAGGCTTCCCGACGGCAGACTGCTGCTGTTGCAAGTATTTGGCCGAAAACACGTGCGCAAGCCTTGGAGGCAGAACAACCGACCACAAACGAAACTGGCGAGAGACGGTTCGACCACAGCAGCGACACATACCACCCATAAAGAGGAGAAACACGCGGAGGTCACCGCTCATTTATCCCCGCCTCTTGTATCTACGGACAAAGATCAACGCGTCTTGTGTTTTTTGTAAGGAAAATAACTAAAGGTCTCGCAGACATGCTTCGCACCCAGCAGTAGCAACGCCTGTTGTCTAAACGTGTCCAACATCTTGGACTGAAGCAAGGAAGAAAACAACAGGTTTCCAAGACACGCGGCGCGATCAGCCGGGGGGGACACGCAACCAGAGAGTCGGACACGTGCGCGAGCGACATTGAACACAATAAAACCACCCACACAAGGCAACAGAAGAGCCGACAGTCAACAACAAACACACATGAGGCCAGGACAAGACCAGGGCCGTCGGTAACAGGAAGCACTGCTGCTTGCCCAAGGAATCAACAAACAGACAGCACTCATCTTCAGATCTCAGTGAAACGGTTCCAAGAAGGCAAAATCATTCAACATGCCGTGTCCAAGGTTTGCAGAGAGCGAGTTGACAAAAAAAAAAAAAAAAAACTCACCCTGAGGTCGAGGACCCCCAGCTTGAGCAGGCCGGCGCAGCACAGGAAGATCACGAAGGCCGAGATGGAGAGCGTGATGGTTGCGAAGAAAGACTTGCTGGAAACCCCCGGGGAGGGGAACACGATCGACCAGGGGGCAGGCGACACAAACAAGTGTCGTAATAATAAATAGTTAGTTCAGGTCCGGGCAGGTACGGCTGTAGGGTGTATGCACCTCTATTCGCCATTCACAGCGGCAATACAATGGTACTTCCGCACAGCACTGGTGTGGGGATGGAAAAGAGTGTTTTGAAGGGTTTAGCGTGCCAAGCCAGCACGCCAGCGACACGGCGGAAGAGGATGAGGCGGAAGCCGGGGAGCGGTCGGCGGCAGGGCTCATCTAGACTTTTTACTCCGAGTGCCTGCCTTGGTTTTGGTTCAGTGGAGACCTCGACGCCCCCGAAACACCGCCGCCGACAGCCGACAGACCTAGAGAAGAAGGTCGCCGCCGCCGCCGACAACAACAACAACAACCACTCACTCGGCGATGTCGTCGGGGATAGCGTTGCGGCCGTTGAACCCGGCCTCGACGTCGCCGTCGTCATCCTCCTCGTCCTCGCCGATCCCGCTCATCGCTCCGTGGCGAGAAGCCGCCGCCCCCCCCCCTCCGGACCCCTTCCTAGACTTGGTCGACCCGCGCCTGCTCATCCTGGCGGACTTGCTGGACTTGGGCTTGCCGCTGCGGCTGCCGAGGGCCATGTTGCCGCCGATGCTCTGGTCCACGTCGAAATCCTCTCCGAAGCCGCCGCTGGGGGGCGCCGGAGCGTTGCCCTGGGGGGAACCCGGACGGAGATTCGCCATGTTGCGGGTGCTTCCACGGGCGCTGCTGCGAGTGCTTCCGCTGGTGTTTCAGATAATGAGGTCGCGACAGGGTGGGGGGGTGGGGGGCGTACTCTCAAATTCTGCATGCCTTAGGAGTTAGACCAATGACAACGAGTCCTCGAGAGGACAGACCACTGTTCCAACAGGGCCAGGAGGGGGGGGTCATTGGAACGGATGCGTGCGTGCGGAGGAAACCGAAAAGATCACCGCCCCCCCAAAAAACGGCACGCTATCTTTTCACACGCATGCACACAACTTCTCGCCTACTTGTGGTCGGTCGGGCACAAACAAGAATAGATGGACGGGTCAGTAGCAAAAAAAAAAGCTGTCGCCCTCGAAAATGCTTCATCTACAGGGGGTGCACATGGGAAAGCAAAAGTTATCTACCGGTCTCCTATTAATGTGCCTCGCGAGAACAAAAAAAAAGGGGCACCGTCCAAGTAAAATAGTATATTCTCCTCCTTCTGCGGGATGGACACGAAAATCAGACTCACCGGGACCCCCCATTGTTCTTCCGGGCCGTGACGGTACGGGTCAGGGCCGTTTCCATCACCTCGAGCTCGGCCTGCCTATCGCGAGGGCCTGCCTGGCGGAGGTACCTGTACGTACGTGAGCATCGCGTCAATTTTTTCACGCCCGTGATTAAGACTCCTGTATGTAAAACATAATGTGTTGACAACTGCTGAGTGTTAAACGTGCTTGGAGGTAAAAAACGCAAGCATATTCTAGCAGGACATGGTTGTGTGTGTGTAAGAATGGTTGATGGCGAGCGCGACGACCTTCTCTCGAGCGCTGTCGGCCTGCGGGTAGTCGTCGCGAGAGCACGCGGCGGCGGTCCATTAACTTTTTTCACGTCCCTTTCCTAACGATACCCACCCACCAGTGCTGCAGGCCGCCCCGTTCCCCACAACTCTATCCCTCCCTTCCCTAACGATGCCCGCCAGCGCCAGCGCTACATGATCGTGCTGAACACCCTTTGCATATGGCATGCACACGAACCGACAGCAACACCATTGCTCACTTGTGTTGGAAGCCTTGCATGACCGAGGCGGTGTCATCATCCTCATAGTTGTGCTCATCGAATCCTTGGAAGCGAACCGAGGCTCCGCTCTGGCCGGAGTTGTTCCTCCCCATCTTCGGCCCGTTGGAGCCGATGCTTTTCATGGACGACCTGGACAAAGAAAAGGGGCGGCGTCGCGCGGCGAAAAGGTTCTCAACAAGGGGCTTGGGGGGGTCAAAAACCGTGCGTGGGCACGGCTACTTTTCACCCACGTCTTGTCTTCCAAGTGTTGAACAACTCATTGGGTGAAGCGACAAAAGCTAGGTCGCCCTCGTGCGTGGGCACGGCCGTGTAGTCTACTCTCGAACACTCTACAGCAGCAGTAGTGACAAACACACACACACAACCGGCCCGCCCACAGCAGCAGCAGCAGCAGCAGCAGCAGACACGCAAGGCCAAGCGCCGACCACGCAATCACACACCGCTGACTGGTACTTTTTTTTTTTTTTTGGGGGGGGTTAAACAACAACGACGCTTCTCCAAACAACAAGCGAGAAAACGGCAGCTACCGCTCTCACCGGTTGCGCCGGTGGCCCGGGTGCATCGGAGGCTTTCCAGAGTCGCCGGCGGTGGGGACGACCGGGTGCGCGGGGTACTCGGCGCCGTCGTACGAGTAGCCGCCCCTGTCGAGGTAGCCGTCCTCGTCCTCGGCGATGCTCAGCAGGCTCTGGCCCTTGCGGTGGAACCTTCTCTCGGAAACAGACGTGCAGAGAAGACATCGCCCCGACGACCAACGAGATCGTAAAACCCATGCAACAACAGCGGTTCGACACGTGTTGGCGGGGACACAAGACAAGGGCGAGGTTAGCGATTGCTCTGCAGGCTCTGGCCCTTGCGGTGGAACCTTCTCTCGTCGACAGATGTGCCGCGAGACAAGACGCAGATAAAGACATGCCCCGACGCCCACGAAATACGACCCACACAACAACAGTTCGACACGTATTGGCGGGGACAAAAGACAGGGGTGAGGTAAAGAGGCGTAAAAGGGATGCCAGCACGGAAGGCCGGCGGGGTTCATCGGCGGTGCCGAGCAGACAAGGAAGCAGAGCAGCCTCTCATTAAAAAAGCGTGAGACTTCAGACTTCTATGCACAACATGGCACGGAGTCATGACTCCCGTTGCAAAAATGAATGGTACAATACTTCCCCCGCAACCAAATAGGAGAGCCTCCAAAACTTGAGCAAAAGGCGGAAGGTGAGAGCAACCCCTATCGGCTCCGAAAATCGAGGCCATCATACCCTACAACTACAACTACAACCACGCCCCAACGGGAGGATAACTTCCCGCGGAGTGAACACAGACCAAAAAACAAAAATGCCGGGAAGAACGACGGGCGGTGTGCCTTTGGGAATACTGCGGCATGCCACGAAAACGCGGACGGTGCACTCACAGTCCGCGCTGGCCGGCACCATCCGGCTCTCCGGCCACCAGACCCGGGATCCTTTCCGGGAAGGCTGATTCCGGGTCGGAGCTGCGGATGCGGCCACAGCAGGAGTCGAGAGGAGAGACAGATAGAGACAAGAGAGAGAGAGAGAGATAAAGATCAGTTCACCGCCAGATGAGCAAAAAAACAAAAAAACTGGTCAGTCATGGCGCTAGCGGCAGACGCTGGGGAACCAGGAGAGTTGAAAGAGACATTGCCACTACATGAGAAAAAACATAGCACAAATTCATGGCCAGAGACGCACACGGGTACCACTGGAGATACACAAAGATCCACTCGTCGCCAGTCTAACGGGATCTCGTTCCTGCTGTGTACCCCTGTACAAGGCTCCTTCCTGCCTAGCAACCAAGACTCCGGGGAGATGTGCTCCATAACGGGTAAAACAATCTCCCCAACGCCTGCCTGTCGAGGACAATTTCACACGAGCGAGCTACAATCAAATCAAATAATAACATCTCCCAGACATGATATAAGCGGGATTTATCTCCCAACCGACCCCGACCTCGTCGAGCCCCACTGTTCGGAGTTCTGCAGCGCGAGGATGGCCGGCTCCCGGTCGTCGTCGTCGTAGCTGCCCGAGCTCCCGTGCTTCATGATGGCCTTGCTGCTCTTGAGCACCAGCAGCCGCTTCTGCGCGTAGTCCATGTCGTCGAAGTCCTTGGGGTCGACGTTGCTGTCACGGAAGAGCTCCTGGCGTTGCAGTTACAGTTACAACCCCGGCAAGAGACAACGAAACGCCAGCGGCGCAAGCAACACTGATCAGCCAGCCAGGGGAACAAAAGAGCGAGATGAAAGCAACAAGAACAAAACCAACACCAAAACAAAGAGCGACATGAAAAGCAAAAAAAAAAATCAACCGACACCAAAGACGCCAAAACAAAGAGATATGACACACGCGCCTGCGGGCACATCTCGAGAGGCTGCGCAAGGTTTAGCAAACAAGAAAAAAACAACGGTTCTCGTCCATACTTTCCCGCAAAACATACACAAATACATGCATCGCGGTGGACCTTGTGAAGAAGCGTGTTCTTGTTTAACCCGCGCTGAGACACGCGTCTACTCGTTGGCAGACCAATCAAGTTACCGCCCGCGTGCGATACAAATAAACAAAAAAAAACACAAGCAGCAAAAGCGCGGCCGCGACAAAAAATAAAGGTACCTCTAGGGCCTTTGCGGAGAGGTTCGAGAGGTTCCTGGGGTAGACAGCAGCGGCGCCGCTCTTGCGAGAGGCGTCCTTGGACTCGTCGCCGTTGCTGTTCAGGGCAGCCTGCCCCGTCTGCTGCGCCTCGGCGGCCAGCCTCGACACGTACTGGTGGGTCAGCGCCTCCCGGCGGACGGCCCACGACTTGGCCTTGGAGTCCGGGATGATGCCGGCGACGCCGCCCTCGAGGGGCCCGCCGCCCCACACGAGGGCGGGGGCGAGGTAGCGGGCCGCCAGAAGTCCGGCGATGGCGCCTGGTATCGGTCGCGGGGGGGGGGGGAGAGGGGGGGGCTGCTTGAGTCGTTGCAATCATCATCGACCAAACAAAATGGTGCATACATTGTATTTTAGTATACAACGGAGGCTGTATTTTAGTCTACTGCGTGTCGTGGGTGAGTTTCTACGTGCATGGAGACAAAACAGAAGGCGATCCGTTTTGTCCCGCGTGCGCATGGTTGCGCATATGCCAAAAAGAACGGCCGGGCGGGAGCAAACCGGGACATCTCGAGCAAACCAGACCGGCAGCGAGGCTAAAGAATACGGCTTCGCTTCGAAACCGTCAAAATCTTCGCGAGAGGGAAGGAGAGGGACTCCGAGCAACCTGAACACCTCGAGAGCAAACCAGAACGGCAGCAAGACAGAGGCGGAACAAGGGGACTGCTTTGAAACCATCAACATCTTCTCAAGAGGGCCTCAGGAGCGAGGACACCGGACGAGGCACTCACCAAGCACGGCGGGGAGAGGGATGTTCTTCGATTCGTAGGCGCCTCCCAGGGGCAGCATGTAGATGTAGCTCATGATGCCCTCGCGCAGGGAAGCCCCGAGGCCGAGGTAGAACATCGTGCTGCGCTCCGGCCCGTTCGCCGTCTCCGTGGTCTGGTTGATCTTCTTGATCATCTCCTGGTATAATAGTTCCGTCCGTCGCGACAACACGCGTGGGGAGAGCGGCGAGTTAGGTATGAACGGGTTTCGATTGGGCCGCGTCTTCGCGGGCGTTTGCCAAAAATTGCTAATCTATCTCAAGACTTATTTTCTTCGATAGAGTTGGATTCGTTGGGTCATACTGACAAAATAAAACAACAAATATCAATGCATGGTATATAGTTTTTGTAACCCGCCCGGTTCCTCCCCCCCCACCCCCACCCCCCCCAAAACAAGCGTTTCTCCTTCCCCGTGGGTGTGTACAAAGTACAGAGAAGACAGGGTCCACCCGCATGGCCGACGTTCGTCCGCACTTTCGGTCGACGTATGCACCTGGTAGTATGTCCCGCTCGACACGGTGCGGCTTCCCTGCTGCAGGATGGAAACGCCGAGATGCGTGAACACGATCGCTCCCACCACCTGGAAGAACCCGGTGAAAGCGGTCTCCGAGTTACCGCTCAGAGCGTAGAACCTCAGCAGCTCCATGAAGAAGATCGTCAACCCGCCTGCGTGATCGCGCGTGCGGCGAGGGGACGGAAAGGGGGAAGAGCAGGTTGGGAGGGGTGAGAGAGAGAGAGGCGGGGGGGTTGTGAGTGGGCAGCGAGGAGGACGGCGACCACAATTAAAGGAAAAATAAATACACACACAGAAAGACTACCCAATGACAAATGTCTCTCGCACGCATGGGGCGGTGGGACAACATCCGCTCAGGGTTGCTCTCATCTCTCTCTCTCTCTCTCTCTCTCTCTCTTTTCCCCCGCACTGCTGTGTAGTGCATGGGATGCCACAGCGGTATGCATACATACCGGCAAGTGCCGTTCCCGGTTTCCACGGTCATTTTCCGTATCTTGTCACCAGCAAAAGGAAGGGTTTATCTCCCAGTGAGAATTGACATACTTGGCTGTAGGAGACAAACCCCTCAAAACCAGTTCCCACCTAAAACAAAATGAACGAACAGCAGCCGTCAAGACTCGTTCCCATTTTCCGCACAATCTCAGCAGCAAGGAGAGGGTGTTCGAAGTGAACGGCATCTATCTATCATCTCTCGAATAGTATGTATCTCCTCACCAGCAAACAAGGTCAGCATGAGGCCGCACCAGGTCCCCATCTTGAGGCTTCGCATGGACAGAGGCCGCAGGACCTGTACCGAGGCATGGAGCTGGTTGGCCCCCTGCAAACGGACCCACGGCAGCAGCAGCGGCGGCGGCGGCGGGCAGGGAACGGGTACGTATGTACATGCGCACGGGGCAGGGTGGGGCGTGTGAGGCGTGAAACACGCAAGCAAGGTCCGGTATCGCGGGCGATGACTAGAGAGAGGAAAGAGCGCACAAATGGCATGTCGGCGAAATATGGCAGTAATCGCTAGATACCACACGTCTGCTTGCTATTTTTACCAGTGCGGTAAGTCGCTCGAGGAGGGAAGAAGGCCCCGTGGAAAGAACGCAGCCGGTCTGCCGCACCGTCACAGGGGGAAAAGGAGTCGGGAGTACTCCAACACCGTAGCCGTCTTTTGCCAGAGCAGCCTTTCGTTTTACCAAACAGAGTAGAAACTACCGGTATCTGCTACACGTACATGTACATCCGCCGTTGGGGGAAACGGAAACCCTTCGTCGGCGTCGCCAGGTCAACGAGTTATCACCCCACGCCGACTCTTCGGGCGGGCACCCTGCAACCCGACGGGCGGTCATTTGACCTGTAGATCACCCCGCCCAACTGTGCGCGGTGAAATCACGGGGGGCTTCCGTGCTAACAGGCTCGATTCGTACCGAAAACCCGTGATACAAAACTGCTCAAAACTGGCGCCTACGAAGACACACGTGGTTGTGAAAAGGAGACTGCTGTCAAAAACGGAGGAAGGTGTTGCGTGGAAAAAATTGTTAGGGCACCCCTGGCCACTTGGCCACCTGGAGCACTCGCGTTTCTGGAGACCGTTCTCCACGCGCTGTTTGAAAGGACACGCCCTTCATTGTGCCCGCGAGCAAAAAATTCTTGTGCATACGAACGTGCCTTTTTCGAGACCGAATTTTGGGGGGGGGAAGGGGGAAGGGGGGGTCCGCAGAGTGTAGAGTCCCAGGCAGAGGCGGCACGACGCCACTCATCCTTGATAAGCTGCCTGCTGGTTGTTGCGCTAAAAATAAGTAGCAAGTTTACCCACACGGGGGAACAGGGCAAACGTCTACCCGGCACCCCATCTCCAACTTCCAACCGCTCATGCTAGACAATGCGTTACGCGCACGCCGCGCCGGCCACAACGGTTTTCACCCCAAAACAACGGGAAATGGAAACTAAATACACAAAATGCCCGAAAGTACGCTAAAATCATGGCATCATGATCAGCGATCATGGGAGGGATGCTCATGATCAACTCCGCTCAGCGCAAATGTAGGAGTCTGTCATCGGCGCGCCTCACCTACACATATATACGTAAACACGAATAGCACGTAACTACATACAGGTATAATTAGGTACGCCAATAGGGGAGCGCACTTGCAACCACAGGTGTGAAACCGGATACAATCTGCTGCTCTAGGAAAAGCGATGATGCATAAGCCAGCGGGGGGCCGAGTGCGTGCGTTGTTGGATGGATGAGGAACATAGAACACATTTTGATGGATATTTTTCCTGGAAAAATTCGCCGTCATCCCGTCCTTTCGTTTTTGTTTTGCCCTCTCATCAAGCACGGCGGGGTGCTGCACTGAACAACAGCGCTCCAGATCCCCCCCCCTCAACTAATACGCACACACACACACACGTGAGAGAGAGAGAGAGAGAGAGAGAGAGAGAGAGAGCCACCGCAAACGCCCCCGCCCACGAACGCTATTTTAGAGAGAGGGGCCGAGAACAATAAAAAAAAAGCTGGGCCGCACCTACTGCTGTTGTGCGAATGCAATCAAGTACAGCAACAAAAGACCCAACCAGATGGCCAACAACTCGATGAACGGCACCGACAGCACACCGAATCAACCATGTAATTGCTGCGCGTATCCCGCCCTCTTTCTAATGACCACAACAAGGTATACGGCGGCGGTCCCGACACATGAGATACCAGCAGACACGCATTCTTCTGCACAAGCTGGACGCACCTCCCGCGCGCTTGAGATGGCCACTACCGAAGCCCGGAAGAAGGCGAAAAACGACGGGATGGCGAAGATGCCAAGCCACAGGCTGGCGCAGGTGAAGAATACGACGATCAGGATGAGGATGGCGTTCGTGATGCCCGCGGCTATGTCCTCGCCGGACCGCTTCTTGCCCACGACGTCGTGGCCGGCGGCCACTCCGCCGAACTGCGGCATGGCTGTGGTGCTGCTTGGCAGGGAACCGGGCCTTTCTGCAACGCCAAAAAGGTTGTCAAAAAACAGTTGGTGCAGTTTGGTTGCTCTTGCTGGCTCCGACGGTACGGTACGAGCCGCGCCTCCCCTCGCTCAGCTCCTCTCCTGCCTGTGGGCGATGGCGACGGCAAAGGGACGCGGTGGTTTTCGACCATTCGTCGGCGTGGGCCACGTACACTGCCGTCCTCGCCCTGTCGGGGAAGAGCCTTTTTTTTCTCACGCACTCAACCGGCCCCAACGAAATGCGGTCAGTTTGCCGAATTGCGCGAACGTCCTGTTTAGGTAGCTTCTGATTTTCGTCCTACTGTCCGGCGTTGGTTGGCGTACGCGTTGATACACTACAGGGCCCACAGCACCACGGTGGACGTGAGATGGGCACCTCGTCCTCAACATACCGCGCCCCTCTCCCCCTGGCAGACACTGGCACCCGACACTCGCACAAAAAAAAAATCATCGCATGGGAGCGCGGGCGGGCTAAACAACACCGGAAAAGGAAGGAACTAAAACACCTCCCACCTCACCTACAGGGCCACCGACACCAAACTCTTGGACTTGGAGCGAAGAGATAGATAGAGAGAGAGAGAGAGAGAGAGAGAGAGAGAGAGAGAGAGAGAGAGAGAGAGAGAGAGAGAGTTAAGCCAGAAGATGGCAAGGCTGCTGAGTGTCCCGTGGGGGTGCAGGATGGATGTGTGTCCGTGGGTAGCAAAAAAATCGCAGGTCGGGGCGATGACCCAGGTAAATCCATCAAAGAATCGTCTGAGAATGTTCCCATTGGCGACTGGCTTCGGCCACCGCGCCACCGCCGCCATCTCATTGGGCAAAGAAAACAGCCAACGGAAAAAGTAAAAATAATTATTGTTCTCATCTTTTTCTGCCTGCACGCTCTCTGCGCTCTTTTCCCACAACCAAGCCTTCGACGCAGCGTCCGCCGTCAACACACTCGAAAGGCTACGGCAGGGTTAGTCACAAACACACACACACACACACACACACAGCAGGAGACGACCCTCTGCGCCACGAGGAAGGGAAAGACGCACGTAAGAGAGGTCATGCGTGTCGCTCCATGGCTCGCGGCGGTGGTGTGGTCGTCGCTGTTCTTGGCGAGGCTTGAGGAGGTGCGGGCACAGGATTCCGAGGACTCCTCCTCCGACTCCCAGGAAGAGGCGGGGGACGATGCCCAGGAGGTCACTGCGTTTGCCCAAGGCGGCACTACCAACTTGGTCGACGACTTGTGAGTTTTCGAAAGGCGTAGATAGATCATCGGCGGTCAAAAGCTAGAGAGACAGGCTCTGAAATGGTTGCCTCACACGTCATGGTGGGTCGTATTTGAGACCCTACAACTTGTGTGTAACCCCGCAAGCTGTCAGACGTCGGCCCCTTCCAGGGTATACGGCCACGCCGGCCCCTCTTTTTTGCTCGCCACGGGGCAGAGGCGCGCGTCTTTTCTTTCTGCTCGAGCCACTGGGCAAACACCAACACCCACATCAATCTCTCTCTTGACCTCCTGTGTGCTAGGCACGGAGACTCCGACGAATGAACGCCCGAAAGCTACAAGTACAGAGTGGCGTTGTTGGTTGGTCGAAAGAAGTTTTATTGTAGGTGTTGCGGGTTGGTCAAAAATAGAGTAGCAGACAGAGGACGTGCTCTCGACTTGAGAACACACAAACACACACGGAGGAGTTGTTGCGTCTTGGCCCGCTCACGGTAACGCAGCCCTTGGATATCGGCAGCTACGTTCCAAATCGCGTGCCGTCCTTGTTTGGTTGGTTGGGTTTGGCGGACGAGAACACGGGCGGTTGCCCCGCACAGCGTCGCAGACCTTAATCGCCTACCGCGTAATTAGTAAGTTTCCTCGCAAATTATTTTGGTGATGATTATGATTTCTTCTCTTTCTTCTGCTCGAGAGTGCACTGGACTCTCGAGGGAACAAGATGGTAAGAGGTGTAGTAGCTTGAAAGCTCTTCCCAGCCCTCATTACAATACATACAGTAAGGAGGAACGAGGGCGACGGCAGCGATTTTTTTTTACGTGTCGGCTTGTCCCGAGAATCAGCATGTATGTCTGCAAACTTCTGGGTGTACCTCCGCAAGCGTTGTACAGCGGTCATGTCCCGTTGTACCGCTGTGCATGCGTAGGTAACAAGCTACACCTTTCCCGACATCTTCTTTCTACACCTTCCCAGCATAACGTACAGCAGTCAGAAGCACAAGACGGCCACCAAACCATCTTGTCGAGGCTGCTACCCACAGGGGAGAATTGCTGTGCGCTGCTCGGGAAAGAAAATAAACACTCGTGCAAGCAGTAGTGCTCCGCTCATGTGTAATCATCGCGAAGTTATTCTGGACTCTTGTCCGTGGATAGCAGATGGGTTCGCGTCTTTCTGTGCGTGTTTTTATTATTCCTTAAGATGGGTTCGCGTTGTGGTATTAAAAAAAATCCACCGCGGTGCATCGGGACACCGGGCTTTCGAGTCTTGGGGGAATATACTGATAGCTTTTGGCATATTATCCAAATTCCGTGACAAGCCGCGGTGTATCGGGACCCGCGCTACCCGGGACCGCGGCATATCGGAACCCACCACCACAGCAGTTTGTGGCATCCGTCCACTCCAACGTTACCAAGACCTTCACAATATAATTCTGTTTCGTACACTACTATTGCAGCAGTACAGGCACGTGGGTGCAGAGCAGTGCAGAGAACATTGTTCGCGGAAAGCACATGCCTCTGCGTGGGTGCTGTAACGACTAGTTAGCCTCCGCCACCTCCCCGCCAGGTTTTCCGCCCAATTGGCGCTAAATACCCCTCTACTCCGACACGTGCCTTTTCTGCGAACAAGCTTGCTTCCCATCCTCACGGGATGTTGCCGTATTTGCGTTCTGTCGCCCCACGCGGGTGTTTTTCTGGCCGCTGGGTTGATTCCTGTCAGCGAATGGCGTTGATTCCTGCCAGCGAATGGCGTCGCCCCCGAGGCTACATAAGATCGGCTGCCTGTTTAGCAGCAACACCTGTGCCTTGGCCACAGGAGGGCAGCAGCATAGAGCCCGCCGTGGGCACCGATGCAACCAACCGCTGTGCAACCTCTCGACAGCAAAGGAGTAGTAGATAATGGAGGGCGACCGGCGGCGCTGTCGTGCGTCTTCTTGGCGGCGAGCGATGCCGTCGACCTTACCGCGTCTCGTTCTCCACTACAACTGTTGCTGCTTGCTGCTATTAACAGTCTCGTCCTCGCAACACACCGTCTGACACGCACGCCTGCCCTGGCTTTTCGCCCCCCCCGCCACCGCTGCTGCTGCTGCTGCTGCTGCTGCTGCTATTCTTGCGGGGGTTCCGATACCGCCAGCGCTGTGGCGGGGGTCTGGATTGTGGATACCTCGCAGCTGTTCGTGGCGGCAAACACCGGCAATGAATTATCAGGCGGGACCAACGGTAGGCGCACTACATAGCTTAGACTCGTTCCCAAATCTCCAGGAATCCGTTCCGCGTATCCCCCTCGTAATGCTCTCCGTCTAGCGATCGTCGTGTTTAGCATTTGATGCCCCCCTGATACACGCTTGGCAACGACGTTGTTGATCAAGCCCATCACTTCATGAGCTCGACAACCAGGTTACCGTTATTTTATTTTATTTTTGCGGTGACTATGTTGTTGGTCGGGTAGATTATGTTGTGCGGGGTCAGGGAAGGCCATGATCGCACCACGAAGGGGGCGACAAGACAAATACGAATACCTGCAAGTCTGGGCCGGTTGACAAAAAATAAAAAGTTAAAATAACATCGCGTAAAGGAACAAGAGTATCTGGGGGGGGGGGTACCCATAGTCGTGCATGCCGTAGTCGCAAGACCATTAACCTCGCATCACTACAAACCCGGGACGGAGCATGCCAGGTTCCCACCGGACCAGGCCCTCACATCATCGCGCTTCGTGAGGTATTCGGCGAGTCGCATGGAAGGGTGTGCTGCATCTTGCTACGGGTGGTCCGCGTCTCGTGCTTTCTTCCTTGCATACGGATGACAGCAGCGAATGACTTAACTTCTGGTGCCTTGACTTCCAGAGACAGCAGTCATGAGTACTGTATAACTGCCTCGAGGGCGCTTGACCCGGCCCCCACGTCCTCTGTTTTTTTTTTTTTTGTATTATATCTGAAGCCGGCGGCACCGACTTCGCCATCATCAAGTACAACAGCGACCTCGAGCTGCAAGATTCCGTCCAGTATGGGGGCGATGGGGACGACACCATTACCGCCATGGCGGTGGACGAGAGTGTTCAGAGCGGCATCGTCATCGTGGGGTCGACCGCCTCGGATGAGGAGCACCTCTTCGGCCTCGACACCGCACGTGAGTCACGGATATCAGGCCGAATGGGGGTCCCCGGATATCAGGCGAGCTGATGTGTAGTGACGGCCACATAGGGCAGAAGCCTCACTCCATGCGTAGTAGAGAACAACTTGGTTATTCCATCCACATACATATGCCAGCCAATTTCACTTGGGGGATCGCGTTATTGACACCTCCTTGTTCGGGGCCCCCCACTTCTGTACTCGTTTTGGATTCTCGGCTGTTCGAGAGCAGTGGGGGGCTTGGGTTCTCCTGAGAGCCAACACGCCTCCCTTTCTGTCTGCAGCGTCCTTCTCGTCTCACACCCTCTTGGCCACCTCTCTCTGGTTTCACCAAACCTGCCCTACATTCCTGCTGCTGTCCACGCGGTCTCTACACGTTCCCCGCTTTGGATACATTGCTCACAGCAAGAAGTCAGCAAGAAGTATGTAGAGGATTTGTAATTCTCCATCGACTGCTGTAGATAGCACTCTAAACCTCGCACCACAGCAGCATGCGGAAGTTCTATCTCTCTCTGCGTCTCTAGCACAGGCGTACACCGTTCTTGTCGCAAGGTACTTTCGTTCCGCGCTAGATGGACCGACCCTTGGTTGTGCTTGATTTGATTTCCCGCTCTCCCGGTCCCTGTCCCTCTCTCTCTCTCTCTCTCTCTCTCTCTCTCTCTCTCTCTCTCTCTCTCTCTCTCTCTCTCTCTCTCTCTCTCTCTCTCTCCCTCTCTATCTCTCTCCCTCTTTCTCTCTCTCTCCTCTCTCCTCTCTCTCTCTCGCCCCCCCCCCCTCTCGCCCCTCTCTCGTTGTCTGTCTGTCTTTCTCAGCCCGGGAGCAGGACTATTTCATCGCCGAGTTGAGCAGCGGCGACCTTGAGGTCACCAAGCAGTTCGTCAACGGTTCCCAATTCAACAACGAGGTCAGGTGCCACGTTTTTTTTTATAAGAAATTTCTTCCACTTTGTCGTTAATTCAGAGCAAAGAACGATCTCCGTTGGAGATATAACCAACCACAGTAGTCGAAAGGGATGTGCTGAGCGCTGAACTCTTTGAGGTGTTGGCGGTGTTTTGTTGCCCTCTCACCCTGGCCGACACTGGGTGGCGCATGACGTACGTAGCCACCACCTCCCTCCTTTTTCATCCGTCTCTCCGATCCTTTTCGTTTTTTGTGTTTTTTGTTCCGCCCTGCTGATAGAAGTAGCCACCGCCTCCCTCTTTTAGTAAATTCTGCCGCCTCTCCTATCCTTACGATGTTTTTTTTTGCCTGCGCTGCTGACAGGAATTGACAGTCGTCGGCCTGGAACCGGTCCTGGACGGCGCCTACTTCGCGGCGGGTTGGGCAGCAAGTAAGCGATCTTGCTTCTTATTTTGTCCGTGTCCGTGGGTCTGAAAAATCGAGACAAATACACGCACACATGTGGGTGTGCAAGCTCATACTCTCTTGGTGTGGCGAGGGAGGGCATGGGGCCTGTGCCAAAAACAATACAAAACAAAACAAAAGCTGGAAAAAAGACGGCCCAGAGGAGAACATTTCGCCGGAGCCCCCGCCGAAATGTCGCGATATCATAGTACAGGTGTTTTGTTTTTGTTTTCTTGCATTTTGCCAAGCGATTTCGATACAACAAAGTAATACGTTGCCCCTGAGGGAGAACCCCGCCCTCGCCCTTTCTCACGTTGGCCATCACCATCCCCGCCAAGCGAAAAGCGACGTACGTACGTACGTACATGTGTAATGGCCTATCGTGCGGGCAGGGAGGAGGCGCTCCCGGCCGCGTGCTTCGCATTGCATGCGGATAATGGCTTAGGAGCAACACCTTGTCCTGTCTTTCGCCCTGCTCGTTGGTCAGCCGTTACACCCCGACACTATACGAACCGGCACATTTTGGTCGCCCGTCGCGAACCAACCAGGTGCCGACGGACAGGACTGGTTCGCCCTCAAGATAAACCATGACATGGATGACATATTATGGGAGGAGCCTTTCGAGACCACGGCGGTGTCCGACCTGCCCACCGCGATGGTCGTGAGCAGTGATGCCGTGTATGTGGTGGGGTATTCCGCCGACTTCGAGGAAGATCTCGGTGAGTTGCTGCTGCTGTGCTTGCGGTAGAATTATCGGGCTCTTTCCGCGCGCCCGTGGTTGTGGAGCAAAATCGAGGATTGAGCGTCGGTTCAGCGGGGGGGTGCCATCTCTTCGCCGCTTGCGGTGTGGCAATCGTCTCTCGTGGATGGCACCTGTCGTCGTATCTCCGTCCTCATCATTAAGTTGGTGGCCGTCGAGATGGGGATGCGCAATATTACCTGAAGTCAAATCAAGAAGGAGCATTGCTTGGCAGCTGTCGTTGTTGTTGAGATAGGTGCAATGATGAAGGGTGATGCCCAATCTCGATCACGATCCGGCGCACGTTTCTGTTGAGATTTAAGGTATAGGTGCAGTGGTGAACGACGAACAATCTCGATCACCTTGAGCGGCCGGCCCGCACTTTCGACCGTGTCGTTACGTGCGGCACCAGCGAGGGGGGTCCCGGTGATGCAGCAGCGGTGACGTACAGTACATCACTCTTGCAGAGCGAAAAAAAAAAAAAGTCCGGGTTCATGTTCTCGTTCTTGTTTCCCTATTTCGAAGGAGGGACAAACCTTTTGAGGAAATTTCCGGCGGCCCAAAATCAAGTTGGCGAAAAAATGGTGCTGATCAAGAAAATCGGTTGGCTGTTGTAGTTTTAAGTGCAGCACGTACCGCCGGATATGGTATGGATGGGTGCTGTGACTCAACGAAACGCATCCATTGTGCGCGATAGTTGAGGGAAGGGGGGGGGGGGGGCAGGGGGGGCGTACTCTTCTGTTTGCAGCCGTAGCGGTTAGACCATTAACCCCGCGTCCTCGAGAGGACGGAGCATTGTTCCCACAGGACCGATCACCGATGGCCAATAGCTCTTTCCTAGTGTGCCAGTGGGGGCTCAAACATATCTTCCCCTGTCTCGTATCTATCCTTCGATATCACTTCCCGCACTTTCAACCCACTTTCTATTCCCCAGCACTGTACTGTACAGAGGGGGAGGAGGAGAAACGCGGGAGAAGCCCCCGTGATACAGCAGGTTCTAGCCAGCAGCCAGGCCTTGAAGGCATGCCCGCTTTCGGCCGTGGGGTGGCTCCGTCACCAGTTGTTTTGTTCTCGAACGAACGTCCTCGTGATATTTCTCGTTCCGTCGCTTTCTCGCAGACGACGACGAGGTGGAAGAAGTATCGTCGCTGTTCGTGTATGCCCTTGACGTGGACGACGGCAGCACACTCTGGGAATTGACCACCGAGTTGGGGACCTTGGTGCGTTTTTTTTTTTGCGTTTTTTCGGTAGTTGTCGCGACGGAGGAAAAACGAGGAAGTTTCACTCTAGTACTTAATTGTTGTATCATGCCTGTAGTAGTGGCAAAATCATCCTTCTGTTTCCGAAAAGGCTGTTCGTTTTTGTCGAACACGAAGATCGTGCTTTTCTGTTAATTGGTACGAGTACGTTTTTGCCAACCAAACGCGACTTTCTCGAATATTGTAAAAGATGGTTCTTTCAGTTTTTTTGGTTGCTTAAGAAATCGAAAGCACTGAGAACACCCAAGAGCAGCGAAATCACGAGAGGTTACAAGGTGTGCGTTTGTGCGCGTTTTCAGCGTGACTCCCGCCCACCCTGCACCCTCGCAACGAATAGCATACGCAGGGTGGTTGACCATGTTTATTTTTCTTCGTCGTTTTTTTTTTTTTTTTCCTTCAGGCGGACGGGTCTCAAGCTCATGGCGCAGTACTCAGCGCAAGCGAAACCGAGCTCTACATCGCGGGACACACTAGCGGGATCATCCCTGGCTACGACGGGGACAGTGAGTGGATCCTCCCAAAATAACGAAATAACATACATATGCCCCCAAGGGTAGTTTTTCATTAGAAAAATAGAAGTAAGCATGAAACACAGGAAGACTATCTACCCGTCCGAGATATAACCATACAAGTAGCAGTCGATTTTTTTTTTTTGTAGTTGGTTTCCGTCCCTGAACGTTTTGAACGCAGGCTGATGGATGTTGGTGCAAAGTCAGGTCGAGTGATCATCGGCTTGGTCCTCTTAGCTTCTTTGTTCTTTTTTAGTCTCCTATTCGTTTGTGGCCGTTTCTGTTGTGCGGCACCGGCGGGCCCTACTCAGGTTATATATTGCGTGCCTCAGCTGTTCGACCGTTGACCATGCGTCCTGGAGAGGACGGAAGTTTGAGTCTGGGGGGTTACCTTTTCTCGGCGGATGCGCTCTTGAATCTAAGAGTTGGTATTCTTGCGTGTGTACCACGGCTGCTGAGCCATGCGTCCGTCGTGTTCGTGATCGGCGGTCCCATCCCAACACGTCACCTGACTTGTGTGTATGCACCCACACCCCCACAACCCACCCAACCCGAAAGCACGAAGGATAACTTGCGACGTGCGGAGCCACACTCCTTCGGTCGTTGTTGGCGTCTCCCTCCGTGAAGAGTATTATGTACCCACGATGACGGTGCCCCGTTGGTCAACGGTAGTAATCCTACCTGCAGCACGCCAACCAAGAGAAGCCGATCACGCCCCCCCCAAAATGTCGGCCTACAGCTACGGATAAAGGACGCGTGTGGTCAATGGTCTAACCGATAAGACAACCAAAAGAGCTGAACACGCCCCGTTGCCCTCCTTCGTTGTTTGCGTACTACCGCCCGACCATCAAGTGTCTGCGCACAGACACGGATATATGACGCGTGTCCCACGCCCTAACCGCTAAGGCATGCAAAACGTGAGTACCCCCGCCCCCTCCCTCCCCCCAACCCTACTCTCATTGTTTGCGTACTGAACGTACAGCCACGGAAACCGACGAGCTTTTCGTGGTGGCCATCGACATCGCCGAGGAGGCGGTTAGCTGGGTCTGGCAGAGCGAGGCCAACGCGACGGCCTTCGGCACGGCGGGGATCGTTCTGGCCGACGACGGAAGTCCCATCGTTGGCGGCATCGCGTTCGGGGACCAGTTTAACCTCAGCTCCGCGTCTTTCACGTACTGGGAGGTAGGCTCGGGGCTGACGCCTTTTGTTTTTCGGGGGTTTCGGGGGTTTCGGGGGTGGGGGGTGGGGGGTTGTTGTCGGGTGGTTTGTTTTGTCGCGCGGACAGACGTCGTGTCAGAGCAAGCAAATATATACTTGCGAGTATATATATGTTTTGTGCCAACCCGGAGGACGAACAAAAAAGCTTGGGCGCTTTCATATGATAGGGGCATTTTTGTTTTTTTCCATCCGCGAGCTTGACGACGGCGACCCCGACGGCCGAAACTGTACCGCCGTATGTACCATGGGCCAAGAACCGCGCGCGTTGGTGTACCGAACCACGTCGCGAAGTCTCTTTGCTGGACACCACCGTCCGTGTGCAATGATGCTCTTTTTTCCGTGGGTCGATCCACGTTCCCGTGAGGTGGACCACTTTCCCGTGCATAGATGGTTGTATTTTTTCCCGTGGGTTGCCCAACTTCCCCGAGAGTTTGGCCTCCGTCCGTGCTTTTATTGTCCTCTCTTTTCCCGTGGGCTGATCCGTTTCCCCGCGAGTGAGACCTCCTTCCCGTGCATTGATGATCCTCTGCGGTTTTTTGGCCCTACCCGCGGTTTTACAAATTCCTCTTTCAAAAACGATGACGCAGTTCGGCTCCGGTGACTTCGTCGCCGCTAAGATCGACATCGACGACCCGGAGGACATCGAAGTGTCCAAGTACTTCGTCGCTGCGGCCGCCAGCAACGAGACGCGGGAACAGCCGTTCTCCATCGTGAAGGACACCGACGTCGCCGACGGGGTTTTCCTGATCGGCCAGCAGGACGGCATTTTTGACGGGGAGGACTCTGAGGGTGGCGGTGAGTAACACGTGGGAGGCGAGTTGCGGCCCGACAACGACGCGGAGTTTTCCCGGAGATTATTTTTTGGTTTTGTCCCGTTTTGCTTTTCACGGTACAGCAGTAGAGGGACGTACAGGAGAATGGCATTCGAGAGATGCGACCCGGTGTTGCAACGTGGGTTTCACGGAGGTTTTGTTTTGTCCCGTTTTGTTTTTTTGACGGTGAGGAACCACGTCGGGTTGCAGGAGACGAGAACGGCGGCGAGGAATTCGGCCCGATGTTTCAACGTGGATTTTTCACGTGTTTGTTTGGTGCTTTCACAATGGTCACCATCATGACAAATAAGGCTGGCTTCAGAGCTGGCCGCGGCTTTTTGTTTATATATATATGGCCTACGATAAATATACGCATACATGTAACCAGTTGAAATGTTTTTTGGCATGTGATACGGTTTGGCTTTTGAGTCTGCCCTCGTTTTTTTTTGTGGCCGAAGACAAGCGGACATGCGCCTGTGCCTTGTCACGCGATTAGGACATCGCCTCTCACATGTTGCGACCCCGAAAAAATGGAAAGAAGCATAGCCGCATTTTCCTCTCGATAAACCCGCGCGCGTCAGAGACGACACCTTTTCGTCTACCGAGGGCACCCTCTGGCCCACGGTCATGTGTTTGTGCAGAAGGGGGCAGCGCGGAGTTCAACTGTTAGAGGCGGTAACGACCGTGCTGTTCACGTTGTACACCCCCGACCATGCTTGATTTACTCTGTTGGCGTTCGAATTAATTCCGTTTTTATCAGAAAAACTCGTGTTTTTTGCATCGTGTGCTCTGTTTGCCTCTTATCTACTGTACGCCTTGCAACAAAACCAACGCGCCCTAACCATAAGTAGTTTTTATTAGTTGACCCACCCTGTGCTTCCGTCCCCGCAATCTCTGGCGTATTCGTCCGCTCTCAACATGGCCGCAGACCCGCTCAACTACCTGGTGTTGAAGGTCGAGCTGGAGGTGTTGCCGGAGAAAGAGGACGACGACGACGACGACGGGAGGGATTTCCCGTACTGGTACATCGGGGTCCCGCTGTTTGCTGGCGGGATTGCTCTCTTCGTAGTTGCCTACAAGTGGGCGGCGGCGTCACAGGTACGATATGAGAGACAAATGAATGAAAACAAATGACGCAAGGTGCTCCATGCTTCACACGTGGGACTCTTGGACGGAACGTTGAGGTACAGCTGCTGCTGCGGCTGCTGCAGGATACTGCTGAATAACTTGCACGAGTTCTTCGATTCCGGCTTCCCGGTCTATTCGGAGCGTGTTCGTTTTGGAGGTTTTTGTTTCTTTTATTGGATGAACCTTGGTATTTTTTTTGCTCATGGTCATTGCCGTACAAACACCTCGATTTTTTTCTTCTAGTCGTTTGTCAAGACTTCCGTCTTGTTGCTAAGTATATTTTTAACAACCAAAACCAAACCCCATCGCTGCAATCCATGGAATAAACAACAGTTCCACGATAAAACCCAGTGCAAGTTCCTTGTATGCATGTTTAGCCAGATGAAGCTCTGCACGCCTAGGTGAAACTGAGCATCGTTCCTCCCGGACACCGTTCCCTGACGACCCCCTATTTACGATTGGTACTCACCTTCTCAGGCGGCGAAGGCGAAACGAGCAACGATGGTGTAGGTAGACCCAGAGGAACTCCGTGCGGCGGGGCTAGGGGATGGAAAATATTCGTCCCCTCTTCTCGTGGCCAACGCCTCCTGGAGACGAGCGGGGAGATGGCAGGAAACAAGAATAAAAATTGCCTCTACAATTACTTCTGCTGCGATTCGTGCCTCTTGTTTTGCAGTGGGCGCGCGTGGTCGGAGCAAGCGTCCTCGTCGGAGGTGTTGCCGGTTGTGTGTATCGTGTGGTTGTTGTTGTGATTGTCGTGGTTCCGAATAGTTGGACGTCTTGTGGTGTATTGTACCGGTATTCGTTGCGTCGTTTTGTCTCTTGTGTTTGGACGTGCTTTCTTCCCCTTTCGACGTTCCTGCTTCTTTCTCTTGGAACGTTTTCTGCGTGCGAGACCTACCTCTGCTGTTGTTGGGTATGTAGCATCTCGGCGAGCTTGTGCAAGGCAGGAGGCAGGTGGCCCGACTCTCCCCCTTGTGTGTGTAGTTGTCTTGGTTGGCGGTTCGTTTGTAGCACAAGAGGTACGTCTTGCTCGATAACTAGGGCTTTGGAGTCTGGTAAGGGAGGGGGGGCAGACGGGGGAATGGGGGAGAAAAAGTCCGTGCAAACTGCTGCGCGTGGTGAATCACGTATTTACCCTCCGGTGGCTTCAATCTGTCCACGGGGTGTCAATTGTGTAATTGTTTCTGGTCCTGATGGATGCCACCCGCGGAGAAGCGGCCGTAATTTTGGTTTTTTTGGGGGGGGTGGCTATCTACCTGTGGTGAGTTAGGCGCTGCATCGGGGTTCTTTCTGTCAAGCAACATAATTTCTGTTTCGTATTCGGCTATAGGTACAACTACGCGTGTGTCTTGTTTTTTCATGCTATGAGTGGCTTTTTCGAAGTTTTGCGGTAATGGTTTCCTGTCCTGCGTGGGTTGGCGTTATTGTCGTGGTGAGCGACCACGCCGCGGAGTGTATGGTTTGGCGATTACAGTTTTTTTTGGGTCCCCCCTGTTTTGGAATCGAATATAAGACTAGGGGAGGGGGGGGGGGGGCACGCGGGCAGTATACTAATTTCCTTGGATCCAAAGCCACAGCAAACAATTAGAATATTATCACAACCTGTTGGCAGCTCTCAAAGCAGTGTTTGATGCTCAAAAGGCAGCGTACCTTTGTTCGAATGGAAAAGTTCCTGGGGTTTCCCGAGGTCGGCCTCCCTATCTATGCTGGCGACGATGTGCTGCGTCCGGTCGTATTCGGCACAGAGCAGGTTGATGTGTGCTTTGCTGTGGCCTTGGGGGCGCGAAGACTGTAGGTGATTGGTAGGTCAGTATGGTGTAGGAACGATACATGACATGAGCGTACCACCCAAAGCTGAAGCGGTTTCCCCGGTCGATGCGGTGGGCTCTTTCGATGCGATCCTCCTGGTGGCGCTTTCGGGAGTGAGCCTTGTAGCCGCATCTCCGAGGAAAGCAAGTAGAAATATACCCCATATTCAACCGTCATATTCTACTATGCTGCGAGGAGACTACAGATTTCTTGACATGTTTGACTGGTGTCAACACAGACACATCATGCATTGTTTCGCGATGAACTATCTATACTCCTGAGCTGACGAATCGAAGGTATCGGGAACGGTCTCAAGCGGTTTGAACCAGATGCAGATGCAGAGGTAGTTATCATTTCGCCTGTTTTCGTGCTTCAGGCCATCTTTCCCTGGCGGAAGTCAATCTTTGCTCACGCTTCCTTCTCCGGGGCACGCAGGCGGTGTCGTCGGCACAATTCCGCGCCGCCCGAGGACGCCGGACGTACTGTACTACCACATAGTAGCAGCATTTGGGCAATGACAGGGGATGGAAATGTATGCATGAATCTGCAAAGTCTGCTCCCTCCTTTCTCATTCGGAGGACGTGGCATATCGAACTCATCCTAAAGACATACTATTTCATAATACTCCTCCCGCCGGTGCGCCCTCCCACAACAACTACCGTATATGACACAAGATAACACACCCCCTTGGCCGATTTTCAAAGCTCGATTTCTCAACAGCAGGAAGAGTCACAGCGCCGAAAACGGCGGCGTTGGAACCGTCTCGTCGAGAGCTGTTCGAAAACGTATTGTTTCATTTATGCATCCTCTTCGTCGTGGAGTAATCGAGCTTTGAAAATCGGTCCAGGGGGTGTGTTATCTTGTGTCATATACGGTAGTCTATTTCTCATTATACAAGTATCGTTATTCGATGGCCGCAGCCGGACGCGCGACAAAAAAAAGAAACATGCACACAGCATCCTCGAACCCAAAACCAATCTTCGAAGCACATACAACAGTAGAACGATTGAACACTTCACACATGGAACACCGGCGACCATACGTCAGGCGTGGTCTCAGAAAACATGCCCATCCCGGAACAGCACCAACACATGCTTTGACCACACGAAATTTCCTTCAAAAAAAAATGGCCAATCGGAAAACTGCGGGTACCTTTAATCTCTGATCTATGCATATAATCTACCAAAACAATGTATCTGTTCTTATTTGGCATGTTTGCCTCGTAAAAATCACAACTGGCAACTGTGTGTTGGGCCACAAACGGTGCCATTCTAGGGGGAGACGTGTGCCGGGTACCAATCTTGCAAAGTCTTCTACAACCGTTTTCCGATCCGTGCTGGAGGAACAAGAAATTCTCAGACGGCAGCAAGGCGGCGGTTACCGTACACTCCCGCTAGCTCTTGTGTCACACAACGGGGGTCGCTCCCCCATAATTGCTGCCGCTAGAAGACAATGCTGTCAGCCGCCACACCTACTGTTTTTACAAGAGCACGATCCCCCCCCGCAGACATGCCACGGCAAGGATACGCTGCAGGCTGCCACAAGCGGTGGTTCACCACCGGCGCCCGAAACTTAAAATTAACTGCCGCGACAAGAATGAGAATTAGAACATGCGGCAGTTTTAGTTGAAACGAGAGGGTTTCCCCAAGCGAGTCGACCAGCCCTTGAAGTTGCTGCAGTCCGTTCCGCCGAAGAATCTACGTATATCAGAGGCAGCGCGTATGCACACAAGCACGGGCATCGGGGGGGCGGGGGCGGAAAATCACGGTGAGCTATGAGCACGAGGGGATAGACCGCCTGAGAGAGGACACGAGTAGCAAGAGGAGATCCGGCGCAACCAATGGTTGCGCGAGGACATCGGTGTATTGTGGTCAGGATTAGTGTCCGGGGGGACGAGGACCGCGCGTAGCGATACAGATTTAAAACGGGTGGGAGTTGATTGCGGTTGTGGACCACGCGGTCAAGGGCGATGAGACAGGCAGAGGGGACTGGAGAGCATGCCGGGGAGGAGGGCAAAGGGTAGGTGTGGGAGCCTTGTCAAAAGCACCAAGTGGCGGAACACGCAGGTCCTGCGTTCGCTGCAACGTTGGAGAGTTGTGTCCAGGGACACTCCAGCGCAGAAAAAACACGAGGCGACGTCAAACGGTCGTCGACGGAAAGAACGGATGGAAGAACTCATGCAGACTGACTGAAGCGGCCACCTGTTCATACAACTTGCAATGCTTCATGTTTGGAGTGGGGTGCTATCTGAATTCCGCAATGCCACCCTTCTTCGCTTACATGGTCCTCGTGATGCCGAGCTTCCTCTGCAGGTACCGCTTCTTCTCCATGCTGGACCAGAATGGGATCGGATCCCATTCCAGGAAAGGGATCTTTCGACAAAACCAAGCAAAAATAAAAGAACCAGCAAGAAACAGACGCGCGCGCGCGAGCAAGGTGGTAACGAGGTTCCTCATCATTTCCGAGAAAGAATTAACGCGCCGTCGTTCGTCATGCGCTCGCGGGCACGATGCGTACCACGGGTCCGCTTCGCGGTGTTTTTTCGGAACAATTTTACATGAGCTTTGAATCCTGGGCGCAGGTTTCGAGTTCTTCGTGGAACCGGTACATCGCGGGCAAACATGTGGGCATGATGCGTACCACCACTCCGCTTCGTGCCTTTTTTTTGGAAACGCAATAACCCCCCCCCGAAAACTTCGGAACACTACTCAAAATTAAACCTCGTGTGCATGGGATCCTGGCCGAAGGAGTTGCCCTACCCCGCTCATTGGTATCCCGCCAAAAACGGGTGATTTTACTATCCGGCTGGTTTTACAATGATACGCCGTGTTCATCTGCTGCTACTGTTACGCCTTACGCTTACTCTCTCTCTCCCTCCGAACATAGGAAGAAGAAACGATCGGGCGTCGTCCAGCAACAACAAAATAAAAAAAGACTCACCGAGACCACTGTCCAGCCCATCTTGGACAGGGTGCGGTGCTTGAGCACCATGTGCCCCAGCGGCCGCGCGGTGTTCTTGGTGAAGTGCGCCGGCCCGTCCACCTCGAGGGCTAGCTTTAGCCGCACCTTTGGGACCCGAGAAGGCAAGGTGCGGGCCAAGATAGCGGGCAAGAGAGAGAGAGAAGCCCCTTACCCATTGAGCACACTGGCCAGGTGGACGGTTCGACAAAAAAGACGACCTTGACAGCAGTGCGAATGGAGAGAGAACGATGAACGTTTCCTCACGGCAGCACGGGTGCACGATGGGGTCAAGCAGCGCCATCGTTGGTTTCGGTGTTCTGTGGCGCGGCCGGGCGTTGGTTCTGAAGGGTTCGTTCGTTATCTTGCGTGGCTGAGTATTCCCCCCGGAAGCACAGCCAAGACAGAGCTAATGGGAGGCGGTAGACGCAGACACAGAAGAGTTAGAGATGCCATGGGAAAGACCAAGCTTAAAAAACCGCCAGCGCTTTCACGATTGCTTTCACGTCATTCCGGCACCGCAATCTATCAATAGTGCTCGTCGCACCACATAGACGGTTTCAATGCAGCGTCCGCAAAAAAATCTCCCGTGGTACCCACCAGGGATGATTGTCGCTGGGCGATGCTGAACCACACCACGTTGCATGTCTATACCGTAGGTTGCACAAGATATCACACCCCCTGGACCGATTTTCAAAGCTCGATTGCTCGGCAGGAAAACGCACCGACGACGCCGAAAATGGCTGCGTTGGAACCGTCTCGTCGAGAGCCTTCCAAAAACATGTCAGTCGGCATAATCTTCGCCGTGGAGTAATCCCGTTTCGAAAGTCTTACGTGTCCACGGGGTGTGGTATATTACGCCACCTACGGAACATGGCGCCACAGCAGCAGCAGTTTCAGGCTCGCTTACCTCGGATACGTATCGACCAACTTTGGCATCAACTTCCGCGTAGAGTAATCGAGCTACTGTATGAAAATATCTCTGTCCAAAGGGGGTGGTATCTTACGCAACCATGGTGCCACAGCAGCAGCGTTTTCAGGCTCGCTTACCTCGGCGGGATCTGCCGGGTTCGGACCGGTGCCGGCGGAGAAGGACCTGAAGTCCCAGTCCTCGCTCGCCAGGCCGACGCCCACCACCTCGATGTCGATGTCGTGCTCCGACTCGTTCTCGTGCGATATCTGCATCAGGTCCAGAGTCTGGTGGCAAAGCGGGCGTGAGGAGTCGTGAGAAAAATCGGGTAAGCCTGTGCTTCTTTCACCCAACCTGGGGAGCAGCGGGTGTGGGGAGTCGTGCGAGAATTGAGTGCGTTGCTTCATCCCATTGTTGCTGCCGCGCGCTCCACGTCTGTGCATGGGATTGTGAGGAGTCGTGAGTGAATTGAGTGCGCTTCTCCATCCCATAAATTGTTGTCGCGTGCTCCAAGTCTGTGCATGGAATGTCAGAAGTCGCGAGAGGAATGAGTGCACTTCTTCATCCCATCGTTACTTTCGCGCGTGCTGCATGGGGTGCATGTGGCGCCCCTTGGGAGGCTTGGGGGCACCACGAGATGTCCGGGAAAATGAATACAATCAAGCGCAATGAATGTCGTTTTGCCTCGCACATCTGTGACGTGTTTGCGTACCAAACCATTTGGCGAAAATGATGCTTACGTGAAAGGAGTGGTGCTACGGTAGGGGGGTGACCTTATCTTACACTTTCGGGTAGAGAGACACGGTGTACGTGAACCTATTGGCCTCGTCCTTAGTCGCCGTATGATCACCGAAACAGGAGTATTTCTCCCAAACGCGGAAATTGTCGCCCCAAACGTGCACCCGTACCATGGCATCAGTCAAAGGGGGAAAAATCGTCAACGAACTGCTAGCAATCCTGTGCTTGTGATAGGGGGCCGCGCCATTTTTTGTGCTGGTCATCGAGACGAGAAAAATCACCGCCGCAACGACATGAGCGTACCCATCGGATGGGACGTTTCTTGAACATCGACATTCCGCCCGCATGCACGGACCAAGCTTTTCGCCAACAAAAGCCAGACGCGGCGAGGAAACGACGAAACACAGCTCTTTGCGGGTACAGCTGGTGGCTTGCCTGTGACACTTCGAGGTGAGAGCACGACGAGCGCTTCGTCCTCTGCTGGTTGTCGGTCCACCGGCGCTTCAGGGCCATAAGGAACTCTCCGTCGAGCTCTTTCCACAGCTCGGGCATGTCCTTACCCCAGAGCAAGTACACCTGCAGAGAAATCGAAGCACCGGGGGAGTGCAGGGGGAAAAGGAAGGGAGGTGGCGCCGTTCAGGCCAAAGTCTGGAGAACGGGAGGTACTGCCTCGAAACGGGTTGAGTGTCTTCGTCCTTCCCCAAAAACACCGCCGCGAAACACTCGGCCGCCTCTCACTTGCTAGCAAGCCGGGATAATGCGGGTTCTTCGAGTGCACGTTTGGTACATGCGTGGTCAGAAAAACGGGCGAACATGTGACCGCTGTGGAATCGTCAGACATGTGGTACCGCATGCCTGGCGGGTAGCCTGCGACTCCTGTGGTTCAGTTTTTAGTGTGGCCCGTTGTCGGCACTGGCGCCGAGCTCCTGAAGCGCACGCGCGGCATCTCTCTGAACAGCATTCGAACTGGTCGTGGCCAAACTCCAATCAAGAACTCATTTCGTTTCCCCCAGACAACTCGCCCGCTCTTGAGACAAACAGAAACGAATAAAAAAGTGAAATATTAGGCAAAGTGTCTGCTACAGCTTTCGGCAACAAGCGTGGCTGCACGAAGGCCACAACGGCAAGTGAATCCGAACTATAGCGCCCAACCTGGTAGAGCTGATGGCTCTCGATCAGCGTGAAGTCGCCCCTCTGAGCCTGAGCCGATCGGAGGAGCTCCTCGAGAAGCTCAACGTCGGCTTCGCCCATCACCGCCAGGGCCCACGCCAGGTTGGCGATCTCTTGCGCGCTCATCCCGGGACCGTCGAGCATCCTAACACGGAGCACACACAAACACGAAAAAACGAACAAGCAACGCGAAAAGTGGAAAGAGGGAAACGCACACCACAGCAAGCGGCACATGGCGAGTATACTTGGAACACGAGATGACAAAATACAATACAAAACACGACACGAACCCATCCATCGCGAATACGCAAGAGCAAACATTCACTCCTGTTTCCGCGTTGGCGCCGCGTTGGGACGTTCGCAATCGAAATGCTCAGCTCTTTTTCCTCACCGCTTGGCTTGCTTCTGCAAAGCGCTCCAGAAACGACGGTCCCGCACGTGCAGCCGAGCGTACGCCCAGGCCGTGTTGCTCAGCTCCTGCGGCCTGCGGAAATAGACCGAAGGAACGAGAACGACAGCAAGAGAGGCCGAGAAGAGAGAGATATCCAACAAGGAGAGCAGCGGAGGAATAATGAGTTGGCAAGCAAAAGGCGTGCATGGTAACGGTTGAACGTCACTTCAGCGCCCCGGTACTCAAACTACCAAGCACCGTAACAAACACCAGTCGCAAAGGAACTCTGTAACGTCTGAACGTAGGCGGGGGGTTGGTTCATGCCACCACTGCCAGCGGCCCTCCCGCGTCAACCTAGGTCTCTTACCCTCCCTCGTTCTACTTCCGATGAGGCGCACCGGGACCGTCTACCTTTACCAACCCAGGTCTCTCACTCCCTCTCTTTCTCTAGAACATTCCGTGGCTTATGCTCCTTCCCCCTGTCTTCGCGTGCGCCTTCGAAAGGATAATAAAATGGCGAACAGTTTTTTTGTTACGTCAGCATTGGGTCCTCTGCCTCTTTTCGCTCGCGCCTTCGAAAGGTTTAGAAGATGGTGAAACAGAAAAACTGACGCCGGCGTTTGGTTCTCTTACTTGAAGGCGCGAAGAGTTTCCGTGGTGCGGCTAGCCATGGCCTTCATGAGGCGAGGGTCGTCCCACGACATGCGAGCAAGGGCCAGCGAGACCATGGACACGTCCTGCGGCCTGAAGTTGCCCACGCACTCTCGGGCGGCCTTGGCCAGGACGTCCAGAGCTCGGTAGGCCGCCGGCTTCACACCCGGTGAAGGAAGAAAAACAACACGAAAATAACGAGCGCGAAAAGAATGGCGTTGGTTGGAACAATGCTCGACGATGCTGGTAATCAACGACCTTCGACGTCAACGGTCCTCGACTTCAAAGGTCTTCGACGTGAACGATGCTCGACATGAACGATGCTCGATGTCAACGATGATCGATCTTCGACATCAACGATTAGTGATTGTGGGCGTCAACGATGCTCGACATGAACGATATTCGATATCAACGATCCTCGTCGTCAACGACGCTCAACATCGCCGATGCAGCACATCAACGATGCTCGACGTCAACGATCCTCAACACCAACCATCCCGACGTAGGCGATGATCGGCGTCATCGATCCTCGACATGAACGATGGTCGACGTCAACGATGGTCGACGTCAACAATCTTCGACGTCTCGACATGAACGGTGCCGACATCAACGATGCTCGACTTCAACCGTTCTCGAGCGATCCTGGACGTCAACAAACCTCGGCGTCAACAAGGTTCGATGCAACCGATGCTGGACGCCAAACAAACCTCAATGATCTTCCACATCAAATATGGTCGACGTCAGTGATGTTCGAGGTCAACGATTATCGACGTCAGTGATACTCCGTGTCAACCACGATCGACAGTGGTCGACGATGATAAACGTCAACGACCTTCGATGTCAGCGACCTTCGACGTCTACTGTCCTCGACGTGAACCATCTCGACGTAAAAAAACTTCGACGATAACGATCCTCGACGTCAACGAGCCTTGACGTCAAACAAATTCGACACCAACGATGCTCGACGTGAACGAAAGTCGACATCAACGGTGCTCAAATTCAACGATCCTCGCTAGGAACGATGCTCGACGTCATCGATCCTAGCACTATGGACGACCCTCGACGTCAACGATCCTCGACATGAATGGTGCCCGACGCCACACCAACGATCCTCGACATCAATGACGATGCTGAACATCCACGATGCTCGACGAAAACGATCCTCGTCACCAACGATCCTCGATATCAAGGATGCTCAACGTCGGCGATTCTCGACAGGAACGATGCTCAACCCCAATGACCGTCCACGTCATGGACCCTAGGACGTTGTCGATCTTCGACATGAACCATGCTCGACGTTACACCATCCTCGACGTTAATGATCAACGATACTCGACGTGACCGATACTGCACATCAACGATTGTCGACGTGAACGATTCTGAACGTCAACAATGCTCGACATGAACGATGGCTAACGACAATCATGCCAACGACAGTCGACGTCAACGATCCTCGACCTTTATCAACGGCCCTCGACGTTAACGACGGCCGACATCCACGATGCTCGACGACGACGACGCTCGAAGTCAACAATGCTCGATATCAACCACTCTTGACATAACGATCAACGATGCTCGACGTACTCGACACTGAACATGAACAACGCTTGACGTGAACGATCCTGGACGTGAACGATGCTCGACATTAACGATGCAGAAAAGTAATGATCGTCGAAGGTGCTGGACGTCAACGATCTTCGACCTCGACGGTCCTACCAACGACACGATGTCAACGATATTTGACATCGACCATGCTCGACGTCTACGATGCTCGACGCCACGACAAGACAGCAACCATAGTCGACACCAACGTTGACGATCCTCGACGCTAACGATCCTGGATGTCAATAATATCCGACATGAACGATTTTTCGATATGAACGATGCTCGACGTGAACGATGCTCGACGTCGATGACCCTCGAAATTGACGACGCTCGACGTCAACGATCTTCGACATCATCGATCCTAGCCCAGCATCGTTGAAGATCCTCCACGTCAACAATGTTCGACGTCAACGATACTCGACGTCAATGATATTCGACATCAACGATGCTCAACGTCGACGATCCTCAACGTCAACCATGTTTGACGTAAAAGATGCTCGCTATGAACGATCGCTGACGTCAATGATCAAGGATGCTCGGATGCTCGACGTTAACGATGCTCGGCATGAACGGTTCTGAACATCAATGGCGCTTCATGTTAACGACACTCGATCCACGACACTCGACATGAATGATATTCGACATCAACGAACCTCGAGGCCAACGAACTTCGGCCTAATTAAAGTTCGACGTGAACGATGCTGAACATCAACGATGCTCGACGTCGACGATGGTCGATGTCAACGATGATGGACGTCGATAACCTTCGACCTCACAGAATTTCGACGTGAACGGTCCTCGTCGTTAACGGCCTTGACGTCAACGATCAGCGACGTGAACGGCCCTAGGCGCCAACCATCTCAACGCCAACCATCAGCGACGTCAACGACGCTCGACGTCAACGATATCCGATACATCGTAGCTCGAAGTCGACGATCCTCGACGGCAACGATGCTCGACGTCAAGGAACAATGATGCCCGATGTGAAAGATGCTCGACATCAACGATCGACGTCAACGACGCTCGACCTCATCGATTCAAGCACAGCCGACGATGCTCGATGTCACACCAGCGATCCTCGAAGTCAACGATGCTCGTCGTCAACGACTGTTCGACATGGAATGATGGTCGATACGTCACACCAACGATCCTCGACGTCAACGATGTTCGAAGTCAAAGATGCTCGACGACAACGATGCTCGACGCCACATCAACGATCATGCCATCATTCGTACAACCGTCAGCCGTCATCGTTCCGCCATTCCAGCTTGCAAACATACCACTGTACCGTACCATCATACCTGACAGGGAAGACACTCCTGGGACAAGGAGCTAAAGCCCCACGACAGCATAGCAAGATCTTGAGGGGTTAGAATCACGGATCCCACTTCCACCTGACAAGGAAAGAAAACAGTGTCGGGACGGGGCTATTGTAAGAAAAATGCAGACATTCCCATTCACTTTCGAGAAGTCAGGCGGGGACAAAAAGCACCGGGTGCAACCTTGGATGTATCTAGAAAACGCTTCCGATGCCCAAACATGACAGTCCCGCTCTGAACCTACACCACCACCAACAAAGCGGACGCCAGCAGCCGGCACAACATCTCAGAGCCCGAGCTGCGCCAACAACAAGAGGGTTAGGGTTAGCGGGGGGGGGGGGGTGCTGTCTGCAGGGTTCCGCAACGTGGGGGAAATGTACCCGGGGTCCTCGACGCGAAATAATTGATTCTATTTCAGTACCACGGGGCCGACAGGGCGGCAGAAAAACACGCCTCCACACGTGCACCCACACAAATTTTCTGTCCCCACCGTTATACTTGTGGGTGTTTGTTGTTGTCACATGTCTCGCTGCCTTCGGGGTGAGAAAACTGCAGACATGCAGGAGTGACAACACGGCGCCAAGACGACTGCGGTGGTGGAAAGCCACCGGCGTTCACAAAAAATGCACGACATAAAAACTAGGAACAACGCTTTAATAAACACCTCGGATGCGCAGCTCCAGTGCTCCCTCGAAGAAAGAGCGGCGGCAGAAAAAGGCTGCCCTACAGCAGCAGCAGCAGAAGAGGAAGGCCCTCCTCCGGTCACCCCAGAAAACCGGTGCGGGGCTCCCTCCGCCGTGCCCGAAGCCGCGGCACTAGAGCGCGAGGTCGTCGTGCTCGTGGCCGGGGCGCCGCCAACGCGATGAACGCTGCGCCATTCCGTTGACCCGCCCTCAGTGACGGAGTCTTTCTCGGCATCTACTACCGCTGCCGTTCCTGTCGTTGCTGTTGTTGCTGGTGGTATTGGTGCCTGCAGCGGGTTTGGGGAGTAAGGGGTGAGGGGTTCGATGGGTCTGCAGCAACAATCGCGAGGAGAGCAAAAAGGTGGGCAACGTGTGCCACCGCGATGCTTAACCGCGTACGCACGTCCAAGGTGTTCGGGGGCTAGGGATGATGTGAGTCGTATTGTGGGGAACCTTCGAAACAAAAACTATCAAGACAAGATTACACAAAAACGAAACTCGTCCTTTCAAAGAAATGGGGGGAGAGGGAGGGAGAGGCAGGGTGTGTGTGTGTGTGTGTGTGTGAGAGAGAGAGAGAGAGAGAGAGAGAGAGAGAGAAACAGAGACACAGAGAGAGGACTTAATTTCCCTCCAGAAAAACACCACACAAATATGCCAGAGAGCTGCTACGCGGTTCCAGATGTGAAGAAACGCCACCCTTGGTTCCCCGCGGCCCTCAGGGAAACAAACACAGTACCGCAATCGGTTGTCCTCGCATCATCGGTACAAGGTGCTTCACACGGAACACCATGCACCAATCTGTGTCGTTCACCAAGCCCCCCGCATTTCGTTGATATTGTACGGATGTGAGTGCTTCGTTGCCAGGTTCATCAGCGGGCGTTGTTTCTCCTTGTGGTCGTCCCAACTTTTACAAAAACAGCGAACAGATCTCCGGGATGCACACAACCTCCCACGCAGCAGAAGTCGTACGCCCCGCCAAAAACATGTGAGCGCCTTGCCCCCCACAGGGACAGCGTGTATAACCCTTAAAACTTATCCCGTAAAACCACGGGGAAGGGGGGGTACACAGCTATGTCGTAGTTCGTTAGACCATTGAGGGGTCGGGGTTCTACCTACTGCCAGGCATCATCACCGCCATCGATTCCGCCACACCTTGCTAGCACGCCCCGCTGCTAAGGGGGAGGAGGAGGAGGAGGAGGAGGAAGAGGAGGAGGCTGCCTTTGCGGTCTTCGCCAGCCGCTCCTTCTCGGCCATGACCATCGCTGCGGGCCGGGCCGGCGGTGCGCCACCCGGGAGCCTCATGGCCCAGGTGCGGTCGATGGTGGCCTTCCAGAAGCCCGTCGTCCGGTTGTCGTGGCCCTTGCCACCCCTGGGTCCCGTTTTGAGGTAAAAACACAATGCGACACAGATTGCATTTAGGAGGGTTACCAGCGACATGCAGTATGGAGGCAGTGATTTCTACTTCGGTCTTGAAGGGTATTACAGCACCGGACGCTATCAATCTAAGGTGGACGCGAACCAGAGGGTTAGGGTCGGAGGGAGGGCTGTCGTTGAGCGCTGATGACCTGGTTTCGAGCCTGACAGCAGTTCAACGAGGAAATTCAAGGGGTTGCCAGCAACCTCGCTTGTTCCGGGTGTTGATAAATCCTACACACGACCGGTATTTGTCGGCGAAGGCGGTCGTTGGGGACGAAACAATTCCACACAATGTCGTCATACCAAAGCGCGCACACACTCTCTGCTATTCACACTGGGGGGCTCGGCCATTCAAGGACTTGGAGGTTTACCATCTTCATATCGCAATTCGGTCCTCTCTCTACATGTGACCGTTTTCTTGGCATGAACACGACGTTAGGCCCCGAAATGAAAATACGTTCGGAGAGCTGTCCAAATGACATCAGAATAAACTTGAGAACGAATGAAGAAAGTTGACAAAGAGCACGACGCGGAGTGTGAGCAAGCCGACGCGAGAGTGAGGAATGACGAAGTGGTCGTCACGAAAAAAAAAAAAAAACATTGCTCCATGCTGCCGCACTTTCAGAGCGACCTGGAGAACAAAAACAATCACGTCTGGCTCTCCCACCAGAATACGATGAGCATGGGCACGCCCTACTACAAATCACACACCGGCACTCATGTTGCCAGCGCTGAGGAACACCGCCCCAGACGGTGCGCAGGAGCAAAAAAAGGAAGAGACCCACCACGTGCGCAGCAACATCATCGAGATATCTAGGTTTTCTGCCAACCGCGGAAAGGAAACATGCTGCTGTGTACGCAGATGTAAGTGTATGTACGCCCAAAAAGTCAAGAGGAGGTGAGAAATCGAAGAAATACCGCAAGCGCAGCAACATCAATGAACTGTAGGTTTATGCGGACCGCACAACAGAAGCGCGCTACCTGCGTATGCCGCTTACGTCCGATCGAAAAAGGCAAGAGCAGGGGACGTCATCAAGTGAGCGCAGCGAGTGCTCCACACTGCTGCGTGCGCGACGGCCTCTTCTCGTCTTCTCAGGCACAGCAGCGCTATTCTTTGCACCACGCGGATGCGCCCTGTCGAGTAGACAACTGCGGTTCGGTTTAACCTTAGCGTGTCATGGAACAGGAGAACAACATTCTCTGTTTGGACCCTCAGCCATCTCTAGTGAACACAAAGGTGCAGAAGGACGACGACGATAGCCCCAACCACACAATCACCACCACCACCAATAACAGCAGCAGCAGCAGCAGCAATGGCAAGCGGAAACGGAGCGATTGCGCGGGAACGATACGATGCCTTCCCCCCCCCCGTCCCAAACGGCCCACCTCAACCTTCACTGATACAGTATGTTTATCGAAACATCGCCGATGCCTCAAGCTTTTCCATGCCGTTCTCACCGTCGGGACTTTTTCTTCTTCCCGTGCTTCCACTCCCAAGAGACCCTGCCGCGCCACTGCAGCGGCTCAGGCGACAAGACCTCGGCCACTGCCTCCAGCATCTCCTACAGTATCGGTCGACAACGACAAACAACAACAAACAACGAGTTGACTTAAGCTTCCGTCGGAAAAAGATACAGCACATCACGCTCAGATTGAGTCGTCTGGTTTAGGCTTTGGCAGTGCCGGGGGTGAAAAATTCCGTGCCGCTGGGTGAGAAAACGAGCGGAACAAACTGGTGTAATGAACCCCAACAGGTCGGGCGGGCCGATTGGAACCAAAGTTACGTCCTCAAACACAAAACGCCACATTTCCCCTCCCGAACCCTCCCCTCCTCGTGCGCCCTCCCGTTACCTGATCTCTGAAGCCCAGCACCGCGAATGCCCAGACGACGTTCCCCAATTCCTTCCCCTTGAACTCATCGGTCCTGAGAGACACTTCCTCCGCAATGGCGGACAGCAGGTTCTCGTCGCGCTGACCGGAGCATTGGGAAGGGGCGCCGTGGGTGGAGGGGAAGGCGGGGGCACGGGGGTTACGCAGACGGACATTACCCAAGAACCCTCCGGTGGGCGCGGGTTCTAGGCTTTTGGTAGCATGCGGGGGACAACACACCCTTGCCTTTTGGCAATAAGGGTCGGCCCATCACCCACGACGCTTGAGCACAAAACGATTAGACCGTATGGCAGCACCGAGCAGCGGCTTCCGTTCGGTTCGTCTCTCTTGCGCGAAGGCCTCTTGCATGAGATCAACGCCATCACAGCCTACACGCAGAACGTGCCCACCCCCCACCCCCGCCCCCGTTGACCCTCACCTCCCCGAGCACCGCCAGGCCCCACGCCGCCATGGCCAGCTCTCTGGGCTTGCACTCCATGGCCCTCTCGGAAAGCTTTCCGGCCAGGAGGGACGGGAGACGACTCTGCTTCGTACACGTTTTTGGTACCAGGGCGAAGGGTGATGTTTTGGGGTCAGGGAAAAAACACTGACGGACGCAGATAAGCTTATGATATATAAACAAAGGGTTCGTGCCTGAACTACTAGTCAGTTATGATGCGATATTTCGTTCTACGACCCTGTTATGCACACTGAACGGATGTCCGAAGCTCGAAGCTTGCTGTTCATGTATATAGAACATAGTGAGGGTGTGAGGAACGTCGGACAGCCAGTGCTTAGCCAAGGTGTGGCAAAACCGAAACTACGATACGGCAACCGGAGAAGGACTACCGCCCAGGCGATACAACCACAAGAAGGGGGAAACACCGGACAAATGCCATACACATCTTCGAAAGACGAGAGACACAGAGAGACAGAGGCAGGGACGAAGCCACGCCGCCCGCCAACGCAACCCGACACGCGGCTACGAGCCCCGCGCTGGCGGAGGAAGGAGCTGCGGGCCGCTCAAGTCACCACAGAAACCGACCGTCACGCCCCACTCACCTCCGGGATCATCGACATCAAACAAAAATGCTCCAACACTGAGAGGAAACCAACCACGCGCGCTCGAACAAGCGTCCCACACGCACCTCGCCAGGGGTTCCCAACGGAACCGGAGGCGTGTCTCCCTTCTCGCGAGCGCCGCTCCCGAACCTCAGGGGGCCCACTTCACCGAGCCCGTTCTCGGGGTGTTCCAGCACTTCCATCGAGGAGGCCTCGGGGTTCCCCAGCTTGGCAAGGGACCACAGCAGCTGGGCTAGGTTCCGCGCGTTTACCAGGTCCGCACCCACGAGCTCTTCCGTAACCTGAAAAACAAGGAAAGGGTGGGGGTGGGGGTGGGGGGGACAAGGGTGGCTGTGGTGGGGGCGGGGGAAGGGAAACGCTGAAGCACTTGTGCATGGGGCACTTATTTCTTCGAACATCATCCGTACTTCACCCCCGCCGGCTGAGCAGTAACCATCCTTTGGACAGATCGTTTGAGCCGTACGTGGAGCAGCAACCTGGTTGTTTTTCTGATACCTCCTTTACCTCTCGAGTCACCCGCAGGCGTGTCTGTGCCACACCCCGGACCGAAAGCCACTCGTCCTTCGAGATGCGGACAGCAGTGCGTGGGTGCATCAGCAGAGTCACCACAAGCTGCGAAAGTAGACACCCCCCCCCCCCCCGGCGACCACGACAGAATAGTCACACCCAACATCAACACGGGAATCGCTAACCCCAAACACCAGCTTCGACCACGTGCCTTGAACTAAAGACCCACCGATATTCAGTTCGGTCGTGGCCGCACCTTGAGCAAAATGCCGAGGTACTTGGGCTCCTCTTCCCCCTTCAAGCCGCCACCTCGCCTCCTCGACGCCGCGAGTTTTGGCCACCCGGTTCAACGCCGTCGACACGCTGACGCAATTTAGACCGCAAGGGCCGGTCCAGCACAGCTCGCATGGCCTTTAGTGAAACGGAACAAGGGTGTGAAATGTGCAAGATAGAGGTGAAGAATAGAGAAGGTAGGTGGCCGAGTCCGGCGGCGGCGAGTCAAGTCTCCCACGCACCTCGAGTGGAGTCCTGCCAGGGGACGTGACTGCTTCTTCTATATGTGATCGTGTGCGAGGGGGCTGCAAGGTGGTCTGGCCATCGGTGAACGCAGTGCAGAGGGGAAGAAAGCAGGGGGATGTTTTGGTACTGCAGTGTACGTTTCCTCAAGGATGGTGTCCGTAGCAGAACAATGCAACAGCGAAAAAGCAGCTCGGGGTCACAGGTGGCAGCTTACGGTCCTGGTGGAATACACACACAACCACAATTTTCATGCACCAATGACAGACAGCAGCGGGGAAACATGGTGTAGATTGAGGTGAGTCTCTTCGACTACGGATGAAACACGCCGGCTGAACGACATGAAGAGGGCATCGACTTCCACACGGTACATCTCCTGGCAGTTAACACTGAACGGCAGGGTTAAGACGGCAAGGCGTCGAGGAGCTGCACATCGTAGCTTCGACCGGGTGACAGGAAAGGACAGAACAGCCTCAAAACGTTGTCCGTCAAGACAACTATGACGCGTCGTTTTCGCTTCTGGCCATTCAGCAACAGCGATTCAATCACCTGCGTACCTACCACACGATGGAACACTCGCATCGTAAAGGGATTGCGAGTTGGCACCTGTCCCCCTTCTGCTCAATTACCCTACCGTCACATTCCTACATGAACACATCCGCCGGCCTACATCGATACACCAACCGTGCACTTTTGCGCTGCAGCGCGACAGCTCACCGGTATCGATCAAGGCACCCCTTTCCCCCGCCCCCTAAAACTTTCACAACACGGGGGGTTACTTCTCCACCCTCTCGCACGTGCAACAGGCAGCAATCTCACCTGCAAAGGCGTCACCGCCGACTGCACGACCTGCTGCGCGTGCCATGCGACCGCCTTGCTCGCCCCGAACGGCCCCCCGGGCGGCCGCCGCTTCAGCGGCGGCGGGCTAACCCTTCCTCTTACCACCCGCCTCGCGCCGCCCCTCCGGCCCTTGTTGGCCTCCCCCCGCAGGCCCTCCTTCATTACCGTTTTCGCGTTTCCGTCCGTCCCAGTTTCCGTTTCCGTCCCGGCGCCCGCTTCCGAGGTCGCCGCCCGGGAAAATGGAGGTGCCGCAGCTGCAGAAACGTCCGTCCTGTCAACCCCGGACACATTCTTCTGGTAGTCATCATTGGCGGGAAAGTGCGATTCCGCATCCTGCTGCTGCTGCTGCTGCTGCTGCTGCTGCTGCCACTGGATCGGAGGCGAGGAAAAGGTGGGATTCGGAGAAGCCCGGGCGGTTGCCGCTGCCCGCGCGCGTTTCCTCCGGCCGGGCTTGCGCAGCTTGCGCTCAAGCCTCTCCCGCAGGATGGACTCCCACTCGCTCTCCGCCGGTGCCGGCGCCGGTAACTCTCCCCCCCCGGTGGGCGCTTGAAATGCTGCCGCCGTCCTAGGTTCCACCGCCACCTGGCCCCCGCTGCCGCCACCTGCTTCTTCTGCTGACGCGTGTAGTAGCCGGTGCCTCGGCAGCCCGCCACCGCTCTGCAGACGATGGGAGCCTGTCTTCAGAACGCTGTTCGAAGACTCGGCGCATCTCCGTAGCAGTCGCCGTTCTTTCCCCGCCTCCCTTACGCCCCGGTTCCTCACTCCTCCGTCCCCGTACCCCATCGACACGGCCGCTATTCGCGGCGCTTGTCGTAGACGCCACTCCCTTACCCGATCACCACAACCATTTTCAACAGACCTATTACCGCCGCCACCGTCGTGGAACGCACCCGCGCCTCGCGGGCGTCTCCTTAATCGTGCTCGAGACAGCGGGAGTGGGGCAGGGAGGGCGAATCCTACCAAGCGGTGCCCCGCTCCTGTTGCACAGGGAACGGGCCGTATACTATCGGCCCGAGCAAACGAATCAAGTGCCGATGCTGCTTGGGCGAGGTGCACAGCAGCAAGGGGAATAGGGTAGAAGGCGGCAACATCAAAACGTCGGCGTGAGGTTCAGTCCGTACATGTAGAAGTAATCGGCAACGAAACTGCGGCTTCAAAGTGGTTTCGCCGGTGTCTTCATCGCGGTAGGTTAGCGGGAAAACATGCCGCCCACGTTGCTACGCGCGTAGGAAATAATCTCTTCGAAACTGAACCAGGGGGAAAATGAAGATGGCAATGACAAGTGCAAAGCGAGCGCCGCGGCTTCCAAAACAATAGCGTATCCAAGTACCCAGTCCCAGTCACTCCCATCGTGGTCCTTGGGAAAGTGGTGCCCTTCGAAAAAAAAAAAGCTCACTCTTCGGGAAGACCTACGGGACAACCTGGAAGACAAACGTGCTCAACCAGACGGCACGGACCGCACAACTGCAGGGGCAGCAGAGGAGGGGACGCCCCGAGCACGACCAGGGGGCTTAGTCGCATGGACTCTTGAGCAATGACGGTGACGTCTCGAGTCGGTGTGGTTGGTGGTTGGTCATGTGGCCTTTCTAGGCAAAGCGCCTCATTTTGCATACATTGAGCTACAGTTTCCTAGGCACGAAGCGTATGCAGATATCACAGCAGTAGAGCTTGTAGCGGACTAAAGTAGTACTGCTGTAGGCTAAACTACTGTACGGCCTGACTGACGTCTCAACGTCTTAACGATGGCGCACCCAGGCTGTTTACAACAAAAAACGATCACATGCCAGTGTAGTACCCCCAACATTTAGTGCAGCTCCGGCGGCTGAGCTCATTTTCTAGTACGCCGCTTTGTTCTTGCAAGTATCTGAGCCCACGATTCACGTCTAAAAGGTGCGTTCCCTACGGCTGTGGTCCGGGACCTGCCTTCGGCACTGTACCTTTCAGAGAGTTCAACCGCCGCCGGAAGGAAGTGGACCATTGCATGACAACGTAAATGCTGCAGACACACACACGTGGTTTTCGAGTTCTGACCACAGGAAGCCACAACATGGATCACGGACGGAGAGCAGAGGGAGTGACGAGCCTACCTAGGCCATCGCTCCACCAGTTTGGCGAGACATCATTGCAGCACCGCTAGCTCTGCTGTTGGGCACATACGCTTACCTTCAGCGAGCGCCTTGGTCAACGAGACTGACCCAAGAAAGGTCACGAGTCCGACCCGAACGGCCTGAGACCAGCATGACGGCGAAGTAAATACCAATCCCCTACTTCTATGTATGCCCTCAGCGAGCTGCGCAGCCTCCATCTTGTTAGCTCACTCAGCGCTAGCTAGCGCGATTGTCCTGTGCAGGATGCAGCACACAGGTCTTCTGTCATGAACGCGGCAGGTACCCCGGGTTCATATACGGTGCCCCTTTCGGAGACTCGAGGCAAATCAGACACACACACACCTCCGCCCGGGCCAGAGGAGGGCCTAAAGGTAGACTGCGCGCAGAACAAGGGAGAGCAGAGAGAGCCAGAAGATCGCCTAAGGTGACAAAATTTGTGAGCGTGCTCCGTGAGAGCAAGCTTGGAACTTACACCATGTGCTATTTGGTCAGTTATTATTAGGGTACGCCTCGGTTCCAGGAAGAGACACCGCCGCCTTGCCTTTGTAAGAGAGGGCGCCCCAATTCACCTGCTGTTATCCATGTGTGGCAGTGTGTGTTGATAAAACGGGTTCAGTGCACTCGCGCTGATATCTCCGGGGTGCAGGAGAAATGTCTGGGAACTCTGTTGTTGTCGTACTGCTGTCGAGTAGTGTGGTCAGCCAAAGACTAAGTAACAGCGCGGCACAACATCGCCTCACAGCAGCTGTAAAGCGGCCTCCGTACACAACCGGTTCAGTCTGTTTTAATTAGTCTCGAAATCTTCTGTACGACACGCGGCTCTTGGAATGATGACTGCAGACTACGCCCGATTTCACCACAATGTCGATAGGAACGATACTACAGCACACGTGCCTGTTGTCGGAAGACACCAGCACCCTGGTGCGTCCTACAGTATTAGTGAGTATGCCTACAAAAGGATTCAAACAAAACAGACAGGACAGGGCAAGGCCGGATTCAGCAGAGTTCAGGTGTTCGTGAACATGAGGCGCACGCAACTCCGTATCCTCTGTCTTCCTCTATCCGTCTCATGCGCTGCTGCAGTATTGACCGCACCAACCGGCTGAGCGATGAAAGGATACCAGGGTTAGCGGGAAGCAACGAAGGTCCGCCAAGTAGCGGCCAAAAGAGTGGGAGTCGCCCATGTCTTGTTTCGAAAGGAAACGAAATATCTCTCTGTCAGCAGCCCTGCTGCTACATTCTGCCTTGGCGGTCTTGCTTTTCGCCAAAGCTACCAGGGTATACAAAGCTCGCTTCACTCGCAGTAGAAGAACGATGCCATGAAGATTGCACCCCCATTTTCTGCCGATGAGTGCAGAGTATCACGCGCCCGCTCCTTCCCGCCCTTCTTGCATTGTCGACTTCATGCGTGACAGTTCGAAGAACCGGCCGGCGCGATGGCGACCGACTTTAAGCGCGGTGATACCGGCATCAATACCGCCGAGGGCCAAATATCGGGTCCCCGGGCGGCACGACTTGCGAAGCAGCGACTGGAGGACCAGAAGGACTACGAGAGCAAACGACAGAAGATACAGGTACGAATGCATGCAAGAGCAGTTCTGCGAGCCAACAAGCCTGGAAGCAAAAATACCAGAACGGGTTATGTGTGACCACGGGTTGGAATAAACGGCACTAGTGCTGTGAGCGCTGATTTGAAGTGAAGAACAAAAAAAAAAAAATGCATAGAGCGAGTGTATGAGCTTGAGGCGTCGATGCGGGCACGCGTACTCCCGAAAGCTATTTCTATGAAACACGCGATTCGAAGTTTTGCGGTCGGCTTGATGAAGGATTTCGTCTAGGGTAGAAAAGCTTGACGATGAAACCAGCACGGGTACATAGGTATGAGCTTGCGGCGGCGATGCGAGCGTGCATACAATAGTCCGGCGAACGCTATTTCAAAACTCGCGATTTGAGTTTTACGATCGGTCTTCTGGAGCGTTCCGTCTCGGGTTCATGGATCGTGCGAGGACTCTTCTTGACAACACCACGCGTGTGTCTCTTTGACGTTGGAATGGTCGACAGGATGAGTATCACCGGGGCGCCCTCAAGATCGACGACAAGTTCGGGGGCAGCGCGACGGACCAGTACGAGGCAATGTTTAAGGCGAGAAGTTTGAGTCAATAATGGTGTTCGACCCTGCTGGTGCTGGTGCCGGCTCCGCTGTTGGTATTTCTATTTCGCCGTTAGTGTGCTCAATTTCTGTGACTTCGCTGCCGTGTTTGACATCACAAACATGTTTCAACAGCCGTATTTTTGGCGAAGTTGGGGGTCTATTCGAGAGATAATAGTGAGCTAAACGATCGATGCTGTTCGCTCAGGCAACCACGGTGGGTTTAGTGACAGCCGATGAGTTCAAGAAGGCGCGCGTCTTGGCCGAGACCGGCGTCGGGGACAAGGAAGGCGGTGGCTCCGGAGCCGCTGGAGGGGAGGGCGGCGATAGCGCGGGCGGGGCAGAGGACGCCGCCGCGAGAAAAAAGAAGAAGAGAAAGAAGAAGAAGCTCATCTCCACGCTTTCCTTCGGGGAGGAGATCGAGGAGGACGACCAGGGGGAGGGCGGCGGCGATGCGGGTAGGTTATGCGGATAGTATGCTGGGTGCATGTGGGTGGGTGTGTGGCGTGGTTGTAGTGTTTAGTTCCTCCGAACGGTTTGTATGATGATTTTTTCGCCGACGGAAACGTTGTAGTACCTGTGCAAGGGCGCCTTGAGGGAGGGCGAAGAAGATAATGTGCGAAAAGGGGGGGGCTTAACACACGTGCGCATATGTTGTTTGGTGCTCTTCCTGCTGGTTGAGCTGCACGCATTGCAATCACCCGCCTCTGACACGGTACAACCCCCGGACGCTGCCTGAGTCGTGGCCCAAGTATCATCCATCCACCACGACTTGTAGCTTATAGAACTTTGCTTCTCCAGGAGAAAGGAATGTTTTCGCCCTTCTCCCAGATGTCCCTTCCCCAGCTGTGTTCCCGTTTATCATTTATCTAGTCTCCTCGTGTGCCAGAATTATCTTGTGGTCAATTTCCTGTCTCCCCCCCCCCCCACCCACCCAACGAAATGCAACGCTCGAGAAGAGCCACCGTTGAAGCTCGGAAAGAAGAATCCAAACGTGGATACGTCGTTCCTGCCGGACCGGGAGAGGGAGAAGGGCATGAGGGATCAGAGGGAGAAGCTCAAGAAGGAGTGGATCGAGGAGCAGGAAAAGCTGAAGAGTGAGTGTTTCTTGAACGCTGTCACCTTTTTCAGCTCGTAAGGTCTGTTCGAGTCGCTACTTCACGCCAGTATAACGCGCGGAGAGGTAGGCTCGCGAGACCAGCCGGAAGCAACTTGGAGAAGACGGAAATGAGGATACCTGATCCTTTTTCGAGCCCCCATGCCCGCCTCTTGTCTCGCATGACATGGTTGTACATTTCTTAGCCACCCTGCTTTTTTCACCCTTTTCCCCTCGTGAAGCCCCTCTCCCCCCGTTTGCTCTCTCGCTCTCTCTCTCCTCCCGCTTCCTCCTATTCCCCCCTTGCCCTCTGCCACCAAACTACCCCCTTCCGTTTCTGCGACAAATGCCTCTGTGTTGGGTCTAGTGGAGCGGTTGGAGGTTACATACAGCTACTGGGACGGGTCCGGCCACAGACGGGAGATCGTGCTGAACAAGGGCATCACCGTGGGTGCGTGTCAGTTCGCGCGCTAGTGGGAGGGCAGATTTGTAGGGTTTTGAAGACTTGAAATGTATGCGTGGAGTAGGCAGCTTTTCGTGCTCGCGGTAACCCGGACAAGTCTTCGGTTAACTTTGTCCCACTTCAGTGAGAGCCCACAGCAGTGTGGTGCCAGTAGTTGGCGGCAAAGGGTACAAAAGAGTATCTGCCGCCGTTGTCAAGCAGTATGGACGCCGAACAAAGTGGTCATTTTTCACATGAATGCGTAGTGCACGGAAAAGTACAGTACCCACTCCTGTCCTTCCCAGGCCCATCAGTATTCCTGCTCGTCTTTATGACGTTCGGCAGGCAAGTTTCTTGAGATGGTCCGACAGCAGCTGTCCCAGGACTTCAGCGAGATGAGGAGCGTAAGCTCGGAGAATCTGCTGTACATCAAGGAGGACCTCATCATCCCGCACGTGAGAGGAATCGCGCAGACTTGTTGTGTCACGTCCGCTCTTCTATGGGCTCATTGCTGTCATATGTGCGATCTGAATGCCTTGGCTTCGACAAGGTTCGAGTTTTGCTAATACCTGGTACGAACCAGGGAGCTTGTTCTCACATAAGACGGGGTATGCATGAAAATGCCAGTGTTTCCCTGTTGAGCGAAAGTGTCATGATGGAGCCCTCTTGGGTGCATTCGAACATCCCTGTTTCTCCTGTTTTCTATATCCTTGGCTCGGACATACCATGGTGCTCCTATTCAAGAAGCTATATTCGGCTGTGATTGGTAGACCGTCATTTTCTTTTCAAAAATCTCGGTTGCTGGATGTGCAGTGGTAAATTGAATCTGCTTAATCATGGCAAAGCATTTGGTGCTAGAGATGTTGATGGAAATACACCAGAGCGGAGGGGTCCATTCTTCTGAAACTTCTTGCGCTTGTTTACACCCATCGCCGCGCTGGTACGCAGCACTTCTCGTTTTACGACTTGATAGTCACCAAGGCCAGGGGCAAGTCGGGCCCCCTCTTCCACTTCGACGTCCACGACGACATCCGGTTGGTGCACGACACGCGCATCGAGAAAGACGAGAGCCACCCCGGCAAGGTGGGTGGGCGACACATCGATTGGTTGAGGATTCCAAGGGCATTGCCGCAACAATACGGGTGTCGGATTATGTCTCTTGTTGCCAGTTAAAAGACACACGGGTATTTTGAGATCAACTCGTAGTCATTACACAATCGGGCCTGTCGCGTGTGACACAATCCATGACAGATTAGCGAATCGAGAGTGTGAGGGATTACATGGCACGGTTGTTGTTTCTGATTGAGAAACTTTGGCTGTCATTCGAGGCGGTGGAAGCTTGGGGATGCTATTTGGCAGCAATGAAGGGTATTATTGGGTGTGTTACAAGTTGAGGACCCTGTGCAGGACGCCAAGTTTATTTGCAGTGTTCAACACCAGCATGGTACGCCGAGCCCAAATGTTCACGAATCATGCGACGCAGCGGTAATGTCGGTTGCACGTGCGGTTGGGATTCACACTGTGTGGGTGCGTAAGACCACCCCGGTTCCTGCGGAGCTCAGCCGCTAGGTCGAACTAATTAAATGGTTTGAGATACCGAGAATACGGCGCAAGCAAGTCGGACGTGGAGCCAGAGGACGTATGCCAGGAGCAGAGCACGTTGGTACAAGCCTTCCAGTTCCAGACGCGTACCTACTGGTGTTCAATTTCAGCCCCAAATGTTGGTCCTCGAGAGGCGAAGTCCGCAACACTCTCGTAACCAAGGCGAGGCCTCAGCCATCCCGATACTGCTGTTACGCTTGTATCGCAGATCGTGGAGCGACGGTGGTACGAGCGAAACAAGCATATCTTCCCTGCGAGTCGATGGGAGACGGTAAGGGCGCTTGTGTACTGCATGCCGGTCGACTTTTGAGCGCGGCACACTCTCTGCAGCGGCCTTTTTCTGAATCGCGGGCGAGGGTTTTGGTCTGAAACTCGTTCGCCGGCAATCTGGCCATTCACGGTAATTTTTCTGCAAGTTGTTCTCTACTCTCGATCTCAGTCACGTTGTTCCTCTCCGCTGCCTCCTCCCATACCAAGAACGACCCCCACCCGGCGCGCCTGTCTTCTTCCTCCGTCTATTGGCCGTTGTGTATGTACATGACGCTTATCAGTACGATCCCCAGAAGGACTACGGCACTTACACGATCCACGGTGGCGAGGTCAACGAGAAATAGAGCAACGCCCGATTGGACTGTCAGTAATCAGGGTGGGGGCGACGCGGTGTGCTGGAGCATCCAGCACATTTACATGCATTCTCGCGGGAGAGTGAGGGGAAACCTATCGAGAGCGGGCATCATCACAGGCGTCTAGCGTTGGCGTATGCTTTTCGCTGCCCAAAAGCTCAAGAGGTTAGCGCTGCATTTTGCACCCTATTCACTGCTTGGGCGCATACTGCACCCCCTGCCGGCCGTTCGGCGGTGCTGTGAAAGTTTTTACCGCTAGTGTGCACATCGTTGGAGTCCTTGGCGTTATTATCAATGACGTCGTCAATTATTTTTTCATTTCGTTGCGGACGGCCTCAATTTCAGTACTCCGTTGAAAGTTGACGTTATTTTTGGGGTGCTACTGCTAATTCGAGGTGGCTCCTCGCAGCGGGGTTAGGTCCATGCAGGCTGCCTAGTCGATAGATTCGCTGCTTGCAGGGCTACTCTGTTACCGTAAATACAAGCCATTGACAGCTATTGAATTTCGCAGCGCATCAGGTGGTTGGACTTTGCCCCATACACGGGTCACCAGGGGTGTAGATTTAGCGGGCGCGTTGGTCGTAGTGAACGTCATTCTTTGATACGCGAGTAACTGCGGGTGTTCAAGTGTGTGCATTGGCACCGAGCGGTTACCTCTGTTTGTTTCGGTGCGCATCCTTCGCTGCATTTTATCGGTCTTTTATCAGTCATTATCGGCGCAGACGTTAGTCGACGCCCAGAGAACGATGCCTCGGACTGCGTTGGATATTTCGCGCGCGCAACATTCGTATGCGGGTTCACCACCGTCGCGATGGACAATCAACTCGGGGAGACCTGTTTGTCACGTTCTTTGCTTCAGAGAGAGAAGAAACATACGAAGTACGGAGAGGCTCGCGCGAGGCTAAGGGAGTTCTTGAGATTCAATGTCATGGCGTACAAGTGATTTCCTCCGGTGTGGGCTCATGAGAGCGCAGCGTCACTATGGGTGAGGCAAGATGAAAACATTTGCGGGGAGCAGCACCAACCCACAGCAGTGGCTGCCAGATGCGGTGTGGCGTATCCCAAGCTAACAGTTCACGCAGTAAACGCTGTAATGACGCGAGCAGGCCAGCGAACCCCAACGAACCAAAATAATTTCACACCTGTAATGTACATACAAGATGCGGTCACTCTTGATGGTTCGGCATTTCTTCTCTCGCGGCAACGAGTCTTTTCTCGCGATTCCTTCTCAGGGTCACTCAGGAGGCCCGTCGGTACATCAACGCTCGTGCCCGGAGGTCCGTAGACCTCCGTGGCGCGTGTGGTTGACCGTCAAAGTTGCGAAAACTGACTGGCTACCCCGGGGGCGAGTTCCGTGCAGACAAAGCCTGGCGAACCAATTCTGAAACCTATCATAAACGACAGTTTGAAATATTTGCCTCTTTGCGACACCCGAAGGAGGCCTGACTCCCTCGTACCGAAGGGAGACCTTGTGCTGTACACAGCCTTACGTCGCGTACAGCTTTACGTCGACGTGCTTTACGTCGGCGTGTCTCACCTACTTGGTGGTGCCAAGGAATCAATATCCACTTGTCTCTTAAACATGAAGATGAAATCTTCGTTGCCATGGGGTGCCTTGCACGAAAAACTGAGAAGTTCCGTTTCCTCACGCAAGTGATAACATCAGGGTGGAGAGTGAATGACCAGGGCCGCAAATAACTCGAAAATGGCAACCAGCACTGTACGGGGAAACCCGGCCTCCGGATGAAAATGTTATATCTCATCCCCACATGCTACCATAGGTACGACCATTCCACTCCCGAACGCGGAAAAAACACTGTAAAAAAAGCAAGAGAAAATTCAAGAAAAGGCACTGTAGACCTTGCGTAGACCAAGAAATCACGGGTCGCCAAATGAAAAGACAAAGACCACCCTTTGTGGGCACCAAGAATAATACGATTACCACACGAGAAGCATACCCAATCCACCGGAGTTCCCGTGGCCCTCACACACAGGTCGGGCATTCTTGCCCGTTGGGTGACTAAAAATGCTCAGGGTCGAATATGGCTAAGGAAATCCCTACCCCATTTTCAGGCTCTTGATATGGGAAAAGCAATGATCCTCCTCCCGCGAGGTTGAGCATAGTCCCGTTCCTGTCGAATTGGAAAGTGTGGCCCTCGTCTACCAAGCACCCAGTAGAGATGATGTTGCGGCTTACTTGGGGTACGTGTTTCACGTTTTTCAATGTCAGGTTTACCCGCCCCGTGTCAGAGGGAAATGATACAACCAAGTCGCCACAACCAACAATTTGGATTGGGTTCCAAGCCGCATCACAGAGGGTTCCGGTACATGTGCGATAGTTACGGATGCCATCCGCCGTTGCGAGACAGTGGTAGGCAGCGGCAGAACCGAAAACAAAATCCTCCGTGTTGCACAGCCTGACCACCTCCTCAACCTCGACTGGACCACCCAAATCAAGCTTGCCTGGTCGTTGTGCTCTTTCCACGACCGCTTCCTCGCTGAAAGCGGCCTTCTCCTTCAGAGGAGGGGCTTCGATCGACGGTTCTGCTTCGGAGGTACACACGCTCGCGTCATGGCCAAACCCGAGGCAGGTATCGCACCTGGCGGGGAGATCGCTTTTTTCAACACGGCACGTGGGCGTGAAGTGCCCCCTCTGGCCACATCGGAAACAGCGCACATGGCTCTTGCCGCCATGGCTGTTATCCCCAGTGTTGCTGCCTTCACGGCCGCCCCCTTTGCGACGTTCTCTCCCGCCGCGCTTGCTGTTTTTGGCTTCGCCACGGCGATTTCCGTTAGGGTTGCGGCTGCCTCTACTACGCCGGGTGCTGTTCCGACCACCACTGCCGCCCCCGTCCCCGCCGCCGCCGCCGCCGGTAGGATGGGAGACACCCTCCGCCTTCCGAGGAGAATCCTGCGTGCTTCTTTCCTGATCGCGTTTGGTGTGCTGGGCCCGTGTGATGCCAATCTTGTCAGCCCTCTCCAAGTTGTCAGCGGATTGCGGCGCCATCAACCCCATGTGCTCGTCATCTGAGCGGAGACGAGAGAGGAAGCACGAGATTCGCACGGTGAGGTCCGCGGAGAGTATTACGATATAAGTGGGGGGGTGAGCCCATTTACGTTCCAACTATCCCCGTGCAGTGGTTGGAACCATAATGTGGATTGTCGGACTCTACGATTTCGTCACAGGTCGTGCCTAGCTGCCGATGCTTCAGTCGTGTCGTGCACTCGTTTTTAGCTCTGAATACGCTTCTTGGGGTGATGTAAAATCCAAAAGATGAGCGGTTTTAGCAGGGCTCTACGTGGCGACGCAGTCGCCCCGTGGGATAGGAATGGTAAGAAAGCCTGCCGCAGGCGGAAAATGTTTTGGGCTTACCATCAGCTTTGATGGGATGGGATGGGATGGTATTGACCAATCCTTGTTGCTGGGATGGGATGGAGCTAACTACTGGATGTTTCGATGGGATGGGATGGATACGTACACGAAAGAGTGATGGGATGGGAAAGATACGCACACGAAGGGGTGGTGCGATGGTATGGAACATGTCAAGCTTCGCTGGTGATCGTGATGGTTTTTGATGTGTGTAAAGGTTTCCGCCTCTCCTCTTCATGGCGAGGACACAGCTAAGCACAGCATTCACCTCATTGCACAATTTAGAACAAATGCGAGTGATTGAAAATCAGGCCAGTAAGGCTCCTCATCTCATCGTCGTACAAGTCGTCGTTGTATACGTCACATGTATATGTACCGCCCCACTTTTTTTTGGTGGTTTTGTTCTTTTCCTCTCTGCCGGGACAACATTTTTATCACGCTTTCTTCTGCATGACTTGCAGACGACAGGTCGGTACATTATGTTGAGAAGCACGATAACCACTAGACCACGAGTCAGCATTTTATTCCTCATACATTCGGGCGCACAGAAATTTATGCTCGAGGGGAGATTCGAACCCCGGACATTAGCTTTTGTTGAGAAGCACGATATCCACTAGACCACTAGGAATCTCCCCTCGAGCATAAATTTCTTTGCGCCCGAATTTATGAGGAAGAAAATGCCTAAGGAAATTGGCATCGCGAAATGAGCCGCTGACCTGCTTGTATCGATCTAGCAAGCACAGCGCTGATGACAGGGATAGCAACCCTGGGGGGACGTGTTCGTGGCTTAACATCTTCACCGGACACGGGCATGAACTTTTGTTGAGAAGCACGATAACCACTAGACCACTAGTCAGCCACTAGTGGTCTAGTGGTTATCGTTCTTCTCAACACATTAATACTCGTTGCGTGTGGGGCTCGCTAGACATCGGTGGTGCGCGTGATGGCCGCTCAAAGGTCGCTGGGATTGGCTCTATTCCAGGGGTCGCGAATGCAAACCAAAACAAGCCTTCAGATATACTTGAAAATGAACACAACACTTCTTAGCGGGGAGTTTTCCTCTTTCGCGGTCTGTTGTTTGGGTGCGTGTGTCTTTTCCATGATGAGGTTTGCGCGTTGTTCGTCTGTTGAGAGCATACATGATATTGAACGACTAGCAGGACGCTGGAGCTCAACACACACGGTACATTACAACTGAGTCAAGGAGAACAGATCCCCCCACCAACATTCAACAGCATTGGCATCCGTTGGAATTCGAAACATGTTGGTCGCAACGGAGTGCTATGTTTTCTTCAATCAGCCAATAACAGCACAGAATTTTTCTGTTTGGTGCAGACATGCGTGTGCCCAAACACAGGACAGATGTCAACCACAGATGTAAACACCCTTTTGTTATGGCCGCAAAAGGGGACAAGGCTCTTGATGTTGCTCATAGGAACACACCGCGCGACACAGAAGACCTCTTGCACAACTTTGGCCGCCGTGATTTTAATTTCAATTCCGGAAAATCGAAAAATTCAAAGTCGACTTGGTAACAGTCTACGTCTGTCTGTGACCGTTCTTGGGCACGTTGAGCGTCTCTTCGATCCGTTATTGGTGTTTGCGCGAAAAATTCTCTCGTCCACGGGCAACACAATCACATAAGAGCAGGCGATCAAATGAGCGGATTAAAGCAGTAGGACATGCAAAGACGCCAGTAGCCTACAACACAAACTCGCGCACAAGCGCAAAGTCCCGGCGGGAGAAAAAAAATAACCCGCACATGATGCAAATTCTAGGCAAATTCTGCAGGTTGCATGCCAAACCGGCACTACCGAACGCCATGACGTTGAGATGCAACGATGCGACCGCGATGACATCGGCCATGTCCTCTTGAGTCGCCCCCGGGAGGCAAGTCACCTACCTCCCGTAGGGGAGCCTTGTTTATGCATACATACCCATTTCATGCGAGATGCTACGACCAATTAGCTGTTCAGAACCATCCGCGCGAGCGCCAGCAGCGGAAGCTAGCTGTTGCTGGAGACTGAGTTGTAGAGTCACTACTGTCGTTGACACCACTGTTGCCAGTGGGTGCTGCTGCGGGGGCTGTTGCGTAGACTGCCGTATACTACTGTAGACTCACTATTGTTGTCATCACTTTTGGCTTCGCATGTCCGCCACACAGCAGTATGAAGCACAGCAGGCCGAGTGGGAGGCAGCGGGGGGCGCGCCAACTGGTGCAACGGGGGGTACGCTCTACATTAGAATAGGTACGCAGGGGGGGGGGCAGTGGGAAATGTGAGTCTGGCTGGTGTTCAGATGGGATGGGTGTCATGTTGGTGGGAGTGGCTGGGATGGGATAAGCTTTGTGATGGGAGTGATTGGCATGGCATATGCTCTTGTGATGGGAGTGGGTCGGATGGGACACGCCATTGCGATGGGAGTGTGGATGGAATGGGAAACTCTAGATGGGATGGTAAACGTGATGGGATCCAAAATCTCCCACCATTCCATTACCATCAAATTTGCCATCCCATCGAACTCCACGTTGAGCCCTGGGTTTCAGGCTTGCCGGTGAGCAGCGTCTTCTGGCCACAGGGAATGGCCATGGTTTCCGCGGTTGAGTGGTGGATACATAGCCTCTCAATGAACAGGGTATACCTGTAGCAGTCGTGTCGTACACAGTACAACAGCGGCCCTGCAGCCGATATTTGAACAACCCAATCCCGCTTTCCCGGTAGCTCCCGCAGCTGGTTTTGACTTGCATTTATATGTGAACCGTACACTTCCTCGGGGGACTTCTTTCTCCAGGCAGGGATTTGCTGAATACCAAATCAATGTTTTTCGTGTCAAGGCACATTTATTTCTCCCTCGCGGCAGCGCATCTCTTCCTATGTATGGTTCCTTCTCAGGGGCACGCAGAAGGCTCGCCGGCACAATACTGCGCATGCCCGAGGACCGCCAGGCATCCGTGGCTCGTGCAATCGACACTTAAAGTCGCCGCGACTGGCTATATTTCGCGGGGGGGCATTTCAAAGTCGAAGAGCCTTCACAAAACATACAACACTTCTCTGCGTAAACAGAGCTGCGTAAACAGAAAGACTGTTGAATCCTGCGCAACGCACACACGTTTCCACACCTACTACCAACACTGATTGTGACGATCGACCGAAAGCAGCGGGGCACAGCAGCAGCAGGATCTGCGGCAAAGACGCCGCTATAGAACGCACGCAATCACGCACACACGAAAAGTCTAGGAGCCTCGCACATGAGTGTATTCTGCAGTTAATATGCGGAACGTTGAGATGAAACGATACAACCGTGATGCAGTTGGCGCCGCACTCAAGAACTTGGCAGTTGCCATTCGTCGCTTAACCCTGGGATGGGAACTACATGTTTGTGCGAACCCCAGCCTTAGCCAAAACCAGAGGTTTTGAAGTGCGGACGCTCACGGTAGCATTGGCCATGACCTCTTGCGCCGCCCGCGGGAGTCAAGTCACGAAATCCCCGAAGGGAAGCCTTGTACATGAATATATGAGTTCGTCGAACAATCAGAGCTCGTTTTTTTTGTTCACTTTCTCGATGTTGATTCTTGGCATGTCGCAAAATACAGGACCTCAATGGTGAAGTTCATTCTTATCATTGTTTACCCTTGATTTCTCCACTCCGTGGTGGCGACCTCCGTTTCTTGACAGGAGTTAGACTACCCTTTAGAGCGGTACAGGATAGACTGCTGTAGACCATGCACATGAGATCACAAGGAATCCCTCTGGAGCGGGCTCATGTGAGCCCAGTGAAATTAAGGGGTGTGATGCAAGAAGAATCAAGCAGGGGGGCAGGACCTATCCACAGCTGGCTGTCAGCTGTGTGAGGACTCACAAGCTCAAACAGCTCACAAAGTTTATTGTTGTTTGTGACTCGAACAGCCTGGCGAGAACCTCAACGAACCCCCAAAGAAATACAGACCAAAGTAGTTACCGCAGTCGTAAGGCATATGCATACCATACTTTATGACAAGACTCATGTAGATGTTTAGTCTACGCTGCTGCTGTTGTTTGGAAACCACAGCAGCACTGGTACAGGCAAAACCAATACGGTACAGTAGTTCCACCATCAAAAGAACTGATCGAAACATCAAAATCGTATCCAGCACCTGCTGCAGGCCACCGTGAGACCATACCTTTTGCGGCAAAACTGCTGACATCTCCTTGCCCAATCATCGCCGCGCCCACATTCGCCGAGAGATGGGCTGGTGTCTGGCTAGAATACCCATTACCCCCCCCCGTATCACCGAACGGCTGGGAGGTTTCAGGGGATGGCGGAATACTTTCGCGTGCACCGCGAGTGAGTAGTTCGCTGTTTGTTGGCTCTTGCCCCTGGTCGTCGCCTCTGGGCTTGGGCTTGGCCTCCATCCTGGGCTTCAGGATCGCCAGCTCAATTTGTGCGCACAGCAGCAGCAGCGAATCCTCGATACGGGTAAGACGTTCGTTTGTTGAGGCGTCGGCCCCGTTCTCGGCATCACACTGTCTGGTGAGCATCTTTTCAGTGTACCGTCACTCCCACGCCCTCAGATAGGAGTCAAAAGAGATGACCACAACAACCCTCTGCCCTACACCACCGCCAACGTAGATGGGGGAGTCCGCAATATCATCAACCATGCCTGCGGGGGCTCCGGCCACATCGATCACCCGCCAGCCCCGGGTCTGTCCAGAGGTACTGCAGCACATGTATGTGTCATATAGTACAAGCTAGCCTGCTAGCCTCATGCCAGATGGTGTAAGCAGTGTGACACAACAACACGCATGACAGAAAGTTGTTTTCAAATCAATTTTCCCAGCAGTTGTACAGCAGTACAGATATTGCTGTCAATCGTCTTTCCCATGGTATAGTTTTTAGGCGCAGATGATGAAGGCTGGATCTCTTGGATTCGGCGTTTCGGATTCCTTGAGCTGGATCGGGACTTCAAAGCTTAGGCGTTCCTACATAGTAGGTTGGGAACGACCGCGAATGGGAAGTGAGGTTGCAAACAAATCACTGGCCTGTTCTTTTTCTTTTTATCGCAGCAACGTGCAAGAAAAAAACCATTCACTCTGTCTGATGTGGGCAATGCTTTGATACAATATGGAACTTTATTTACCTGTGAATAATGTACGCCCAACGCCTGAGAGAGGACTGTGTGGTACTTTGTAGCAAATAGCAAAACATATGCAAGCGGGTGAAGTAAGCCTCTTCTAGCTTGTACAGTAGTCCAGTCCAGCAATCCGAGTTTATCCCATCATACCGGGCAACGAATGAGGTGGTGCTGGTGTACGTAGCACCCGGGAGATCTCGCCCCGATGCAACTTCCCTGCACATAATCAAGCACGTAATTTGTGCTTTTCTCTCCTACGCATGCCAGATCATGCATCCCCATGTCGTACCTATCGCAAGCCTTCTAGACTATCCTCGAAATCGCAGTCATGGACAAGACTTATTCCCGTTTTATCTTATCTCTAAAAAAAGGGGTTGCCCGCTACTTCTCGCCCCGTCCCGCTGATGGGACGAGACGACTCTGTCCGCCTTGTCCATCGGTTGTACTCGGAACGATGCCTGCTCCGAGGGGATCTAACCCGTCGGAGATGACCTGCACCAGACCATCCGCGTTGTTTGCCTGCGGAATGTATTGGTATCGGTGAATTGATAGTGTCAGAAGGTAGAGGCGCACAAAGGGGGGCATGCCGAAGAGTAGGTGAGCAAAGCTCTCTCCACCCACGCATGCTACTATCTTGCCGGGCTTCTTAATGCTCAAAAGGAATGGCCGTCACGACGCGATCAACGATGCTTCTTCACAGCGAGAGCGGTACCTACCGGCTTAATCATCCGCCTTGTGATGACATCGAAGTTCAGAACGCGACCAAATTCGCGGAGAATAATCTCTTCCTTCGTACGGTTTGTCTCGCTCTAGAGAAATCGAACGCAACCACCAATGGTTTGGATGTAAAACCTGAGTTCCATACGATAAACCTGAGTTCCATACGATTGCAATTGGCATTTCATCTCTGTGGTTTCCTCGCTCGGACCTTGATCGCGGCCCGGCAGTCCGATACCACTCTTGTCTTCGCCTGGCCTATTCGCAGATTCGATGCCTGCGCGAACGCGTCCAAGGAACCGAAGGGTTCGAGGGAAGATGGCACACCGAAAGGTGAAATGATGCAGCAATTATCTTCGGGTATGCTCGTTGACTACCACCTCGCTTCAGCTCTGAAAACCGGTCCTGTCGCAGTTGTAACTATTTCTTAAAAGTTGAAGTAAGGTCAGCCACCATGACGTCTTTTCACGGTTAGCCCGGTTCTTGGTCTACTGTCACGATATACCGTGCAGGACGATAGTGACCACGTGGGTCTGTAACTACAGATAGGGCCCGGAGATAAGAAACGTCAAAATCGGGTCGAGCCTCTATTTCTTATTCTGGGCAGAAGGACCAGCCGAAGTCGGCCAACTTCTTAAAACGTAACATTTTTTGGTATTACTTATTCCTTTGGGCTGTCGCATCGTTCTCTTTCAATATCTTTCTTACCTCTGTAGTAGTATTTTGTTATTTCTGATGGCGAAGAAAACAACAACACACCAAGCCTTTATGCAGAATTAATCCGACAGCTCGGTGTGGCGAACATTGGGGGTTGTAGCAGCACATCATTACAGCAGCATTGGGTAGCGCATCCCGCGGCGGCGCTGGGGCGCGGGGGGCGCCGCCAAAATATCCACTCTCCCCCCCCCGCCAAAAAATTACATGACTTTGTTGGTAGGGGGTGGGAGCATGGCAGCAGCAGCAGCATCAGTGGAACGTTTCTTTGGACACGCTCCCCCAGCTTGTACACCTTGTTTCTTTTGTCTTGGGGTATCGCACGATCATGGTTCTTGTTGGTATGTTTCTGATGTTGTGGCCGAGATTGAGCTGTGCTTCTTGGCCCTTTTATCTTAGTTTCCGAAAACATTGAGCTTTTATTCTCATCGATTTTTTTTCTTAACTGGGGGCCCTGTTCGGTTGGGTTACACAGGTGGAGACCAGGAGATCATCACCACAACGATATACGGAAGTAGGTGTAGTCTGTTTGTGGTAGACACCACGCTGAATCTCAGCTGTTCTAGGTAAGCACGCAGGAGACAATATTATATTGTCGCCAAGTCAAGACGTTCTCACCTTCTGCACGGTTTGTTTGACCTCCTTCAGGGCTGCAAGTAGTGCCTGGTGTGAACAACCGGACGCAAAGCAATGCAGTTGCAGACGGAAAAGGGGGGGCAAGCACCTCGCTCTTCGAAACGTTGTGGCGCCCAGTGGCATGAGGCGGTGGTGGTATACCACGCCAACGGCCAATCGTGACAGAGACATTCGGTGTTCTGAAAGTGTGTTGGCCCAGTTCATCGTTTGGGGCAGATGGGAAACACCTGAATCTCCTTGCTGGTACTTCACACGCAAATAGTTTGCTCTATGGACTCCGACAACGGTTATTGGTTGACAGGTAACAGCTGAGATTTATGATAAGACCCCCGTCGTCTTGAGTTTCCCCAAAAGAGTAGGCCTGTTGACTGGAAATGGACACGAAAGCAGGTGATGGTTTTGCGGCTGTGCTCTTGTCCGAAAAACCAACTTACGTGGTGATTGTTTGCCCGCTTGGCGTACTCGCCGACCAGCCGCCTGTTGAGGTTGTTCAGCTCGGCATACATCTTTCGCACCAACGGCATGTCTCCCAGCAATCGGGCATCCTCGGCTCTCACGACATACGCTTTCACCCTTGCATGCACGCCACGACGGAAGGTCATACACGTTGTAGGTTGTCGGTGGCAACCATTCGGCAGACCTGAAACGTTGCAGCTCTCCGAGAACCGTAACATGTGATCATGCTTAAATGAACCGTTGAGTTGAACCGTCGACGACACATGGGGTGATAGATTGTCTGTCCTCTGGAAACCCATCAACATCAGAGTTCCACGCAACAGCTGACGTGCTGCAGTCTCGTACACGGGATCTTCTTCGGTAATACTGTTTGCACTATGATCAGCGTATTCAGTATGGCAAAGTTACTTTCACAACCAATGTTTGCTGCACGTCACATTCTTTCCCAATCGTTCCGCCTCTGGCTTGAAAGTATCGCAGTTCATATAGTCAAGGTTGCGTCGAGGCGTTGATCGGTCGCACCCCCTTTCGGTTTGAAGCCCTGCATCATTCAACCTTCTGCCGCACTTACCTTTGAGAGCTGTCGGCCATGTCGGCGGTGAGCTGCTGCCTTAAGCTATTGTAGTCGACCACACCCTCCATCACGTCCCTCAAAACCTCCATCTCATCGGGGAAGTGTGCTGTGGACTCCAACTCCGTCACCTTGTTTGTGGGGTCATTTCGCGTGGGTGTGCTCTTATGCTCCGCACCGAACCAATGCAGGTTGATACAACCGCACAAAGCCGGTGTTTCGGTTGTGGTAGATATCACATTGGAGCCGCTACGGCTGCAATGGAATGTCACAGAACTACCCCTGCAACGTCAGCAAGCTTCCAAAGAAGCCACGTGGAAGTCGCGCGTGGTATATCTACCCGAATCTCAATCTACCGTTATGAACCCTCTCCTAGTTCTATTCCTACGCCCACAGCAGACTATTGACTACATTCGTCGCTAGGATAGGTCAGGGCCAGTTGGCGTACATGGAGCTGATTGAGTTGTCGTGCATGGCGGGTGAATACATCGCTGCCCGGAACAGGTGGTCATCGGCTTGGGCGCATATTGACCGAAACTTCCATGCATTCATCGATCGATAGAGGTTTCACGGAGGCTGCCGTGACCTCCACCGAACGTACTACGAAAGCGTGTAGGACTTCCGATTCATGAAGCTTTCATTCATGAAGAATTACAGAAGACAGTTCTCGCCCCAGGGCTGACCGCGGGTTGCCGGGGCCACGGGGCAGGCCATACGGCAATAGTCTACATGCCTCACCTCGAGGAAACGGCCCAGGTCCTGCACCACCTCGCCTGCCAGCTCCATGCTATCGCAGCGTATTCGAACCTCCACGCGCGCTTTCAGTCTCGCCTATACATGCCATTTTTTCAAAATGATCCCAAAGATCGACACGTCTCAGAGTCAAATGGTAGAACACCAGCTGTTTCTCGGCACCAAGCGCCTGGAAGAAAACGTGGTTTGAACTGCGTGAGGCAAATATTTTGGTTCGATTACCTGCACCCATAGTGTCCCGGGACTTTCGCCCTCCGCCTCAGGCGGGAGCCAAAACGCCTCCATGATTTCTCTGAGGAAGGCGTAGCGACGTTCGGAGGAAGGGTATGGTGTTGGGGGCTCATCCTCGCACGTATTTTTCGACGATTTCGAGCGGGACAGAAGCGACAGGAGAAAGTATGGTCGCGGGAGAGTAGACAAGGGGGACACGTTCCCACTTTGTTTTTACTATTATCAGTATTTCGGCAATCTAAGTTGTTTCTCAGGTTCGGTGTACAACGCCGCCAAAAATATCAACTCCCACGAACAGCCCACGCATCCAGCCTCGGAAACGTTCAACGGCAGATTGCAGAGATCATCACGCCATACGTTCCGAATATCGTAGCTGGACACTTTGCCTGTTCTCGGCGACCTCGTGCCCACAGAGAAAACTCCGCTCGATCCACTGCCCCACCCGCCAGTGCTGATCCGAGAGGCTGAACATCACACACGAGTCGGGTTTCGGGGTAGTCGCTGGATCCTTGACCTGGTGGTGTTATATGAAAATTCTCTGTGGCGAACGAAACAATGTACTCGCGAATCGTTTGGAAGGGTTCGAGTGCACGTTGCTTTAGGCCCCCCGGGTAAGCTTGATTGCGAGGCAGTGTCGTATGCTTGGAACGGTGATTTACCGTTGGCGCGCTTGGCACTTTGGATCAAGGGATTGCACCGCAAAGCTTATCGATGGGCTGAGCCATCACTATCATCCCTATTCACGCACAATTAAGCAATTGGGCATCGCTAGGGTCAAATCGTTGTTCAAATGAAGCGGGAGTGAAACCGTTGCTTTGACATGAGCTGCAGGTATGACTCGTCTTTTGTTCACCAGTGCATCCGAACATAAACATACACACTGTATCTCCAGCGCTGGCAATAACACCGCACCAGGTTTGTGGCGTTATACGAGGGTGTCCTGAAGCCCTCAGCTGGGTCATTCAAAAGGTACCTGTGAGAACATGGCGAACTTTGGCAGCTCCTTCTGCAGCTCGAAGGCATAGAGGTTGTTTGGGTAGCCCCGGGACCCCACGTGCGCCTGTTAGAGAGACGGTGCCATGTATGGCAGACGGTGACATGTATTTCAAGTCGTTGGTCGGCCGACTAGCTAGGCGGTATCCATTGTGCTCACGTGGAATTTTCCGGAAAAGCTAACAAATTAGGAACAACCCCAACGGACTCGACCACGATCGTTCGATGTCAACTCTCACCCATGAGAATGCAATAGTGATATTCGGTGGGGGGCAAGGTTTGCATAGGAAAGTGATAATCTCTTCTTCTACACGCCAACTACACGGGGCTATTCTTATCGTGAAACGTCGGCGACGGCACGCTGAGTGATCTTAGCCGCACGATACACCCATACATCCTGTTCCATTCATTTTGATTCTTTTGCAAGGCCCCCAAAAGAACTTCTGGCAGCGTATGGCACACTGTGCGCCGACTGCATTTTATTGCACAGGCTCTGAAATTATGCAGTTTCTTGCGACTCTTTGCGATTGCTGTCAGATGCACTCCCAACACGGCACCTGGATTGTTAACTTGGCCGCTTGAAGTCTTCCCGCCGAGGTCGTGAAGGAAACCACTAGCACTCCCTTCGAGCTGGGAATCTCCGGGCTCGACACCAAGGTCTTCCGTTCGGGTTATCAGCATGTCAGATTTCGATAGCAGCGAGCGGAAACCAGGGGCAGTTCGAGGAAGCAATACTCTTGCACGGAGGAAGGTTAAAAAATACGGCTCATTCTTGAATTAATCCCCGAGACAGACAACCGGTGCGACATGTCGGACTAACGACCGGAGACAAACCAGGAAAAACGGAAAGTTTCGGCAACAGAACAACAAGAAATACTGTACCTCTCCGTCGAACAGCCGTCCGTCCGGATCGAGGACAACAATGCTGATAATGACGGCGTCGTTGTTGGTCGACACGTGGAGCTCTAGAGGCCCACCGTTGTCGCTAGGGTGCCACTCTGCAGAAATCTGGAGTGGATACGTGGATTTGATGGCAACAAGTGCTCGTTGTCAGGGAGGCGCGAACGGAAGGGAGAGAAAAACTCTCGCCTTTAAAGTCTTGACATGCGCGGAGCTCGTTCAATCATACGAGGGAGACAGCCAGCAATATGTCGAGGATAATCGCTCCAGATAGAAATACGTAGGTAGCAAGCGTGCACCGTAGCATTGGGGTATGTGACGTACTTGAATAATATCACGGAGCTATGACAACAAGTCGAGGCTTTGCCGAGGCTTGGAGGCATATTCTAACCCAGGTATGCCATACACGTGAGTCTGGCCGAATAATACTTGCCTCTGTGTTGAGTGGAATGGCGCCGGTGCCCCGGATCCCCTGTTTTCTATTTCTTGATGCGTCCTCCAGGCTCATGAGCTCCAACGAAAGGGTAGCCTTCTTCCGCTGCAGTTCCTGCAGCTCGTTTCGTGCCGCCTGACTCTGTCGAGAAACAAACATACCAACAGTCATCGCCACACGCAAAATTATTCTTTTTGAATATCCACTCCCACGTAACGTCGTGCGCACCTAAAACTAACCCCAGGTGTAGAAGTGGTCAAGGCAGGGTCGTTCATACTGCAGGCGGACATTATTTTCAAGAAAGTTTCGAGAGGTTCGTCAAAGTCACACATGTATTGCCTCTCGGCGCCCCGTGGCGCTCTGTTCCCAGAAAACCCCTGCAGGCGGGTCGGGATATTTTCGCGAGGAAGGTCATGGCAGGATAAGGGCACAGCCACTACGGTATGGCCGTAGACCGCCATTTTCGATTGTCGTGGTTGTCCTTTGCTGTTGAGCGTCAGGTTGGAAAAATGAAGCACTCGGAGAGGCCTAAACTGTGCACCCTTTGGCGAAGAGACCCCCCTGGCGACTGCGCCCCCTATCCCCCTACTGACCCCCCGTTGGTTAATTCTGTCACTAGACCGCTTGTCCAACCTCACCTTTTGTATCCGCGTGTTGCTCGATAACCGCTCTAAGCCATCTCCCGAAGACGAAGGGACGGTGGGAATGTATCCACGGACCTCGCCGCTGGTGCTGACAACGAGCAACTCGTCGGCTCCGCTCATTCGATAATCCGCCACAACGATGGCAGCTATTGGCGAGGCCATGGTGTCTTTGTACACCAGCTGATTGATGTTACCGGTGATGAGGGTCATGGTGAGGGTTGTGGGTGGACCACGCGGGTTAGATCGAGGAAAAAATTGGAAGGTTCGCCGCTCAATACCTACCCCCCGAAATGAGGTGTCGTGATTTCGCGTGAATGTGATGTTCGTAGCATGGGGAGTGGGTGGAGGATGATATTTGAGAACTATGGAAGGCTGACTTGATCGTGGCGAAAATGATCCTGGTAAATATCGCTTCTGCCTCCCTTTCTCTCTGTGTAACGCGAATTGCTCAAGGTCAACCCCTTCAGAGCAAGACCGGTGACTCTTTGGGGTGAAAATATTTAGGGGAGAAACAAGTTTGGTTTTAATGCGCTTCGCAGCAGCGTGGGCTCGAAATGATCTACAGCACGACACACTGTGAAGATCACCGACTGTGCACTTCGGCGTGCATGATTGCACGCGTCGCACCTCTCCGTTTGATGCCTTCCGAGCCATGATGGCACCGTTGCTCCACCCTGTGACCACTTCCGCCGTTCCATCTCCATCGATGTCAAATATCGCTAGTGCCGTCACCTGTGCATGAAATCACCGCTATAGTCTTTCATAATGTGCTCCCTTCTCGTTTTCATTCAGGCCTAAGCGCCCCCCGATGGGATTTCGCCCCCTGCAGTCCGTCCCTCACATGCAAGAACATCGACCCGCGCCTCCGGTTTGAGTCTCTTGCCGGCGAGCAGATCTAGAAAACAAAAACAATACTTGCTATCTTGGATGCCCCACTGATTGCTACTGCCCTGAATCCACGTTCTGGTCGCCTCGCCCCGGGGGGTAGACCAGCTTACATGTAGCACCACCTCCCCTCTTTCACCTGGTTCTTGTTCTTGACTCTCCAAACACGCCTGCTCTTGTTGTACAAGCCGACGGTACCTGGCTTGGATGAAAACCCGTCAGATTAGGAGTCTAACAGTCGGGGGAGGTTCGTTACATGCATACTCAATAGACTGGACTCCTTCGCATCACCGCAACTGAACTTCCATTGTCCAGCTTCAACGTCCCACATAGCCAATACCTCAACCCCTGAAATACGTCACGTGATCTATTGCATTGCTTCATGACCCTTGCCCAGGTTAAACCAGATTTCTCGAAGCGACCAGGCGTCCACCACTGATGCGCAGAGTGTGCATAGGATATAACTTCTGACATATCACACTCTCGTACTTTTTGTGGCCTATGTGTTGTGTGAGCGGGGCGCGTGGACATCAACAGTCGGCCATCAGACCAGCTACGCAGAGTGTTTCCTACAATAACCGTCGCCGTCGGGTCCTATAGATCTATCTCGAGATGTGGCAAAGTTTTTCCCGCACCGTTCGCCAACCCGTAGGCCCACATAGTGTTCTCCGGCTTCTCGCCCGTCGTCTCCAACCCCCGTCTTCGTTCGTCCAAGGATTGGAGGTGGGTCACCCTCTCCGCCTCAGTGATTTCACTCAGCACTTCCTCTCGGCGGAACACTCGCACCTGAATGGTTTTTTTATCAGTAGGAGCCGCGGTAGAGCTCGATGCATTCATTGGTGTGGGTGTTCGGGTGCAAGTCGCATATCTACTTATGAAGAAGAACAGACTGTTTAGGAAATATCCAAGCTGATCACCCCGGCTGTGCAATGGCCTGGAGTTCTTGTGCGTTGTCAGGTAAGGCTGGAAAAGCGGTAAGGCGTACTCTGCTGGTAGTAGTCCAGGTTGCGATTGGTCAGTTTCCTCCTATATGAAGAGTTTTTGCGTTGGATGCTGTAATGTTAGCTGTTTTTCTTGCAGAACGAACATGAATCTCCTGGGCAGAAACTCCAGCCCTACTATGTACCAATATGGCTGACATGTATGAAAAACGAAGGTGGCAAACAACCTCTCCTTCAATTGGAAGATGTTCGATGTATGTAGAGCTCGACCAAGGATTTGTATTGCTTCCAGTCTCTAAACCCCCGGCAACACGCAATGGATAGTTTGGGGTAAGTGCGAAAGGAAGAGTATTGGTGTCACGGCACGTACCTCGAAGTCATCGCTTCCGACAAGAAGCTTTCGTTGCCCATCCCCGTTAGCGTCCACCATCGTCATCGAAGAAACTTTGTCACCGGTAACCGTCCAGAACCTGAATGAATCGGGGGCAAGCCTTTTAGCTGCTGGCGTCGGTGAAGGTAAATTGCTGAAAGCATGTAACTTGATATGTTAGCTGCCCACTGCCCCAAATAAAAGAAGCATGTCGATGGGAAAAATTCACCGCCACGACTAGAGGGGGCCGCCCCAAACATGTATGTTGGATACCGCATGGTACTTCGTATGACACGAATAATAGCTAGACGATGTAGATAAGCGCGGCGTCGTGCCTTCAGTAGCAAGAGCAGAACATAATATATATTATAGTACCTCTCCGTGCCCGTGGCGTCAAAACCTTGTACTGAGCAGTTGCCACCAACCAGGGCCAGTGGTTGCTGTGAGGGAGGCAGGCACCCAAGCAGCACCGCGCTCACTCCATCGGCTACATCCTGATTTCGTATTACACAGTTGCATCGACGATGCGTTTGAGGACGTCGCTCAGCACTTGTTCACGTTGCGAAAGGTCGTTGTTGCATTGCCAAGGGATTTGGTGGCGCGGAGTACTCTCGTGGGCTCTTGTTGCCACTGGTAAGTCCCGACCTACTATTGGCGCAAAGTTCGAGTCAGGGTACGGCGCGTGGTACGAGATTTGGTAGGGGGGTTAATCCCTCACTGGAAAGTTCCTACAAACGACGGCATCACGGGTCGGTAGATTCACGGAAAAACTTTATATGTCACAGCTTGTCCGATTTCTCCATGTTACCTTGTAGTAGATGTCTGCGTTGTTCTCCACGTCGTGTGCTAGAAGGTTTGTCTGTGAGCCTACCAACAGCATGTCCCTGCCGGCGGACTCTTCCAGGCGCCCCGCTGCAAGGCCAGTAACCTGACAGGCGGATTGTGCGTTTTGCCGTTGCGTTGCAGTAAGATTCGTAAGCTAGATCCACGAATGTCTTGCCTTCGCCGCAGATAAATTTGCGAACGAGAAGAAGACCGCCATAAACAATTTGCATGTGCCCTTGAAAACACTGCACTAGAGGTGCCCGAAAATGCTACACACATTCCACAACGGAACGTCGACAGAAACAGGCTGTTCGTCTTGCATGCACGACTTCTAGAAGCCTAAAAGTTGTAGAGACCAACGTAACCCAAGGGGTCGCAGAAAGGCGCGCACTAAAGGTGTTTTATGGATGAAGGTGGGAAGCGGTGCTACAGTAAGTACACTTGTAGGCTTGTATACCTCACGGTTCATGTTGAGGAAACGCGTGTCTCCGCCGGACTCTTTATCTCCGGCCTGATACGCCATGGCGCTTAACGTTTGCGTGGGGGTATCACCGTTTGTTTCAGCGCCGGCATCACTTGGAAAAAAGCCTCGTTGAGAGGTCGGGCAGTGCACGAGAATCTTTCCCGCAGACGTGGCACACGTAAGCGACGGCCGTTTCCCATCATCTGTGGTGTTCAGTAAGGCCGGGTTAGTTTGGCGAATACCGATCCGTTGTATCTCTTTGTACGTGCAGTTATCCGCACACAAAGGCCAAGGCAATCAAAATCACGGGGCTGCAAGTAAGTCCTAGATCGTGGGTGTGGAGGATAGCCGGATGTTGCACCTTCGGCGTGCGACTGCTGACGACGGGCCGCTGAGCACTCCGCCGGACAAGCCGTAGAGGTGAGTTTTTCGTCACCGCGTCGTTCCGTGGCCCAAACGCCTTGCATCGTATCCGCGTGCATATTGGTGAACAAATACCTACAAAAGCTGGACTCACATTTGCCAACGCAAACCAAGCCTGTCTTGACTGGGTGGTTGAGATGGAAGGTGAACGCTGCAGCGATCTTCATTCTTCCTGCTGGCACGGAGTGCGGTCGAACCAGTACCAACAGAGTTTGCCACGGACAGTCGTTGGAGAGAAACATAATCAAGTCATCATCGACGCTCATGCACATTACAAATACAATTTACAAGGTCCCCTAAACCCCGATCTTTCTCTAACGAAATACCTTGAATCACTTGGGCTCTCCCGTCGCTCCCCCGTCACGCATGTACCCGCCGCCACCGCGAGATCAAAGATACTGGAAGAGTTGGAAAGGCGGCACCGGTGTCTAGCAAGGGTATGCACTTTGTAGCGAGGGAGACGGTGTGGATCACCCTTCTTCGAGTAGGCGGCTTCCGATCCGTGGACAACACTCCTGCCAATTGCAGCGGTCCGCGTCCAACCCGCATAGATTCGAGTTTGCGGTTTGCGGTGCCGCGGTGCGGCGTAATTGAGCCATGTGCGGTGCAATTACGAATTGCGGGGCAATAGAGCCCGGTTGGGAACCGTTTTCGCGGAACCTAACCTTCTCTCTGGGGATGGTGCTTCTGCCTGGTGCCGGCGTGCCGGCTGACCGATTCTGAGGCGGAAGCAACATCGAAGCCGCGCAATATTGGCACACCAGCAACAACCTACGGTGACAGGCAAGCATGCGATATGTACCACGTACAGCACCTGCCCGAGAGGTCAGCTCAACACCCTTATGCAATGAAGCTTCTCGATCCCGACAACGTGCGAAGCTTATTATTGCTTCGCAGTCTGGATGCAGACCACTCGGGACTACCATCGTGGAATGACAGCGGAACCTTGCCGAACGTGCCGGAGACTGACAGCGACTTTCACCACGATGCTACTACTGCTGTGGTCGATCAATCCGATGTGAATAAGCTCCTGGCGCTGGATATCGAGGAGCTCATGCAACATACCTTCCGCGTTCAACGGCAGCGACATATAGCTTCATACGTAAGGGTACATTGGCTGTACTGTTGTAGATAACAGATGCTTTGATACCGTGTACCGTAGTGGGACAGAGGGATAAATTGCCACCAAAATGCGCCCACGCAGGTAGAGCGGTGGAGATGCAAAGCTCTGGACGCCGCACCTCAGCATTTGCACCGTACGTAGAGGCGAGGGTTGCGGAACGTTGAACCGTCATACACAAATCGTATGTAGGTACGTGTAGGATAGCAGTGGTGTTCTGTGCGAGGTGAGTCTGGACACCTCTCATCCCAATCTAGGGTATTGGCGTCTAAAACCATGCGGTGAGCACGACACTCCAAGAGGGCGAAGTATGGTTTGAATGTGCTACATACGTGGTTCGATGTCTCTCAGTATTGAGAGTAGTAATCGTGCCGTGCTGTAGTCGATGTGCGCAGCAACGCCTTGAGGAGGGTTCGCAGAGAGGGCAATAACCTGGAGGCATCAAAGACCAAGCACATAACGCCAGGGCTCATGCGTTCAATTTACAAGTCTCCTTCCGTACATTGTGTCCAGCGTGTGTGGAAAAAGACAACGATCAACTTTCGACGTTTACAAGAAATTATTCTAGCACATACATCTGGTTGGCAACACGTTGCCATCTTTCTCACCACAGGCGTCCGATACCGGTAGAGTCAGCGATACGGCGTTCGATTCGAGCTTGAAGATGACGACAGAAAGTACCAGGAAGACTGGAGGTCGACGTTTGCTAAATACGGTGAGGGGCAAGCCCCGAAGAAAGCGGAGAAGGACATCCAGGAGTATTTCGCCATCTCCGTCGGACATAGGGCCTACCCCTGTACGGCTGTCTTCTGCGATCCGGAACAATCGACAGACCGGAAACAAGTCGATACGGGCACTACCGCTTCACATGGGCTTCTCCCTTTCAGAAACGAAGGTAAACACGATTTTCGGTGTCGCAGCACAGTGCATCGTTCATACCTTTCACTACAGCGAGACTGAGGAGAGGTTTCTTTGACCTCGAAGGCTTGTTTTAGAGATGTACGTTATCCGTTTTTAATCCAACGTACGAGAATGCTCTGAAGTAACTCGTCGCTTCCCTGTCGCACGACAACGTTCCCCATACCACCTACGACAGCACCTGCGTGCAGCACTAAATTTGGCGAGCCACGACGCTCGTCTTTTGAGGACGAACCTGAAATACGCGTTGGGGAATGTGGAAGGGCTTCTGCCCGAGAGAGCGGCACGTGCTGCAGTTGATTCACTCGTTGCGCGTGGAGACACTCACGGCGACCTAGACACAGAGACGGCACTAAGGCTAAGCAGAGCAGTTGCTCTATCTCCAGACTCCGCCGAAGGCTGCGCGAAGTCAGCAGGGACTAGAAAAGACAGGAACCCTGAGAGCCGATGTATGGCCGTCGATGCTAGATGTTCGTCTCCTGACACAAAACGTTTCGACGCCACTCCATCAAGCGGGGGGGCGGCGTCTCCCCAAGGTGGCGTTGGCCTTGATGTTGACGAAAGCAACCACGTTCTTCCGGACGATGACGAAAGTATCTGTCTCAAACAACCGACGCGCAACCGTCCCTACAGCAGCGATGGAGAAAAACGGGTTGTGGATCGACAGCGTCTGATTGTCGTTCTCGCGGCGGAAGAGCGGATCAATGCTATGGCCAGTCACCTCGGATCAGCCCATACAATGACCAACTTATTCTCGTTGCTTTTGCCGGCGAAAGGGCAAATGGATGGTCCAGTTGCTCCAGACCTCTCGGAAGAACCTGTGAACCGTTCCTTGGCAACTGTAGCAAAGCAACGAGAGGCACATACCACGGGAGGAATTCCAATCCCGAGCCACGATCTCTCTGGTCCTCGTGAGAACGGAAGGTCCTGGCTGGGAACCCAGGGGCGCGCACACAGCGCCGAAGACACCCTGTTGCACCCCAAACAGGATGATACTTGGCGAAATTCAGTTGCTGCCGCTTCATTCAGGAAACGAGCAGGAGATGAAGGAAGAGGAGGAGGAGTCACGTCCGATGCCGAGGGCGACAACCACTGCCGAAAGAAGCGAAGTAAACGGGGTGAGAAGGGAGACACAGGCGCGGAAAAGGAGCAGCAAGGGGTGGCATACAGGGCCGGCGACAATGAACGATCCCGATTGAGAAAATCCAGTTCTTTCGCAGAGGGTCAGCGGCACCAAGCAGAGACATTTGAGGCCAGTGCCGTGGACACCCCATCGCGATGTTCCCTTCCTAAGCTTAAGACTTCAAGCGTGAGCCGGTAAGGACATCAAGGGCTGTGTTGAAACCACTGCTGCATGTTGCATTGAACCGTTCCTGTGGTACGTCCATCCTGTTGCAAAACGCTGCATGATTCTTTCTCGTGCGAAATTGGTCTCGCGCAGCTTCTTTGCGTTCTCTCGCCTCACACGCCTACCCCGTTGAATTTCCCGCTGGTTTCGAGAAGCGCCTCAACGCGGGATGAGTACGACCGGTTCGGTGGCCGAGAGACACCATCCGTGCTTCGACGAAGTGCGCTTTCGGGAGGTGGTGAGAAGTCCTGGAAGGCGGTGGAGCAACTTCGTCACCAGCTGGAAGTCACCGAGGTGCTAACATGTGTGCTGCTTCGTCTAGCGCGCTGGGAGCAAAACCTTTCGAACACGGTTCCTTTCCTTTTCAGAGTGATCAGACGGTGACAACTTTGCGTAAACATGTACTCCATGGTCTATTTTCCCTCCTCTATGATTTTGCCTGAGGTTTTGCCTCGATGGGTCTGTCAGAGAATGAATGCCTTGGAAGTAATCCAGGTGGGGACTGCGTGTTTCAGCGAAGGTGTAGGTGCTCGCAATATATAGTGATGGGCACGATGAGGTCGATACATGTCCACACTGGCACCGATCAGTGCTTTTGACGAGAACTCGTCGGCAAAGTCGTTCACACGTGGTTGACAAGGAGAGAATGTGCACCCTTGAACCTCTTTATTCGTGAACGTCATGTCGGGCATTTGCCTCAAACACCTGTGGCGGGTACGAAATCACGGAACCCCTCCGCATACAACATCAGTGCGGGCTGCTGGATCTCAATGCGAGGGTACGAGCGGACGTGGCTTGGGTGCAGGAGACGGTCGGAGCCCGGATGTCCCGCAGGGCTAGGGTATCGTGCTGCAAGTGGGGCTCAGAAAAGATTGCGGAACTCACTTTTAGGTCAGTGACTACCAGCTATTCTCACACGTGTCTTGTTGGTCTGGCGTTTCTTCGACATATCGCTGTTGTGATGGCTATCGCCCTTGCGCCAGAACAGCACCGGAAAGTTGGACATTCTGCTGGGGGTCATCTGAAGGTTTCGTTATATGGAGTACCTCCAATGGTAGCGTGAGCCAACTCGATACGGGCTTTTTCGCGAAATCACGTATGGCTGCGCAGGTGGGAACGGCGATCGCTCGACAAGGCCATGGGGACATGGACACGCTACCGCGAATACATGGCGAACAGGTGACGATGGTTGAATAAACTTGGACGCCAAGGGTGAACAATAGTGTGGGCTTCAAACAAACATCGTTTCGCACGGCTGACATTTCGCACGGCTGACATTTCGCACGGCTGACAACGATTTGTTTCGGGACTCTCCTATCGTTGAAGTCAACAGAAAGACAATGTTACCTTCGGCCCAGCGGCTCGCCTCTCTTGTGGGTGCGGGTCCAGCCAGCCGTAGCATGCGGCATTCTTACCACAGGCAGCGCCGCATGGACTCAAGGCTACAGTATGTCTGGATCTTGACATCCTGCCGAATGTCGTTGACAAATTGATGTCGGCTGCTAATGGTATTGTCCGCACCTGTTTTTTGCCAAGGGATCTTGTCCGAGCATATTTGAAGCGGAGGGGCGCGGCGCAGGCTCGGCGTCTCCTGGACGTGTGGGGGCGTAGGTTGACGTTAAAGGCGAGAAAAGTTCTGAGACCCACATCGAGTACCATGGAGCTCGTAGTGTCATGCTGCGATGGCGCCTTTTGATAGTGAGAGCTGGTGGGGCATGTAGGTACTGGACGCTGACGTGACGTCAGTGAACCTTGGTGAGGGGTCGTTAATGTGCCTCTTCCAATACTCTTTGGCTAAACGCCCGCCAACAAAGCCCAAGGGCAGATGTGAGGCAAGAGGCAGGACGAACAACCACCGTTCCGTGTGTCGCGTGGTCATCGTCAGGCTTTGGGTGAGTGGAGGAGGAGAGTGCGACTGGAGAGGAGGGCGGAAGAGGCAGCAGCCGCTTCGACGCTCCAGAGGGTTGTTCTTGGGTTCTTGGGGCGCAGGCAAGATAACAACTCTAGGGGGGAGGCGAAGAGAAGATGGGAGGGACGCAGACGCGTGTAGATTGCGAGGCTAGCGAGAATGCGACAGCTAGGCAACGACGATGACATGTTTCCGGATAACCACACAGTCACGTAATAGGAAGGGGTAGAGGGGCTACCACAATCGAAGGGATGGAGGGGGTCAGCTGGGTCTCGTGTGTACCCTTTCATTCTGGCTGAAAATACCAAAATTTCTGGAAGCACCAAGGAATTGCCATATTTGGGTCGCCGAGGAAGATCAGGAAAATACGCGTGTTTATCGTTTGAATTACCGTGTTCTGACGGACTGGTTCTCTTTCAGTCCCTCGCTACGGCACGATCACCAACATCACTATCGGCACACCAAGTAGAAGTGTGGCCATAATCACAATCACCACCGCTACTGCCGTGTGCATGAGCAATTTTCGAACCACCTGCGTATCTCTATGCCACACACACACGCACGACAGGCAGTTTCGATTCACCTTGGCGACGCGGTGCGCGGTCCGCATCCAGATTGCAGCCAGAGGCAGGACGGGTAGGTTACGGGCGGGACGCGTTCGAGAGGGCATTCGAAGAAACTCCGCAGCGACCAAGATTCAAGACCAGGTGCCCGCAAGGAAGCCAGAGCATGTTGAATTGTAACCCCAATGAAAGACGCTCTGCAGGGGCGGTCAGTCAAGAATGGACGAAATGGTGTGGCGTTCAAAAAAATATAGTCTAGAGCTGCGGACACAGAGGAGGTGACATATCCAACAAGCACAGGACTCCGAATGTCGTAGTCCAGAAATAACTAACAAGCAAGCCAGGGAGATATCCCGCCAGGTATGGTGGCAGCAACCTACATCTGGCTCCGAACCGACGCGCTTGCAAACCATTAGCAATGTCTTTGCGGTTGGCTCATACGCGAAGCTTCGTTTGGGGCCAATGGACGTTGCGCGGGATGCGCCTTTTCTTTTCTGTCACCGAAATACACAGGTTAGGAAGCGAGGGGAGAGACGCAGAGCCAAAAGGATTGCGGCACTGGAGGCGCGCCGGCGCGGAACGATCAAGGTATAGTGCCCATATTACGTATTATGCCTTCGCGGCATACTTCAACTTTCAGTGAACAACAGGCGCAGCTGTGATGGATTCCATGCTGTAGATTGTGGTGACGATTCTTCTGCTGTAAACTAGCCGTGTTTGTTATCATAGAATGTCTTGGTGCATACCCCGCACAGAGGAATGCACCATGGTTCTTTCTGCTCGCTGTGACCCTTTCTCCCTGACGTTCTACATCAATCTCTTTTGCCCCCCCCCTCCACACAAAACCACGAATGGTTCGTGTCCCAACAGATCCAAAAATGCGCGAGGGGCTTCATCGGCCGTCGGAAGGTGTTGGTTGTGCGGGAAAAGCTTCTACATCAACACGGGTCCATTGTCATTCAGACCACCTGGAGGGGCATGTTGGGCAGGCGAAAGGCTGGAGAAGCGAAGAGGGACATGGAGCTTACGTGGGTGCGTATGAGCTGCGCTCAGAGGAGCAACATGGATAGATTTTGCTCTACCCAAATTATTTTCGCGCTTTGGCACGCGAACGGAATAGACGATATCTTCGTAGAAAGAATGACTTCTCTCAAAATGCACGCTAACCAGGGCCCTTCGATCTCCGTTGACTTGAAAACGTCTCCCCAGCGTGTGCTGCGGGATTAAGGCGGCCTCTAAGTGGCGCCAGCTACGAATGCAGACGAGGATGGACGCACCCCCGCCCTTTCCTCTCTCGCCCTATTACCCACGGAAAGCACCACCGGTATCAAGACACATTCAGCCCGTACACGGCCTAAACAAAGCACATGCATAGACAACCAGTTTCGTTCACTAACAAATGCGTGAATGCCCGAAACCAGCATACGCAATGCCCACAACGACTGCCGGTTCCACATTATGCAACCCGCGCGTGCGGCACACTCACACACCCTCAGGCTGCACAGAATAAGGCGGCGATTCACATCCAGACCGCGCAGCGCCGGAAGGCTGCGATAGCCGCAGCAGAGACGAGGAGGACAATCCAAGCGCTACAGCGCCGTAAGTCGGCCGAGATAGCCGCCATCTCCATCCAGAGAGTAGTGAGGGGGCAGGCAGCGCGAACGGCGACGGGGGCTGAAGTCGAAAAGAGAAAGGTGAGAAGCTTAGTCGGCGTCGTCCAAAACCGCCTGGCTCCCCTTCAGTACTCGAAGCAACACCTATCAAGTACCTGTGTAAAAAGTTTAGTACGGCGAATGCTCGGAAGGGAAGGGGCACCTCTATCTTTATTTGCTATCGCCACCTACAGTTGCACATTTCTTGAGGACAAATACGTTCCTGGTTGTCTCGAGGTTGATAATCGATTCTTGCCCGCGTGAGGGCATTTCAGGGTCTCAATGCCCCACGACCCGGACCAGCGCCTTCCGAATCACGTAACTGATCAGATATGCTTCGTAGTGTCGTGTGTGCATGTTTAACCACGGTACCACACATATGTCACCCATTTTTGAAACCTGACCTTTCACCGCCGAGGTTTTCGAGAGCCGGCTACCCAAATCTATTCAAACCATTCCAGCGAAATGTATGAAAACGACGGTATCGAGCGAACCACTTCCAAGTGCCTAACCCTAACCCAGTACATCCGCCGTGTCTCTTTGTCCTTTTCTGACCATGTGCTATTTCAAACTCGATACCCGCTTCCTTGTTAGGAGCGGCAGCGAGCCGCAGCAGCGGTACATATCCAGCGAATCGCGAGAGGCCGCGCAGCGCGGGAGCGTGCCGCTTGCGTCGGCATCTCCCACGACTTTGTCATTCCTCCACCCCCCTTGGCCTCACCGCAAAGCCGGTCGAATCAGGGCGACGAGGACCAAGATGGCTTCGCTTCTTCAGGGGTTGCTGGCCCTGGAGCTGGTGCCGAGAACGATGGCGTGGGGGCGCCTATTTCGGCGTCGACGTCGTTGCCAGAACAGGTCCAGACCTCGTCTCTGCCGCAGGAAGACGAGAGTAAAGCTCAGGACGCAACAGCAGCGCAACAACACGAGGCAGAGAGTTCACCGTCGGTAACCGCTGATCTGCAGCAACCCCCTGCTGTTGCGGCCCTGTCCCCTGGCGAAAAAGCAGCCCGGGCGCAAGCTGCGTGCAGGATTCAGGTGATCATCGCCACTCGAACCATGCACCAAATACGTCTGACAGCAAAAGAGTAGAAGGAGCGGGCGATTATTGGCTCATGCATGGCTCCATTGTCCGAACAACCGACGACGGCAGGGTGTCACGATAACGTCATGCTGGCGTCGAATCTCGTTGCGAGAGCAATCGAGGAGCGCCTACAGTAGATGAATTGCATCCGCCCGCCGGGACAATGCTCAATCTTCATGAAATGTTGACAAGAGAAGAAAGAAAGCTTGGTTTCCGAAGAGCGTCGAGCCTGTGAAACATCTGTAGCGATCCTTGACGTCCTCAAGGTTGTTCTTTCCAAGGGTTTCACAGCAGGATCTCCTTTTCCGAACCTACACTCGCAGGCAATTGGCCGAGGGAGGGCCGCGAGGACTGTGGCCCAGGAGCGCAGGCAGAAACGAATCGAAGAGCAATTCCACCGGGCGAGCGTTTGGGGGCAACAAGTAGACGGAGGGCAAGATACTACAGCAAACCAACGAGCATCCGAGAAACTCCCCACTCCCAAGTCGTCACCGCAAGCTCCACTGCGGTCGTCATCGCTCTTCTCATCGGGGACTGGGGCAGCAAGTCGCGATGTGACGGAATCATTGGGGAAACAAAAGGGTCAGCCCGAAGCTGCGACTCTGATTCAGGCAGCGTTCAGGGGGGGCAAGGCGAGGTGGGGGGCGGATCGGCTTCGGGACGACTACAAGACCAGAAAGGACGAGGCCGACGCGCGAGCGCGAGAGAAGGTGCAGCGGAAGTTTGGGCGTATTGTTCGGATGAGAACCGTCGATTTCTCGAACCATCGACAAAGCTCTCTTCTCGCGGTGCAATAGTAATTCCGCCTCAAAGTCTCACGTTAGTTTCCGCGGGTGTATGGAACCTGCCATCGTAAAGAAATGTAATCGATTTTCCAGCATGTCAAATACATTGCAAGGGCTTGAGCCAGTACTCGCCCGCCCTCCCAATGGATCATCACCCCGCGACGCACACCAGAACAGACGATCGAACAATGTTTCAAGAACAGCTCATAGGCCATGCACACTCAGCAAAACCTAGTGCGAAGAATTGTCTTTTCATAGTTCCGATCCCACAGCGACTGCTCAACACCTTGAACGCGATTCTGTGGGCAAAATGATCAAATCATACTCCGCTGTGCAACCCGCGCGTTGTCAACGGTACAACGACAATTCCAACAACAAACCTCATTATCTTTCTGGACGTTTCGGTTACTGTCAATATGCAGTTGGAGGCAGACGCGGCCGTGAGGATTCAGACCCAAGCACGAGCTAGGGCAGCCAGAGCGCGGCGCGAGGAGCATCGCCAGAGGCACGCCGCTCGCGTGGGATCCATCCGCAGCAGCGGGAAAGCGGCTGCCGACGACCTTCGCGCCTTGTCTCGCCCCGGAACCGCTTCTGCTGCAGTTGCGGCTACCAACATTGGCCAATTGCCCACCGTCGTAGGAGCAGGTGATCATGGGTTGTTGGCAAGAGTTGTGGCATAACCTAAGCGTACAGTTTGCAAGGAGGTTGCCTCCATTAAATGACGTATCCAGCTTCCGGAGTAGCCAATCATGCTTTGGACTAACCGCGGTTAGAACTCCTTGTTGAACAGGAGAAGTCGCGTCCACCTTGGAGCAAACCGCCCAAGCTCTGCTGCCGATAGCAATGGGATCGATGTTGCCTAACGCGATGTCGCCAACAGGATCGGGTGGATCGTTCTCGATACCCCCTCCCGTCGAGCTAGCGGCTATCCGAACCCCGTCCTCTGTCGGGTCGCCGATATCGACATCCGCGGCAGCCTCTGCCGCCGCTGCTCTGAGCGCCACCGCGGGGACCGCATTTCATGGGAAAAACGCCACGAGTCGTAAAATAACCAACATCGCAAGCAACGGAAGCCCCAGCGGTGGGGCGGGAGCTTCGAGAACAAAACCCGGCAGCACGAGGGCATCGGCAGCAGGCACGGGTGGGCGATCACGGTCACCGTCGTCGGCAAGGTACGGCGTGTTTTGAACAATGTTACAAACCACAGTTAAAGAGAGAACACACGATGGAGGTAAACCAAGAAGTCTTGCCTCGGACGACCCTTTGTATTCCACGAAACCTATCACCTGGTGGACGATTGTGGACGCCCTGATGAAGTTCATCCTGTTCGAAATGTGCGAAGATGTTTATAGGTAAGAGCTGGTTGATAACCTGCAGACACCGCAACTTTATTTTTGGGGCACGATATAGGTCAGCATCGTTTCCGCGAGCCTTGTTGATGAATGCCCTGTGAGGTGGGGCGACCGTCTTGAAGCGAGACGCCGCCCCATAGAGCAGTCTTCCACTGGGTCAGAATGTGTGCGTCTGACCCGGTGCTACCTCACGATAGAGGTGCGGGACGGAGCGCAACCTCTTCCTCGCTCTGGTAGTTGCTGCACTGGGTACGACTCCACGTATCGAAGCAGATACTGACGGATTTGGGTAGCGAAGTCCATTGAACTACAAGCCGATTTTTTCAGGTATATCGCGTCCCCCTGGCTCCAATCTGCCGTTCAATTTATGTCCAGCATGCAATGAGAACACGTGCCGTTGTCTTTTTCAACAGCCCGAAAAAATCACCGAGTACAAGATCGGCACCCAACACGGCTCATCGTTCGGTTGCGTCGCCGCCAAGTTCTTCGAGGACAGCAGGGGTCACCCCAAGGTACGCGACAACTTGAAGGTTTCTCCAGTGACAAACAACGTTTTTTTATCCAGCTCGACTACAACTTGGAAGGCTGCCCTCGGGCGTCTGAATTGTGGTTGTCTCGCGTCTCGCGGTTGACCCTCGGGTTGACTTGTTTCGAACAAGAGACGTGGGAAACTTTGTCGCCACCGTTTGTCCCGGCAATCACCGTACCGAAAGCAAGTTGTTTTTCTTGCTCGCCTCCGGCCCTGCCCTTCACCTCGAAGCAGCCGTGACCGTCGAAGTGTTGCTGGCAGGGGTGATCGTACCACCATCATGGATCACAGGCGAGAAGGTGACGACGGTTGCGGCATTGGAGGCCACGACTTCGGAGAGGGCATGGACATGAGTGTGGCAGACGTGGAGCGCTTGCATGCCGAGATGAGAAAGGGTCTTGAAGAAGAGTTAAACGTGAGCGAGAGAAAAACAGGCAGGCAGAAGGACCGACAGAGGCAGAAAGACCGGAATCTCCCTGAATTGGACCAGCGTCACCACTTGTCGGCGCCACATGAACCTTTGAAATAGTCATAGAAATTTAGAGCGAGCACTGCCCCAGTTTGTCCAAGCCGTGTTTTTTCGGTTATAAGGAGTGCAGGATATAACTATCCCGTGCAACACGAAGTAGGTGATCGTGACCCCGCGACTTTCGCCTGCCGTCGAAACGTGAAACTGAACACTTCCGACACTTGCCCCTTCCACCCCCAGCTCAAACAAGGGACACACACCCCATAAGTTCCTTTTTTCTCACCACCGACAAAACGTCAGCATCGACCAATGTGGTCTCGCTCAAGCACAGTATCACAGGATATCATTTATGAAGTGTTGTGCAGCTCCAACTTTATGTCATGAATGTGGCTCCGACTGGTCTACAGCCCAAGTGAACTTCGCCAGATCTGTCTTTGTCTTGAGCGTTGCGACCTACCCTTTTGCTTGTTGTCATACCTCTTACAAAGAGCCTGCTTTGCGGTTGTTCAGCATGCTTGTGGTTTTCGGATAGAAGGGTGAAGGCCCCCTTTCATCACCTATGCCATAAACCGTTACCTGTGTAGGAAGGCTAAGGTATGCGAGAAGTAGTCTTATGACACCCAACAGAGACAATCACGTGGACAGATGATACCCAGCGCTATCGACCCTCGCTGTCGCTCTGCTTGGTACCTGTTTACGCCACGTGCCGTTGCTGACAAAAATATCAAAACTACTGGCAGAGGGAGCTCAGAGATACAATCGATAAGGAGCTGGCGGCGAAGCTGGCAAAGCAGGAGAAAGAGAGAGAGCGAACCTCGAGGGAGGCAGAGGAGGAGCGAAAGCGAGACAGGGAAGCCGTCGAAGAGGTGGGCGCCGTCTCTTTATTGAACTGTATAGTTGGTTCTGCCCACCACTTCAACCTCCGTATAGTGCCAGAATCATGCCTTGGAACCCCGCTTACTTCAGTTCACAGCTGGTGAGTACGAGCTCTTTGGGGCTCGACTAGGTCGACACAACATCAAAATTTGGAGCGATTGGAACACGGAGTGTTGGTCGATCGCGCTTGGTAAGAACCCTATGGAAATATAACATTTCTGGGTAACGTTGAACGTTCCAAAACTCTCGTACAAGCGTGGTTTACTCTCTACGCGTTTTCCTTTATGGCATGCATAGGCTATGCGAGCTGTGCAAGAAGCACACAACAAGGACTCGGAAGAGATCGCCCTCATCAAGGTTCGGCTCGAAGAAGAAGAGGTGAGTGACTGCAAAACTCAGCAAAAGCTCTGTGATACTGCTGTGGTGAGTTCATGTTGCACGCGCAGGGCGTTCATCCGATCTGACCTCGAATCTGCAACTATCGCTGCCCGGTGCTTCCGGCGGCGGGAGTCAGCTCAGACGTGGCAATGTCGAATTCTTTGGCATAAACATGGTCGAAAATGCGTGGTAATCCATAAATTTCGCGAGTGCTTTCGGCATTCTCTCTTTCACTGCTAATTTTCCTCTGAATACACCGTCACAAACAGCGCATAATCAAGACTGTCGGTGACCCCGTCGTCGGAGTAACTCGATCTGCTCCCCTCATTGAACCTTCCGTATTCCACAAAACGAGCCAAATGTATCTCTCAATTGACGCACCCGCCAGACACGGACGTTTGAACGGAACCCCCTTCTAGGGGATTGATGGCTGTTTCGTCTAGCGTGGTATGATTCTGCACATGGCGATGATTTCTTATGGAACAGGACAAGCGTGACTGAGAATACTCACGAGTAGGAAATTAATGTGTGGGTCGGTGTGTAAGGGGGGTGACTGATTATGTCGTCTCTTTGGGGGCTCCTCTGGCGTTCTATTATTGCAAGCGTGTAGGTGCCGCCATGAAACAATGCCGATTATTCGGTGAAGGAGATATTTTTGCACGAAACGTTGGGCTCAAGAATAACAACTACTCGAACTCGCAAGAACAATCACTCTTGAACTCGTCTAATGCTCGGAATCAATGTCACTGTTGATGTTGTAGCTTGCCAGTACTGATGGTGGCTCCTGCTACTGGTCTTGTTTCTTTCACAGTTTAAGAGGCATCGACCCCTGTCTGTGGTACCTCCCATGACACACATGCAAGGAACATATTCTGATGTTCACAGGCTAACCCGAACGAAGAAAACAATGACAATACCAGTTTCCTCGCTGTGCTGTTGTCGGGTGGAATTCAAGGGATTCTACCACGTGTGAGGACGTCGTGAACCTGTCGCGACGAAAGCTTTCCGCTGAAGGGCGCCCACGCCCCCCGCTTGCTGAAATCAATGGTCCTGATCCAAGCAAGCCCGGCTTGTCTCGAACACTCCCGTCACTTCTGTGCAGGACGCACGCCGTGCCGAACAGGACGCCGCCCTCCAGGTGTACGAAAATTGTCTGGCAGAAATTCGGGCCGAGGTGAGGAGATGGAAAGCGAGGGGGCGAACGGGGGAGAAAGGACGGGGGAACAACAATCATATATTAATGCCAGCCTCGGCGAGTTGATTGACTGCCGAGAAATGGAGGTATCGTGCTTTACCCACAGAAACATGTGAATCATCTGTGAAGAACAGGGTGGTCTGTGGTGTAGGGAATGTTTTAGTTTTTCCCAGATTTCGTTTGAAGCTCGCCGTTTCCCTACGATGCCTGCGAAATGAATTACTCTACCCTGCCTGATTGACCGATACGCCCCTGCCTATCGTCAAATGAATTTCCATTTCTGAATCGTCCCCCGCGTCCAGGCCGAAAAAAGTCGAGTTGCCGCCGAGGCGGTCGAAGCCCTCCGCCGCGAGGTGGCAGAGAAGGAGGAGGAGAAGAGAAAACTCCGGGAAGAAGCCGACGCTCAAACGCAAGACCAAGAAGCGAAGGAGAAGCGATCGAAAGAGCAGCAGAGCCGGGGGGCGGGGGCGGACAGGGTTGAAGCTGACCCACTTCAGGTACGGGGGACGAAGAGAATAACAGATGAAGAGTTGGAGGAGGAACAAGTCTAGCAAGTTGGACGTGGCGACTGGAGTTTTTTTCTCCCAATAGCTGAACGACAAAAAACTTCAACAATAGCGATGATTCGGCGAGACAAGTCACATTCCGGACGAGTTTGACAAAAGATCGCCAGCATTTCACCGCATCTCGTGATGCTGTAGCTTCCCTGTGCGCACAACTACAGCAGTCCCTACAAGTGCAGCACTGGGCAATATGTTTATTGTGCTACATTTTTGTCTGAATGCACAGTGCGGAAATTCGCCTGCTCAGGAGCCGGGGCACCAGCTGGAGGAGAAAGATGAGGGGGTAGAGAAGGAAGAAGAAGAGGCGGAAAGACGAAAGCAGAGGGAGATAGAGGAAGAGCAGCGGGCGCGCGACGAGCGGCAGAAGGACGTCCTGCAGCAGCTGGCGGCGGAGAAGGTGGAGAAGCAACGTGTGGCTCTGGCTGAGCTTCAGGTGAACAAATTTCGGTTGTGTGTTTGCCCGAATGGAGAACGCGAAAGAAAGTAGGAATCTCGCTCAACAGCTAGTTGTTGTGAGCGAGTTGCTCTCGATAAATCAAGTTTGGTGCCTGCCAGCTGTTTCACGGCTCTTGTGTGATCTGCATGGATTTGCATCCTTAACTAAACCCTCGTGTATGTACGAACAGCGACCTCGACATATCCAAGCCGTACCATGGGTGGAAATGCGCCACGCGGGTCACGCACTCATCAAGAAAGCCCACGTGTACCATGAGCATGTCCATGCAGTCTACTACGAAAATTTGATCCCCAAAGTTTTCACCCTTTGTTATATTCGATATTTCTGCAAACGGATCCAACGGATCTGTGGCGACGTCGACATGCCCGAAACGAATTCACAGCATGATTCGATGTTCATAGTACTAATGTCCCCTCCGTTCGTAACGATTCACGCCGTACTCGCATGTCCTTGAGAATGATGCTGGCGGGGTCGTTCGCACAGTCGTGTGGCAGAGTTTCCCTAAGTGAATGTCTCTTTCTTCACTGGTACGCTACAAGAAGAAGCAAACAGGTATCATTCACGGGTGATACCACGGCGCCAATGTGTCGACATCGAATCCTTGGTGCGATCGGCCATAGTGGAGAACAATCCGTTCGGTGTTACCTTGCACCAGTTCATGAATGCGGTATGATCCAAGTCGGCGTCGATCATCGACACCACCTCACAGGCCCGGCTAGAAGAGGAGGAGGCGAAACGGCTAGAGTCTCACGCCGCCTGGGAAGCTCGCCAGGCAGAGGAACAGGAAATTGCACAGGTGAGCAACAACGATTGATCTAGGACATGGCAGACCTTAAACAAAAGACCCTGGGTGTCAAATATCCCGGAGTATTGCTCGGGCGTAGACCAACATCGGCAACGACGCTCATGGTCTGTTACAAAGACGATGAAATAGTCAAGTAACGGCGCCATTGGGTTGGAGAGGCTCACTGGTGTACTCTATTGTACCGAAGGTAACGGCGGAGCAGCTGTGAGGGCTGTTAATTGTTCAATATTGTGCACATGAGTGAGTGTGCTCATGAGACTTCAACAAGCTGTTGCTCTATCTTCCCTTCATGAATGCACATACTAGCGAGCCGACGCACCATTGATCAATGCACCGCGTAGTCTCGGGTTGGTTTTCACAACTTTCCAAACTAGCGGATTTGCAAGAACTTGATTTGAAAAAACGTGTCGTACGGTAAGGATTTAACCCCTTTAGGGCTGGATCGCCTTTTGGGGACACTTTTTGTCCCCATCTTCTTCACCTGCTTTACCTCGCGAAGATTGGCATGATTGTCTCCTCCTTTGCACTACTCGACCGGGGGGGTGCCAGGGTACACAGGGACGACTCTAGTCTAGTATGGATGCTTTGTAGAGTGGAGGAGTATGAGGGTAATGAACAGGTCGAATCGCGGAGCGATTACGCCGCCGGTTCAACAGCGAAGTTGCGCCGCGTCTGTTTACCCTTGGGTGGAAAGCGCTACTAGGGGCAAGCGCGGAAGAAGTACCTAGACCACCGTTGATGGGAGGCACCAAGCAACCTAGGGCTTGAGTTAGAAGGTCTCGCTTTCCCTCTAGAGAAATATCTTGAAAACCTCCTTTTCGTGCCCCGTTTACCACGCTCCCGCCAGTTGCTGTCCATAATCCCTATCAATTGTCCCCTCGTGTCCCCTCGAATCGAGGGGACAATTGATAGGGATTATAGACAAGAGACGGCTCAAGTGGGAAGGCAGCTTTCTTTGCACTTGCACCCAGGGGTGGAACTGTCTGCACCATCCAATCAGCAGGTGTCGTTCGCTCTTTTTCTTACATTTCAGAAATTTCGCAAGACCGCCGAATTTTCTGTGCGTGGTAAGGTTTAAGTGCCTCGAGAACCATCCGATTTCGCCGGCTTTCGTTTGACTAATATCTTGTTGCTGCTGAGCTTCGGCCCTGCTCGATGAGACGACTGGTTCGACATGTGCCGGAGAATGGAAGCAGCGCTGAGCAGCAATCGTACCATCCGACGAGTCGCGGCTTTGATGGCGTGGGTCTAAAGGGGAAACCTCCCCTCCCCCTTTCTTGGTACTGTTTCTCGCACGCACACGCCTTTCCGCTTGTCGGTGAGGTGTTTTTGATTGTTTCCACGTCAACAGTGCGGTGACGTCGTGTGATTTTCCTGACCCCTACGCCGCTTCCGGCTCAAAATACACCATTGGGTAAGAACTAAACCCGGTAGTATTATGTCCTCCCGCCCCGTCGACGTGATTCCGAAATGTACAGGAGGAGAGGCGCTTAGAGCTTGAGGCGATCGAGAACTTGAAGCGTCAGCTTGAAGAGGATAAGATCAAGGCCAGTCAGGTACCCTCCCAAAAGTGAATAACCTTGGAACGTCTCGAACCCTTCATGCCAATGTTTTTGTACCTTGCCGATGGTATGCAAACTCAACCTTGTGTGAAATTGTGCCCGACACGACAAGTGATGCATTTCAGTTATTTCTACTTTTTTGTGGGCTAGACTACAGCATCACCACAAATGTTCTGAGCTTCGTGCAGATGTCTGGAAGGGTTTATGCGGCCAACGGTTTGTCTCATTGACGAAGTTCCACAGTATCACGTGATTGACGCTGTTGCGGGCTTACCCGCTCCCTATTTTCTTAAGACACCGTTCCAGTTTCGTGTACACATCCGTTCATGGTCACGTTCATGGGTACGGGAGAATAAAACCAGCGTCTGTACATGTAGCCAGTCGAACTTCTGTGAGGTGGGTTCAGCCACACATGTAGGTGTCGACGACAATGATCTCAAACGAGCCATCCTCGTCCAGAAAAAATGTACTCGATACTACCGTGTGCCGTTGATTGCACGATGAAATTTGTTAGGAACAAGAACAACGAAACGCAGAAGTGCGGCTGCAGATGGAGAGTCTACGCGTTTTGCAGGTGCGGTACAACCTGATAGCGTGCGGAGAAAATGGTTACGATCGCGGTAACTTCAACATTTTGCTTTTCCTCCTGAGGACACAATATTTTTGCCATACTGTAGCCAGTTTTCGGGATGTTGTCGGGGTCGGTGCTTTCAGCTTTTGATGGCCCCACTGCGTGGTGCCTTTTCGCCGCTTGCCAAGTTTCGTGTGATGTTCAGCTACCCAGTTGGCTCGATTTCAGCACGCAGATTTCGTTTTGCCGTTGTACGTGCACACACCTTGAGCGTAGATCCAGGTCGAAAGAGGGCGTTCTGCATTTCCGCGGTGATTGCGAATCAGCAAAGACGCCGCCAGGCAAGACACTAGTGCCGTTCAATCCCGTACACACCATGGCCAAGAAGAGTTCTCCTTCCCGACAGACCCCGTCTGCTCATACGTACAAACCACGGAACAGGATCAGGCCCAGGAACAAGAGCGTGTTCGACAGGAAGTGGAAAGGGTTGCAACCGCCGAAAAGAAGGCGAAAGAGGAAGCCATTGTGAGGGAGGGGGCCAAACTCATGGAGGTGTGTGTGTGTGTGTGTGTGTGTGTGTGTATGTGTGTGTGTTTTGGGAATAAGCTGCATTCGTCAGATTTTTGGGACAATAGGACGGGGCAAATCAAGAGAGGCGGCGATGAGGGCTTCTCCTATCCATGTGCTTCACAGCAGCAGCAGAGCACTTGTAAGTAGTGGCACATACGACCGGTTTCGCTCTACAATAGTAGCATCCATAAGATGCGGACCATTCAAGTATGGGGCAGCCAATGCCCCGACCCCAGGGACCGCCGGACGTGCCGAACCATTACCGACGCATTTAATGTTTAATCAGGATGGCGACCTAGAGTCCGATGAGGAAGGTCACGCGAGAGGCAGCAGCACAGAGGCCACCACTACCCGTGGAAGTAGTCGGTCGAAGTCTTCTGGAACGGCAGGGAGCTCCAGCCGTCAGACGTCGACAGGGTCCGGAGGAGGGATGGTATCGACGGATGTGGAAGAGGTGGTAAAGAGAGAGATCGAGTCGGCGACCGGGTCGCGCTTGGCTCAGGTTAGTTCTTCGTCGTATTTGGAAAAATGCGCAGCTTCATTTCAAAGGGTAGTCTAGTACGTTCGTGACGAACATTATTGTATGGTGAACTTGTTTCCCGAAAGTACCGGAACAAGAATCCTGCTTGTGTTCACAGTGAGACAACTACAGGGCACAAACATCTGGAAGATTGATGAATGCTGTTGGCAGTGGGAGCAAAGTTTTTTCGTGTCTACGGACAGTAGTTGGATTGAAATCGGAAACGAGACAGGAGTTGACCTTGACTGTTGGTCTCGGCGAAGAATGTTGACAGGTTTCCGTGGTTCAAATTCCTCAGCGCTACGAAGAGCTCCAGGATATCACGCCGAGCTGTCGAGGACGTAAGCGTTTTGTATCTTTTGAGTTATGGGCACCCACAATCCAAGCATCCTGCCAATCTCGCTCGTCTTGATGGGTGGTAGTAAGCAAGGTGCGAAAACACGCCAGAAATACGACAATCGACATGATTCAAATACTCCCCAATTTCATGCCCATCAACCTCCGGAACATCAGCAACCGAAATCAACGATTCTTGCCACAAACGGTGCGCCTCATGCACGACGCCATGCAGGTAGAAGGGGCTCTACGAGAGTTATCGAGGAAGCAAGCGGAGCTGGAGAGCAGGGAAAAGCAGCTCGACGAGGCAAACGGAACCTCCTCGGCAGGCGCACTTGCTTTGGTCGCCAACGCGGCGACCACCGGCGGCGCGTTGTCAGCAGGTGAGCACGAGCGCACTGAATGGCAAGTTCGTGGGTTTGGTTATTGACAACTTTCTACGCCGCGTTGAAAGACACGAGCTACGTTGAAGGTTTCAAGACCATCTGAGCGGTAGACCGATGAATTACATCTCTCGAGAGGCACATACAGCAAGCGAATTCAGACGCAAAAATCGTAAGCACGACGTCGCCACTGCATTTGCCGCCATCCAGTTGCTAGTGGCGCCGAAACTGGAGGGCTGGTCGTATCCCACGGTGGAGGCCCTGCTGGTTCGGAGTGGGTCGAGTACTGGGACGAGAGCGCAGGCGCGAGCTACTTCTTCAACACCGTAACCCAGGTACATTTTGACAAGGGGGGTGGGGTTGGAGGACTGAGCGGTCGGGCGAACGGGTACAAGCATGGGAGGCACCCCACACACGTCGGCGCTTTCTTAAACGTCACTTGTAGTCGGGCGTGAGACTGCTTGTCTGTCGTACATGGCAACTCAGGGGGTCGTTACACGTACTGACTCGGCGACGACAGCGACTGAACTATGTTCCGCATGAACTAACCACGAGGAGGGAAGAAATACTTTTGGCCGGTCTTGAGCGCGGGACGGATGGGCGTGGGTTTGGTTGTGTGTGTGATGCTCAATAAGCAAAGTCATCTTGTTGACATGGGGGGTACACGTACATCGTTGGCGGCAAGCTTTTGTGGCATTGGCCGGAAGGACTCAAGGGTTTGCCGCCTACTCCTTGTTGGCACTCAGGAGGCTAGCTGGACAAACCCGAACGAAGGAGCGGAGTCTCAGGTAGCAGGGGGTGCTATCGTGGCAAGTGAGGCTGGAGGTGGAGGGGCAGGAGGAGAAGGGGGCCGGGCCGCGGGTCCAGAAACACTTTCTCAGCCCGAAGACGGCCGCGCAAAGTGGACGGAGTGCTTGGACGAGGCCAGCGGATCGACCTACTACTACAACGTCATCACGGTATGCGTCGTTAGGCTCGAGACCACTCTTGATTCAGCGCATCGTCATCCTTTGTTCAGCGCAAAAGTTGTGTATCTTGATGCCTCTCCTTCCCAACGACCGCTCTCTCGCAGATCCTCAAAGCGTGTATGTCATCGATGCCCTCACCCGGTAATCTACCTCTACGGCACACGGCGTTGTTGTGATGATCGTACCATCCCGCCCATTTCTGACAAGGCCGGTATGTCGTCTCCGCGGGCCATCCATTGGTCGGCGAACTCGCGTTCCCCCCCGTGTCCTCTCCGCCCATCGTACAACTCAACCATACGTCCTTGACCGTGTGTATGGTGTGTTCAGGGCGAGGCTGTGTGGGAGAAACCAGCCGAGTTGTCAAATATGAAAAGCGCGGTCGGCGGCGTCCCTCAGTTCGACCGGCCGGAGGATTGGGTGTGTTACCTCGACGAGACTTCCGGGGAGGAGTACTGGTTCAATTTGACCACCGGAGAGACTCAATGGGGATCGGTATAGAAAGATCGGGGGTATGATGCTCCTGATATGACCCCGTGGTACGTTGTGCATAGGCTGGTCGTTGCTTTAGGCGGCCGGAAGTTTGGCAGTGTCGAATACCCCCGACGTGATTCTCGCGGGACCAAGTATACGGGTCATCGTGAGAATTGGATGTTCACCAAGGTGAAATTTTCGATTGCCGTGACCTCGCCAAAACTCGGGATGGCCGGAGAAAGGTCATCCAGCACTTGTCGTGGGAGTTGCAGCATACACGCATACCACGACTCATGCCGATGCAACCAGCATTTGAGCTCATGGGAGAAATCACGAGAGGATGCTCCGACCTTTGAACATGACCTGCCCGCCGCGTACGCCCCGAGAGTTTTCGTCCCTTTCCGCCTTGCTGTCAAGCAACGCTTGTGTTGTCTTTCGTCGTTCAATAACCCAGGAATACAACACCATGCGCTGGGCAAAATCATCAATCAAGCGTTCCACAGCAGCGTTTTACCACATGATGGTGAACAAAGCATGGGTTCGAAAAATAAAATACCCTCGGTGCCTCACAACTCTTCCCCCACCCTTTTTTGTCAAGCAACCGGCAACACTTGACGAAACAAATAACGGAACAATCTCGACAAAACAAAGCACCCCTAAATTAAATGCCAACTACACGCCCCATTTCTCCTGATGAGCCTCCAAGTCAAATCGAGCCCGACCGAAGGGATAAAGCATCCCGTTTTCGATCGGGCGTGATGGTTCACTGTCACGTTCAAACCTCAACAGTACCCACTGCTGCCCACAAAACAACGCACGGAAAACTAAGCAGGCCAACCAGCCTTGTCACCATCGATCGAAACGTACGCTGCAGCAAGGCTCCCAATAATCCCGTATGTTGGATCCACGCAACTACAGCCGTTGCCTCGAATCCATACCGCCCGCCCGGTGTGTACATTGGCATTACTTAGCCACGGCTCCTTCTATTCTTGTTCTTCGTGCGCACCGACTTTCCGGGGCGGTTGGAACCCTTGGCGGGTTTCTGGGTGATGGCATTTTGCATGGGCACGTCAAAGGCGGGGGAAAAGGAAGAGGAAGGAGGGAAAGTTAACGCCCGCCGAGGGACAGCAATTCCACTGCGCGGGGCAGAACATCAACTGCCTGAGAATATTGCAATCCGTCTTCCTTAGTGGACACACCGAACCTGTCACGGAAACGGGACGAGCGTCATGCCGAGACTACCATGACTGGAAAGCCGGGTACACATAGCCGTCGTCGATACTCGAGAAGGGGCCAACGACAGAGACGGTCGCGCGCATGCGAAGCAAACTGATTAGCAAGAAACCGCTCACCGATCTTGAACGTCCGGAGCCGCCCTGCTTTGGGTTGTACTGGCTGAGGTCGTTGAGCGAGCGCGGGTCGCTCTGGCCCTTCTCCCGCTTCTTCCCGCCGAACCCGTACTTTTTGTTCTTGGCTTCGCGCTTCACGTTTCGTCCCCCGGGGCCCCCTTCACGTGTACGAAAAAGGAGCGAACGACATGGGACTCAGCAAAAAAACCACACCGTGAAAAAAGGCGGGACAATCCGCAAGACGACTTGATGAGCAGGCTTGTGAGACGCACGGCTTCGTTTGGCGTTGGACTTCGTGCCCATGTCATACCCTCATGTGAAACAAGGATTGGTGGAAACTTTAGGACACACACAGATATGCCAAGAAAGCAATGCCTCCCAAAAAAATTCAATACTGAAGTACAAAACTAATGTCCCATGCGGCTATGCTGTGCCGGCCTACACTGTGGGTTCCAATCTGCACAACTTCCGGTCTCCTTCACTACCAGGCGGGGTGGTTTGGCCGATTTGGTCGTCTATTCGCCGTCCTGCTTGAATATGTACTCATCGTTTGGCCTCGCGGCATGCACCCGCGCTGCTTCACAATGTGGGTTTTGTCGAGCATGGCAGCAAGATACCTCCTGCCAGCGCTTAGCCTCGATCGCCGGGCGCCCGTGCGAAACCAACAACTACCTTCATGGGGCAACGATCGTGCCGCGAAACAAACGATTCACGATACCCTTGCTCCCTCGAAATACGTTTTACGTTCAGCTGTCTATTCTTGTAGACTGCCGTTTTCACCTCCACGACCTCCTGCCTTGTTGCCCGAGAGAACTGCGTCTAAACCGTCATCATCCGCCAGCGGCCCGCCTCTGGATGAAAAAAAAAAAAACAGCAGGGCAGGAGCAGAACACAATTTCGGGATGTTCAAAAGTGGTTTGTTGCATGAGGGTGTTTGGGCGTACACCTTGTTTCTGAAGGGAGGGCTACGAATCCACAATGGTCAAAACACAGCAAACACGGCACCACCACCACATGAACCCAAGCACCATCACCACCAACAGCAGGTCGACAAAAGCCCGGGGTAATTCTACATAGCCTTTCAGCAGGGCTCCAAGAACGGACTCCAAGCACCACACCTGGACCACCGACAACAACAAACTCGACCACGCAAAGGCAACAAACACCACACTGTAATACCACAAAGGCAAACGAGTGTACTACTTGGACCTGCTTCGCTTGGCGCCCTTCTTCCACTGCTCGATCTCCTCGAGCCCCTCCTTCTTCCGCTTCGACTTCTCCGCGACCTTGTTGGAGTTGAGCTCCTTGGCGTACTTCCTTTGCTCCTGCCGCGCCTTGCGCTGCTCGAAGGCGTCCATCTTCTGCTGCTCGAAGATGAGCTTGTCCTTGATCTGCAAAACACACAGAGCAGAGGGAGCGGGAGAGGGTTCTTCATGAACACCCACGGCCTGTGGTAGCTTTTACTCGCATCGACATGGCAGGGGGCTGGCGGACAGAGCCACCCCGCGGCTAACCAAGCCCGTAAGCAACGCGCTTGGCTGTAACAGCCCGCGAACGAGGTAAGCGTGTCGGCCGCCCGTTGATGTTCCGGGGGGGGTTAGCGCGTCCCGATTTTCTCTATGGCTTGAAAAAGTGTACGCACGCTCGCTGAGAAGCTGGAGTATTGGACGTCGGAGCCTCCACCGGCTGATTGCTCTAGCTTTGAGCAGGCCGCCGGTGGAGACTCGATCTCCCATACTGTAGCTGCCCCGCGGTCTCGCGTGCCCTCTACACGTCAGAGGGGATCTAGGACGCGCTGAGTACCCTCAAGGAACAACGACGCGCGGCCGACCGCGTGGCCTTGCCGAAAATCTTGGCTTCAGACTCTGACCACTTGCTGGTTGCAGGTTAGCGGCTTAATTTCCTTTTCCGCGGCCTTCCTTTGCCTCTCAGTAGCTTGCTATCGCTCCCCCCGAGGCAGCACTGACCAAGAGGGAACCCGAGTACCGCTTGCCACTGCTAAACAGCGACTGGCGCGCTGCATACATGAACACAGTACGTAACGAGACACTAGGCAGGTGGGGGGTGTAATCCGCAAGATATACCCGCCCAGATGGAATCTTCGGCTAAAGGCTACATACATGCCATGGCCCTAGCCAACCCTGAGGGGACTTATACGCAGACGATAGAGGCAGAGGCAGCAATCCACTTGAAGAAAAAAATTGAGTGTCGAGAAAAACGGGACCTCACAACCCTTTGCTATGCATAGGGGGGGCCAGGCGTGAGGGCTCAGCTCGAGCAGATCAAAAGACTGCCGCCGAAGTGGCGTCTGCCTGCCGCACGGGATGGATACCGTTAACTTCTACTTCTGGTTCGTATCCAAGTGCCGCATCATGTTCGGCCATAATTATGGCCAGTGCGGTACGCTATCGGAAGTGGAGTTGATCGCATACGAAACGTGCCCTTCAGGAGAGCCCCACTAACACGCGCAAAGTTCGCTGTCTGCAGTGAACACTCCTGTTCGGGTATGTTGGTGATTCGCCTTAACTTGGCCGCCTCTTTCGTGTGGCTTGCAGTCTGGAAGCATCTTAACCCGGGCCTATGTAGTGCATGCGCGGATGCCGCGATCATCATGCTAAGATGAACCAGGAATGGCGCATGCGCGACACCCTAGCGTTGAAGGTGTAACCGGCGACTTTCAAACAGGCAGTACTGCAATAGTGCCTGAACTTCACGTCGCACCAACCTAGCTTCGCGACGAATCCTACAACCGCCAAGAAAGGCATCCGAAGGGCGGGAAGGACAAAATCACGCTCGGGAAGGAAAATGTGTACCTTGTCCATGTGTGCGTCCGTTTTGACCATCTCGCACAAGAAATCCTCAGGACGCTTGTAAGGGACGTTCGCCGCCACCAGCAAGCTCCGCCCGCGCTTCACCGCCTCCAGAGCGTTGTTGTAGAAGCTCACTTCGCTGAAAAACACACGCCCGACAACAACCAGGGTTTAATCGGAGTACCAAGTGATGCCCAGCCACAGCAGTAAGCTACCGAAGCCCGCGGGAAATATGTACGTCACAAAGCTAGAAACGACGAGGGGGCAACAACCGTTAGCATCGTTTGACTACTGAAACCGGACAAAGCCAAGGGAACCAGCCACGGTGGCTGGTACTCGGTCTGAAATAGAGGCTTCGCGTGCAAAGCGGATGCAACACAACACGTTGAACCACGCAGTGGATGCATGCTCAAAATACCAAAGACATTCGTAAGGGGGTTTTCGAGTCAACGTTGAGGGTTGTTCGACTGGCGACGGTTCAAAACACATCGACCAACTGTGCGTTTCAACTTCCGCAGACTGTCCTATCCAGAGGGGGGCCCGAATAACACGGCACAAAACAGCAGTTTGGCAAGCATAGTCGAGGGGTCCATAACAAAACTCCGGGCAAACCAATGGGCAGGTGGAGGGGCTGCGGTACAGACAAAGAAACAGCGCCGAGGTTGCAGTTCAGCACACAACACCACCATGGTGCCGTGTCAATCGACGAAGCCACGCGTGTGGCGCGCTGCTGCCACAAAGAAATGATCCCGTGTCCGTCCTCACCGCTTGAGGTCGTCGTGTACATCTTCCAGCTCTAGCGGAATGTCGCTCACGGTCAACGTCTCCTCCCACGGAATCGCCCTCTCCATCTCCGCCGCCTTCTGGAGAAGCCCCGCCTGACACCACATAGCCGCAACACGTGCAACAAACAAGAGGCAGCGAACAGGGCGTTCGACCTTAGTCGCTGGTCGCCGGGCCGCGATATGCCATTTGCCCACGCCTCATGGTACTTCTTGGCCACAGCATGGGCTTCCGTGTCGACGACCTTGTTCGCGTATCCCGCACACAGATCAGCAATGCAGCAAAGCTCCAAGACCCGATGCAGCAACGGAGTCTTTCATCGAGTAAAGCTAGAGGATGTGCTGTGCAGCCTCTGCACAGGTGGACATAATACTATTGGCCTGCGGGTTTCAGACCCCGACTTTTAGTCCCTTGTAACGCTGACGGCGCGAATAGCACTCGCGCAGACGATTCGCGACTGGCTCGCAGTCATTGCTGCACGCGGGCCTGGGGAAAACATCTGCCTCCTCGACGCAACCCTGATTCATCAAGAGGCAGGACTTGGGAAAGGGTGACCTCGACGTTTCCACTTGCGTGACTTGTACTCCACCGTGGAACTTGCAGAAACGGGGTGGATCACGACAACCTTGACGTGAAGAAACTACAAAATTAGCACAAACAGCAGTAGTCGACATGCAACGCTACCCAACCACCGGCGATAATTTCCGCGTACTGAAATACTACACGCGACTTCGACCCCGACTCCTACCTTGTTGTACGACCCAGTCGGCGCCGCTCCACCCCCACCCCCTGCCGGCGTCTCTCGTCCTTCAGAACCCGCCGCTCCACCCGAACCATCTCCATCCTCTTCCCCTCGTAACGCCTTCCGTCTGGCGGTCTGCTCCTCCATCGCAGCCCTCGCGGCTGCCAATTCCATCATGAACTCGTCGTCCTCCGCCCCTCCAACCGCCGTGGGATCCTGCGCGTACAGGTGTAGGTGAAACTCTGACGAGTTGGCTCACATGGAAGCCACGAATGGCTGTACCGCCAGTTCCACAACGAAAACTCATACATGCTACTGCAACCTACCTCTCAGGCAGACTTCTGGGGAGGTTGTTCAACCCGGATTGTTCGCGTGTTGGCAAACAGACATGTTCCTTGTTCGCGGGTCTCTCGCCTTCTTGTCTGCAGCACACACCACTGCACGTGTGTGGCGGCTTGCTACCACGGCATGTGCGTAGGAGTCGTGTGTTCAACATGGCCTTTTATTGTGGGCTGTAGAATACTACACAGACAGCCAGTGAGTTGTGTCTAACCACAAAGCACAGACAGCAGTTCATTTGTATCATTGCCATGTATGTACGAAGTATTTACTACTACAGCTCTAGACTATATCCCAACCCTATCTGGTTCGCGTACTCTCGAGTGCCGTGTTAGCAAAAATTGCCAACATCATTGGGATTGGCGGTACAAGAGCAGAGCCGCTACTGCACTACACTCTCCAAGGATAACACAAGACTCTCTCTTTTTCGATTACATCTTTGGCGCGGAGTGCTTGGGCGGCAAACCACCTACTTGTAGCTCTTAACAAGTGGGTACGAGTGGGTACAGCGGCACAGCAGCAGTTGGCAACCAGGAGCTGTTGAACAAATAAGTCAGCCCAGAGAGAGAGAGAAGGGAACGAGAGACACAGCGCGCGCGGTTTCTGTTCCCTACACTACCAGGGTTGCAATAAGAGGATGGAACAAATAAGCTTTTCTGTGAGTCCTCGTGTCAACTGCCACCGGGATGAGCTACTGCTGTTTACTGCTTTGTCCCCGCTACCTCGTGCTCCCGTGTCCACAACAACTCAGGACACCCGCACCGCTGTCGCGAGGGAAATTTCTTGCACCCATACCTCGACTTCATCTGCCGTGGCGGCCTTGATGGCGCGTTTTCTTCCCTTGGGCATGGCTGTGCTTGCTTGGCTCCGCTTCGTCCTCCGTACAGCGGTGCGTGTCTCTCGGCAAAGCACCTAAGTTAGTGCTGCCTCTGCCACCGATCACCCGACCGACGAGTTAAAAAAACGCGGCGGAATAGCGATCATATCTGCGTACCCCCTACCCCCCACCCCTCCCTCCCATGTCGCGGTCAGACGTGCCTCATCGAGCACTCTCTCCCAGAGGCAGTCCTCAGTCTGGCAGTCTCCACTCCGCCCTGACATTCTGTTCAGGGGTTGCTTGTGCAGCTAAGCAACACTGGACAAGGAGGTGAGAAGGCTTCTATGAACTTGCTAGGGAGCTATTTCCTGCATGCCACTGGCGCGTGGAGTTTCGCCCCTGATTGATGCGGTCAACAGGACGTAGCAGGGCGGGTTACTATTGTAGTTTGTAGACGTGAAGCATGGAGAACATGACGCACAACGATCCACAGGTTCTGTCTGGCGACAGCAAGTCTCGCATGCTGCTTCCTGCAGTACGGTGCGATTTTTGTACACCAAGCAGCGAGGAAGGGCTGGTTGTGAGGGACGCGTGCTCGGCAGTAGGCAGGAGGCGCGGTAGAGAGGGTTGTTCGCGTGGATGTTGAGAGGCGGCGGTGAATCTTCGTGTTTTCGAGCCAGTTTCTCCGCAGGGCAACACATTTGGCCTGATCGAGATGCAGCCGTGTTTATCGCGCGGCTCCTCAAAGCAGCTAGCCAAGAGCACCAAATCAACTGCTCTGCGTTTTTTTTCGCTGCCCAGAGGGACACGTAAGATTTAATGGGAACATATTCCGCATCTCTGCCCGAGCTCCTCACACCCGCCCGCGCTGAACGTTGAGTGTCTTGCATACCGGACACGACAACCGGACTGCTACATGTTACAGTAGCGAGGAGTTGTTCCGGTGCCTCAACGGCAAAATGAACACGGGGCCACATGCACGTGGCAAATCTAATAACGCAGGTCGAGATGATTCGCGCAACAGCTTGCGTTGTTGTGCGTATATATGCGTTTTTTGGAGTATTCGTGTGGTGCTAACCTCACATCCTGTCTCTCTGTGCGCGATGGCAAAGCCTTCAAGCTCCAACCCCTGTCAACCATTCTCAACTTCTATGCATAGAACGTCTCTTTTCTTCTCGTCCTTCTCCCCCACCGCTCTGTTTCTCCCTTCCCCCCTACCTCTCCAAGGAAACCATACCTCTACTCGCTCCCCCCCCCTCATATCTGGTTCTCTCCGCGTCGCGTGGACACATTGTTTTTCTCGAGGAGGTGCAAAAAAGAAATCTTCGCCGCCAGTTGTACTTTCACGTGTGCCGGTCTCAGATCTGTCTCTGCCATCATGCAGCCGCGCTTCACTTGCTGATCGAGGATCATATCTTGGGTGGTACATTTTCGTGACCTATGGATGATGAATCTGAAGAAACCGTCACCACGGGCCACGGGGTACAACCACCATCTACCAGATACTAATATTGGGAGAAATTTGAGAACATGCGACCACATTGCAACCTTACTGATCAAATGTACAAGCATCAGTAACGATACGTCGCCCTCAGGGTATTGCAATTTGTTCAGCTCGCTCGATGTACTCCCTCCCCCGCAAATTTATATGCATTTGCTTACGAGCGTGAGGTGAAGTCTTACATGAAGGCAACAACCTCGGCTTCTTCGGACTTGTTTCCCGCAGGTTTTGTGCAGTGGCGGTGAGAAAGAAGAACGCGAAATAGAAGAATGGCAGACTTCAACGACAGCGAAGCCAGCATGAGCCCGAAGTCTACCGGCGAGGTAAGATGAGCCGGTTATCGGTCCCGCAAAGTGTGTTCTGTTACCCTAAATGCAGCAGGCCCTCCGGACTTGACTCGGCACCCGCACTCACACTCTGCCATGTCGATTTTGTAATTTAACGTGATGCGTCGTTGCTTCCTTTGCCGCGCGGACACGCCTCGCAGGCTCTCTCGAGCTTCAAGCACGGCCTGATGCTTCCTGGGGCCATTCTCAATAACAGCAGCGTGCTCAACGACGAGGAGGTAATGAAGCCGACCGTCTCCACCCAACAGCTCGTCGCCTATACATGGCAACGCCTCATGCTTGACGGAATTTGGCGAGCCTCTCTGGGCATGTTTGTAGCGGCATGAACACTCACGGCCCGAGCGCCCAGAATGTAATTGTTCAGATTTGAGTGTTCAGAAATGGCTGGTGGGTATGATGCAAACCCGCCAATAATGTGTTTTTTTCTCTTCCTTACTACTGAAGCGAACAGCCACCTCACACGCACCCGGTTCTTTTCATTGCCACGCAGTGCGGGCTAGCGACTATGCTCTGCGAGCAGCACCAGGCGCACCTGATGGATGGGTGGCCCATGCCCGGGACCGACGACGACAAGAAGCACGCGTTTTTCAAACAGGTGAGAACCATGTAGAGTCCTCGTTGGGGCGTGTGAAGTACACGAGGAAGTCCAGCCAAAAGGAACTTCTTCCATGCTTCCATTCGGTAGGCTATACAGTTCCTTTCCAACCATATCTGTACTATCGAATATTCGCGGATTTCCCATCTCGACGCGATCGATTTGCCACCATTTCTATCTCCAACCCCCCAAGCAAAACCTAGCCAACTCCGCACGGTGACACTTGGCAACCCAACTGACAGGTGCAAACTCTTCACGACACGTACCCTGCCCAAGGCGGACTGGCGACGTACATAGAGAGAGCCAAGGACCTCCTCACAGCCTCTCAGGTATGTTTGTCCGTCGTTGAACTTCTCGCCTGGCTGTCCAAGGGTGATTGGGTTCCTCCAATCCTCCCGATCCTTGTCGAGGACTAGTGCCCCAGGTCACGAGATTTCTCTTCTAGTCTTTGGGCCTTGGGGGAGACTGATTTCCATTCCGTTGTTACTGGCATGCCGATAGGCACGCTATTCCTTCGGCTTTCTCCGCTATGGGGTATTGGACGTTACCCCGTGGCAAGCTCCGGTGACATGCAAAGGAACCGTGACAATTCCGATTGGGGGAGGTGTACTCATAGTCGTGCATGCCGTAGTCGTTAGACCATATATTGACCTCGCATCCCTGCAAATCCGGTATGGAACACGCCGGGTTCTCACCGAACCAGGCTCTCACATCACCAAGCGCGAAGCGCCGTGAGGTATTCGGCGAGTCGCATGGAAGGTGCGCTGCATCCTGCTAAGGGTGTTCGGCGTCTTGTGTTTTCTTCCTTGCCTACGGATGACAGCCGCGAATGACTCAATTGATTTTCTGTTACTTTCAGTTCCCGAGACAGCTGTTTGCACTACGTAACTGCCTCGAGAGTGACTGCCCATTTTAACACAACGTGCTGCGATTATCCCCTCTGCACGGAGTGACGGTTCTCGACCCCGCACAACAAAATCTACTCGTCCACCATCATGGTTACCGCGAAAAACAAACAAAGGCGAGAAACAAGCGGTATCCTGGTTGTAGCTCACGAAGCGACCAGCGTGTTTAACAACGTCAATGCCAAGCGACGAAAACCCACGACAGGACTGGGGGGGCGAATGTTGCAGCTGGAATCCTAACAGCAAACGCCTTCTGTTATTCGTTTCAGTCGTCGAAGCCTCCCGACCTTATTTATGTGAGGGTACAGTTTTGTAAATTGTGTCATAGTTGTCTACACATTGCTCCAAGACACATTCTCTCTTTCGTGCACCGCATTCATGAACGACAGGAGGGAAGCAACCCACTTTCTGGGTGGAAACCAAGCGTGCCCGAAGGGCAGCGGCTGGAACTGGGTAGCGAGCACTACGACGCCCTTGAGAAGGAGGGGCTGGACCAGGTGCGGCGGCACACCGCGTTGATGCAGTCCCTGCTGCCACGGAATGGATTGCCCTCCTGTGACAGGCATTGCCTTTAGCGTTTGCTGCAACCATTTTTATTTCTGTTGCTGACTGATTTATTCGAGCTAGACGAACTAAGGTCTATGAATGCTTCCAGAATACTGTTCTGGTAAGCTTGAGCGGTGGCTTCGCGTGCTCTTGAAGTTCCTCATGGACAAGAACAAGTGGGACCTGGGACACGGGATTTCCTTCGGTGTGTCATTCGACTTCGACCCCTGTGCAATGTCGGCCTCTCACAATTTAGCTCTTGTCGCGCCGCCTTTGATTTCCCCTGTTCTTACTCGGCGATTCTTCATCACCCACAAAATCGCGCACGCGCATGATTCTCCTGTCGCTCACGTAGGTGAAACATTGCGGGTTCGTGCTCGTGGCAGGAGGGCTGGGGGAGCGGCTGGGGTACGGGGACATCAAGCTGCGCCTTCCGAGCGAGTCGTGCACAATGACGACGTATCTGCAGCTGTACATCGGGCAGATCCTTCACCTGCAGGCGAGGTAGGACAGACAAGGCGGACGAGAAGGGGATGGGGGATGGGACCACCATGGGATGGTTATGGGGTGCTTGTTGGACGATATTCCGTCGATAGACGCCCATGCAAGGAGAGCCAACATATTTAAGAGGCTGTAGATACAACGGTTGAACTTCATCTGTTGTGTTCTGGTTGTTGGTTCGGTCGCCCAGATGCTGTTACGGATGCAATGAGGCTTGATCAGGGTCGTTTTCAGCTCGTTTCGTCCACTCGAACCGGATCTGTCTTGAAATAGAAACAACCAGGAGAGGAACAAGCGCCCGTAGTGATGTACATTAAGAAGGCAACAAGGTGACCGTTGTTGCACCCGGCAGCCTCAAATCGGAACACAGTCTAGGGCTAGGGGGGAAGAGCTAAAGCACGGAGCAGAGCAGAATACTCGGATTCCGTAGGATGATATATTGGAATGAGATGCGTAGCTTACTGCCTTGCGTTTTATCGATGTCCCGCAGCGAACCACTTCTGTCGGAACGCCCCGTGTCTTGTTTTCAGGTACGGGGACGGGAGAAAATTCCCTCTGGCCATCATGGTCAGCGATGACACAAGGGACCGCACCCAAGAGATGCTCGAGCAGGGTGGTTGGTTCGGAATGGAGGAAGGCCAGATCACGCTCATGAAGCAGGAGAAGGTGGCAGCTATCCAGGTGGGTCGTGATATCGAAACAATCTGGAGGACAGTCTTTCAAACGGAAAATTTGTACCGGTTTGACAGTCTGAACGTTGGTGGTGCCTTTTCAGCGAGTTCCCTAATAAAAATGCCGAAATCTGCACTCATCAACACCCTCCCAGATGCATGGCTGAGTGAACTATGTTGCGAAACCCTTCGGTTCGCACTGGATGGTCCAATGTGAGGTGGCGGTTCCACCTGCGACATGACAATCAGAACTTTCCGTCTTCACGGTAGACGTTTTTAGTGTATTCTCTAGCGCGAATAGAGCCTTTGGACTCGAATGTGCCGGTCGCTCCTGGTGCAACCAATCTCGTTTTGTCTTCTTTTGACGACCTCCTGCCGACACCTGCCCTCCCATCATTTAGGATTCCACCGCGGCCCTGGCGCTCGACCCGGATGACCCGTTCACGATACTCACCAAGCCTCATGGGCACGGCGACGTGCACGCCCTGATGCACAGCAGTGGGACGGCCAAGAGGTGGAAGGACACAGGCTGCAAATGGGCGGTCTTCATGCAGGTGACTCACCGCTTTTCTCTGTGTAGTTTCAGTCCACGCAAGGTACATCGATGTGGAATTATTGGAGGGCAGAAGAACCTCCCCAGTTGGTGATGATTCCAAATATTTCCTGACAAGTTGCCCCAATCAAGAGTCTGTGTTTGCAAGATTTGTTGAGGTCCTGATTCACGCGGGCTATACACCGCTCGTAGCAACATTCACCCGCGGCGAGAACCCCCAACGACTCATTCATGTTGACGTGTGACCCCTCCTGCATTCAACCCGCAATGGCGACAAGGACACAAACGGCCTTGCACTTCACACGCTGGCGCCCGTCTTGGGCGTGAGTAAATCCATGGAGCTAGAGGTGAACAGCATGGCGGTGCCGCGCAAAGCCAAGCAGGCGGTGGGGGGCATCGCCAAGCTCACCCACGACGACGGCCGTCAGATGACGGTGAGTACAGCACGATGGAAGACGAGGAAATTCCTGCCTTCTTATGGATAGCGAAGAGTTTGTCAGAGAAGTGATGCGTCGGGAATGGTGTTCAGCGGGGGGGGGGGGGCGAGGTATTCCATCGCTGATGCCACGCCTCGTCGTAGTATGTGGAGCCTCGGGACTAGAATAGCACTTCCGATGAAGAATTTTCCGATTAGGAAGGCGTTCCGCCAAGCTCGAAAAGCCGTGGCGCCGTCGATTGGCGATCGCGTCATTTCAAGTTTCAGAACGGTGGAGAGACACACCTCGGGGCCTTGTACCAGCTTGTACGGTGACATGTTCAATGCTCTTGAGAGGGGGTGTTGACACATTTCTACTCACTGATACTGTTGTCGCTGATACTTCACCTGTAGAATTTCCTGTAACGATCAATCTCTGGCCATTCTTATCCCCATTTTTTGCATTTGCCGTCACGGCGGAACACGTTGCAGTTGAACGTGGAGTACAACCAGCTAGACCCGTTGCTTCGTGAAGGGGATGGTGCCGGAGACGTGAACGAACCCAATACCGGTTTCAGCGCCTACCCCGGCAATATCAACCAACTTGTTTTCGCCCTCGACCCCTACAGCAAGGTGCGGTTTCGAACGTTTTTCGGACAACACTGCCAAGTTGGACCGTCGTACTTCACATACGCAACTGTAGGCATTGTGGCACGAGATGGTGCAACTGCCATCTGACGAGCCCTTGTGCGTTGAGCTGTACGAGTGGTTGGTGTCTCTTCTATTTCTGGACACAGTATTGCCTCAATTGTAACGTCCATCAAATCACTTGGCGTGGGGTTCGGGTAGCACCCAACCAATGTTTTCTTCGTTTTTTCGTCTATGTCTCGACCAAAATCTCCATGTACGCCATGTCGCTGTTGAGAATCAAGTGCGCCCACTCATAGATGACCAGCACTGGCTGTTGATGGACGACGAGTTGTAGTCAGAACATTCCAGAAATGTTGGGAACGGTGCATTCTGAGGGTTTCGCGAGTGCTCGTCCCAACGAGGTAGCACCGCTTGTGCGCTCGCAATTCCTTTGCGAATCTAGTCTCTTTGTGCCAGTTCCCATTTCGTTTCAAGTTCACCCTGTTCGCTCCGCAAGTCGGAGTGAGTGAAACCCTTGTGGTTTCGTGGATGACTTCGAGGCTTCGTGTCCTGATGATTGGCCGTGAGGACCGTGGACCCTGCACATGTCAGTCCCATGTGAAACAGGTGTAAGAAGCCTGCTTGCCAAGAACGTCTGCCGCTTCTCTATTTCTGAGAATGCTGCGGTTGTTATTCTTGGGGTACTTGTAGACGTCAAAAGTGTTATAGTTGTGGATGTCAATCCTGCTCGAATATCGTTCAAGTATATCACCGTGCACTTGATACGGCCGATGACACAGTGTCTCTTGTTTCGCGAAACACATCAACATGTTCATATCGGTATGAACCACGTGTTGTTGGTGCAGCATTTGTCGTTTTGACTCTTGAGGTTGGCGAGGTATCGGCCCTTCTTTGCATCAGTATCCATGCTCTAACCAACCTCGGCTGCTCGATACACGAACGTGGGTGAGAGATGTGCTTGTTTGCCTCGACGAACGTGAGTGAGAGATGTGCTTGTTCGCCTCGACGGTTTTTTGCCAGCCAGCCAGCCTCAACCCCCCCCAAAATGACTTCGTCGTTACTGCCCGTACTAACGAATCTGATCCCTCTTCTCTTGTGAATGATTGACGTTCTGTTTCGTGCCTGGTCTGTTTTTTCTACATACCACCAACAACAACTGCAACCCGGCAGGTTTTGGAAGAGACGCGCGGCATGCTCGACGAGTTTGTGAACCCCAAGGTGCCCTTTTTTCACACTCGGTCTTGCTTTCGGTGGAGCATACTGATCACCCCGCTCTTGGTTGAGAGGCGGATTCGTTGTCAGTCTTGGTTGCCGCTCAATCGATGGTCTCTGCGGCTTGCAAACCCGTTCGGTGAATGGACGCTGTTGTTGTTGTCGCTTTGACGCTACATTCTTCAGCGTTGGTTGTTGAGGATCCACGTAAATGTGCCTTCCGCCACGCTTCGCCTACCCTCCTCTGCAGGAAGTGGCTTCAGAACTTCGAGAAGTAATGTTCGTTGAGAAAGTTGGTGCTTTCATGCACAATGTTTGATGTCTCGTTTACATGTATTTCCCTTTGCGTATTCGCAGTATGCTGACGCAAACAAGATGGCGTTCAAGAAACCCACCCGCCTGGAGTGCATGATGCAGGTGAGCGCAAAACTGTGTTCTTGCTGGGTGTGATTGCAGTTCGCGTTTGGAGCTGATTTTCTGCTGGGGCGACGTGTGGCGTGTGCAGAGCTGGCGAGAGTTGAACCTGTCGGTGGTTGTTATGAACCTTCGGTGCATAGGAGGGTGGTGAGTAGAAAACGCGTTGTTCGACCCCAATATGACGAACCTGAGTGAACTTCGAAAGGACAAAGCATATGAAAGCGAATGAGAACGTGGCCAAGCTTGATCATTAGCTAATTGTTGCCTGGCTAGGCGGGTGTTGCCGAAGGCCCTCTCGGATGAGGTGTTCGTCTCTAGTGCTATCAATAGTGTGGTGGAAAGAAGACGCAGAGTGGGAAACTGTTGAGCAATACGGGGGGTATCTCAAGGCGACCATCACGCTGGAACATGCATTGGGTTGTGCGGCACGGAAGCCCCTGAAGTTTTTTGGGAGTGTCCCACAAAGAGGAAAAGTTGGGGAACCTCAGCCGGAGCTGGTTTTGGGGATGTGAAACTGATGGAGGACTCATTTGTTTTGATGTCGAGGTTTACTCAGCGAGACTTTGTTCTCCTCTGAGTCAGACAGGAGTCCGACTAGGGAGGTCCCGGATTGCCAGCACCATCTTGCTCAGATTGCCAGCAGGAAGAGATGGTGCCTTGCTCATTCGTGATTCGCAGATAGTAAGAAGCGTGGTGTTGGGGTCGCATTTCGCTAGTTTCGGCAGGATCGTCCTAGGATCATTTGACCTACAATTTTGGTGGGGGAGTGCCTTCGTATCCTCAACCATGAGTTGTTGAGCATCTTTGGTCAGTGTTGGCGCAACATGACATCACACCAATGGCGGTATGGTGAGGTTATGGAGCCCTTCAAGAAGAATTTCTAATAAGCTTGGATGGACTGTAGTTTAGAATCTCGAGTGTCGGAACCCATGAGAGCAGAGGGCAAGAGTAGCCTCACGGGTGACTGGAAGATGATGCCTTTGCAATTCTCGCTCGACAAGCCGGTAACGTTAGAGGTGCACACATCGGGCCACTTGGGCGAGATTCCATTCAGGTTCGTTGGAAGTGGGAGACTATTTGGGGGGGGGGGGGG